AAATAGACATAAAGTCTGCTAGTTTTAGGTACAGAGAATGTTCTCCTCCAATAAATTTAAATTATATTGGTATCTATGCCTATGTAGTTTTCAGCTAATTCATTAGTACAAAAGGATAAAGGGAGACTTAAGGTTTCGTCCGACCATAAACTTACAGTACTTTCATTTGCTAGATCTGTTAAAACTAAATATTTGCATTCTAATTTGATAATTAATCTTACTACATGGCAGAAGAACCTGCTCGTAAAAAAGAACGATAAAAATTATCACCTTAATCATCTATTAATAAAACGAAAATTAATTAATGAATTTCTAAATATTAATAAATTGCCTATTTTTTCAACATATGTTCTTCTTATTTATAGAGCCCAACAAAAATACTTAGATTGTTTATCTATTACCATATATATATATTTCTAATACGATTATTATTATCTGATATCCTTTGAGTATAATTAAGTTATATGTCAAAAAGGTGCCTTTATTCTAAATCCTTAAAACAAGAATATAAAATTAAGAGTAAGATTTAAATTATGAATTAAATTAATTCACAGTATATGGAATATCAGACGATATATTTCTTACCTTATTGGGAATTTTTTTAAATTAGTGCTCCTAAGTTAATAATATACAAAATCAAATATATACACATATTCCATTATAAATTTATAATAGCATAATTCTTCTGAAAAACAAATTTTTATTTCATTTTTTATCTTGCAAAAATGCATAAAACTATTATTAAAATTTGTAAAAATTGAATAATAGTATATACTATTTATTTTAATTGGTTTAGTTTCTAAAAATATAGAGGTTGGACCCCTTTTGAAGATACATGCAATTTATAAGTTTGGATCATCATAAGGTTATTAAATAATTTGAAAAAAAATACTTTTTATAATGAATTATGTAACAAAGCTTTTAGTTCATTCTTTTTTTGTACTATTTTTCTCATAACAAAATCAATTACAAGATTTTTATATTTAAAATATTTTTTTCTTGATATGAGAAGTAGGAAAATGAAACTAAACGAATTAAATAAATTTATTTCTATAGCTTTAAGTATTTTAATATTGTTGTATTTTATTTGAATAATTAAATTGGCTTCAATAATTACATTTCCAAAAATAACAGAAAATCAATGAAATTTCAAATTAATGAAATGGAAACCATCCTTTATTTATATTAACCTGGTTTAATTCAAAATTTCACATAAATTGAATTTTATGAATTTCCAATAAATCTATTATTTCTCCAGCATCCAATCCGAAATGTTGTTTTGAATAAAGTTCTTCATAAATAATTTGCTTATTTTATGTCAATTCTTAAAAAATTTTTCCAAACTTATTTCAATTAACAGTTTTGACTTTAAGGTATTGATGTAATTTAAAATCTTGGAAAATTTGAAAATATAAATATTTATATTTATAAGTAAATAAACAAATTAATGTGAAGCATTGATTTTGTCTTGTGAAATTCTAGTAATAAATTTTAAATAAGAAAAGAAGTATTTAATTATTATGTAATTTTTATTTGTGAAAAAACTGATAAAACGCAAAAATAGATATTTAACTCTTAATATATGAATAAAAATTTAATCATTGAGTCACAAGACTCTCTCAAATCAAGCATTTAGTTATCACATTTTAAAATTGTGTTATCATATTCATCATAATTTTTGATAAATCCGGATCAAGTGGAGAAGTCTTCCAAATTTCATCCAGACTCAGATCAACCTTTTTTTCATTCAAATAGGCATATTCACTAGAAAATATAATTCAATATTTCTTACATTCCTAATATCTCATCCCATCTATATCTTAAATCTCGATAGTATCTATTCTTCAGAATATTTAATGGCCTTCCAGACATCTTTCGTTAAATTGTTTTAAACTTTGGTCCAAACATTAAAACGAAACCCAGAAGTTTTTAATCCTCCTATATCGTGAAGTCTCTTGATTTTCTTCCTTATCGTTTTTTTTTTTTATTCTTCATGTTCATTTTTCTCGACACTGATCTTTAATCATCAATATCAAATGTCATATTATCATTGTACTTGACGAGCATAGATGGTTCCACCATTTATTGTTCTGATAATATGTCATTTGATTATTCAGTTAGAGTCGATTGTGAATTTATGTCTTTCATTTTTGCTTTTATATATTTTTAATTCAAAATATTTGATCTTTAATTAAGCCCTTTTATAGTACTAGATACGAAGCAGATTTGAGAATGTTTTAAGAATTTCTTATTTTGTTATTTGTATTACTTAATTTTATTGATGATTGATGAAATTATTTTATTATTCAAGCTCTACAAACACATTCCTGCAATAGTGTTCAATTAACTGAGAATAAAAGGTAGATTTAGAGTTCTATTAAGGAAATCAAATAAATTTTGCTCTCTAATACCTAAAGCATCTATCTCTCATCAAAAGTAGAGATAACAACTTATTGGAGTGATAATAATATATTAGAATAGTCGCTATCATTTTTGGAATAGGATTAAAAATAGAACCAAAAGTAATTTAAAATACGGAAGTATTTAAATTTAGGGACAAATAATAATTACACAATTAAGTTGATACTTTGTAATTATGTACACTAGTCGGCGATATTTTCAATATATAATTTAATTATGTACCTTTACATCACAAGGATGAAATATTCTTCCTAATTTAATTTATTAACAGTTTCAGGAATTTCATAAAATTTTGTTTTTCTTAGAAGTCTTCTAAATAAGCCAAACATTATGAATTTAGGAGAATATTGAGAATACTATTCCAATATGGTTTTTGTCTAATTTATGTCATTTTTGCTTCCAGTTTTATTAATTCATAGAAATCACTTAGTACGAAATATCAACTGAAATATAGCAAATCTAAATACATTCTCTAGATTTATAACCTATTTGTTGCGTTCAAGTATTTCTGATTAAATTTTTTGATATCAATCTATTTTTCCAAAGTATCCTTTGAGCTTTCAGTAAGGATTTCGGAAATATGATCAAATTTCTTATTTCATTCAAAATTCATTATCTAAATGAAAATAGTTTATTAGTATATGTTTAGGCTCTTCAGACCATAAAATGACTCATACTTATTCATTCTTTCTTTTAATTTAAATAATTATCAGTTTTTATAATCAATTAAATTTTATTTATTTTTGGATTTGAATGCTCATATTGCAAATAGTTAAATAATATAGCTCAAAATTTCATATATAAATTGATAGAAAATTATGAGGATGAATTGAATACTAATGTTTAATTGAATTTTCAAGAGAGTTCTTTATGAAGAAGAACTTTATAAAATTTCATTAATATATGGATTTAATTGTAAATCAAAGAGGAGCATTCCCCAAATTATCCTGTTATAATAAATTATTTGGATTATCAAATTTCAATACATAATACTTACAGGTACTCAAAAAACGAGTTTAAACTATTTTCATATGTATTAATTACAAAGCACCAGAGTATTCTAGAAAATATTAATATATATATATTATAATGAATATTTCAATGAAAATCATAAAAAACTGGCATTAAAACTTGAGAAGCAAATTCCTATAGTCATTAAATAAATAATTTTGATTAAGAGAGTTTGTAGATATATTTTAAAAATTTAGTATAAATTGAGTAAAATCATAAAACGAAATTCATTAAACACTAAATAGATTGATAAAAAATGGAATGAATAAAAGACTAAGACAGTTCTTATATTATTATTACTCCTATTAGAGACAAGAATTTGAAATAATTAATAGCAGTAAACAGAAGATATGAAGAGGCAAATAATGTATTAGATCCACTTAGGATAAGGAAGATGATATACTGAGACTTGGGGCTATGAAGTTTGTAAAGAACACAATAAAAACGAATAGAAAAGCAAATACTAATCAAAAGAAATACTGATCAAGAAACATAATTATATTAAACTAATAATAAGTAGTATAATTCATTATATTAAATATTAACCTCATTAAAATTCCTTTGTATGAGTTATATAAGTCATACTAAAATATATGCAAAATTAGTTCTAAACTGAATTTGGCTGGCTTCAAATACCATCTGATGTAAGATTTTAAGGTAAGAACATTTATTATTAGCATTTTCAAAAACAGTTTAATTTTATTAATTTATTATATTTATCTTTATTATAAATAAACCTTACTTTCCAATAAAAAAAACATAATCAAATAATTATTTTATAAACAAATTTTTTAATTTCAAATACCAAAAAATTATTATTGAAATACTTATTTCAGGAGAAATTAAGTTCATGAACAATCTAGAAATTTGAATGCTTATTTGAATATAGAATTATCCTTATATTCGATATCAATATAAGTGTTGTTTAATAGATAAGAAGAGCATTAAAATTGGTTCCTAAGAATCAGTGATTTTGTTAACGATCCGTTTATTAATCTGATTTTTCCTATCAGTACTATGTTTTGAATTGAATGATATAACATTTTTAATATTGATTTTTGAGGATCGATTATTTATTTGGATTAAGAAATTGCAAATTTATGCTAATCCTTCAATATAGATACTCTTTTTAACTCAGGAACAGGACCTGTTTGTAATTCAGATTTATCAAGTAATTTTGGATTGAACCCAATTATTTAAGCAGATAATCTTATTAAATCAAAGTTATCTTGTATTTAACAACTTGTGGTTGTGCATAATTCCCAATTTATTTTAATCAAATCAATTCGAATAAATCATTCTAATGCCTCTCCATAAATTGATAAATACCCATATGTCAGCATAATTAATTTTATTTTTTATATGCTTATTGTACTTTTAGCGTCCATAGTGAATAATTAAGCTGATTTTCTGTAAGGGTGAATTACATTCTAATGAATTCTACTTTTAGGATGATAATTTATAGATTTATTTATAGAATTTGAACCTTTAATTAAATTAAAGAAATTATCAGTATTTTTTTTATATTTAAGACAAAAACGGGAAAGTAAAAATTCATATCTTGCTATATGACAATTTAGAAAATCTTCATGATATCTTATCAATTCCATTTATTTATTAATAATAATCATCAACGTTTAAAATAATTTTGCAAAAAGAATTTAAAGAAATTTAAATTGAATACTGTGGTAATTGTTAAATAATATATTTAAAATATTGTCGTGTTAGATCAATAGTAGAAAGAGGAATAATATATTAATACTATCAAATCCAAGATGATTGGAAATACATAAATTTATTATTTTTTTCGTTTTTAATCAACTTATGCCTATCCTAACATACATATAAGTTCTCATAATATAGTTTGCAATATAATGCTGCTGTAAATTAAGATATATATTTAGTTGGCAAATATTTGGTTTAAAGCGATGTCACTACTCAGACTACTTCAAGTTAATGGAATGACTTAATTTCAAGTTCATCAGTTTTGTTGTGCACAAATGACAAGTCTGAAAAATACGTAGGTTAAGCTACAAGTTCAAATTAAATATAATGGCAAAGAAGTTTCAACATATAACCCTTAACTAACAAAGTTTATATCTACTTTGAATATTAAATATCAGGATAATGGAATGATGATGAAGTTGTTTTATATGTTGATAATGTAAAATAATGCTCAGAAAAGATCCAGCTCGCAGATACTAATAAACTTTGTAACGAAAAGTAAAATTTTCTTTAAATTAAGCTTCCTTTTTAATTCCTTTATGTACTTGGTATACAATACCCCTCAAAGTACTTTGGATTTGTAAATTAGGGTGTCTAAAAATAATGTTGGGGTTTATATAAAAAATGTGATTATTAGCTCATAAATTCAAAGAGGAAGAGGAGAAATATTATAAACAATGGTAAATTTACAAATTTGTAATGTTGGGCAAAGTTTAGCCCATTACTATTGTAAATGTAACGATGCCTTGGTATACCAAGATACCTAATGCATAGCTTCTTGCGATTAGAATTATTTATATAGTTTAAATGACAATCAATGTTATTAAAAACAACATTGTACTTCCTGTGTTGGATTAAATTCAAACTTATAATGTGATTCAGGATATTACGCTTATGTAGCATCAGACTAAGATTTACCTGTTTGTATTTCTAAATGTCCCAACAATTATTATTAAGATGAAACTACCCAAGCTTGTTTGGATTACTAAGAATACTTATCCACGAATTAAAATTCAGGATGTAAATCTATACCTCATATCTTTAGATCCTGTTGACTATATTTACTTCATAAGAACGCTACCAGAATTTATACATTTTTTATCTTTAAATGATCTATAAATCTTGGTTGTTTCTGAGCCAAAAAGACCTAAGGAAAGGTAATTTTTTTATTTGGATAACAACTTTTATATTGGCTCCTACAATAACTTTAAAAACTAATCCATTTAGATATATACAATTATTAAAAACCCACAGCATAAAGTAAAATTAAGAGCAACTTGCCATTTTGTAGACTTTTATCCAACTAATTTTGAAGTTCATATAAATGAAGATAAACAGGATGATATTACAATACAATTAGATCCTCAAAATAGACTTAAATAGGATAAATAAGATTACATAGTAAATTATGAATGGACATGGCAAAAAACTAAGGATAATAATCTTGTTTAAAATTCAATATTATTCAGAATAGAATAACCTTTATAGGATGGAGATTATATTGGTTATTTCTACATTGAAGATCTTCATGTTTATTCCTTCTAATGCATGACTGGATGTCCAAATTGTTACACAGAAACATCCTGTCCTCCATGCACTAATCCAGCCAACAAGAACCCTTAAGATTGTACTTGCGTATCAGGATATGCTTTGTAGAGTGACATTTGTATAAATTGCCCCACTTTTTGTACTACTTGCGTCACGGCAGGGAATTGTATGGATTGCATAGTTGCAACTAAAAGGACCAATCCTCCAACTTGTAATACATGTCCTGATTAATATTTTATCAAATCTGGCGAGGTGAATTGTTAGCCATGTTAAACTGGCTGCTTTAAATGCATAGTACTAGCCAACTGTATAAATTGTCAAAGTGGGTATTTCAGAAGCAAGACCAATTAATGTGTGTAGCAATGTCCTGATGGATACTTCTAAGATAGTAGTGTCCCTACTGATCCAAAATGTACAATTTGTGATTCAAATTGTTTAAAATGCGATACATCAGCAACAACTTGCACTGATTGCATACCTTCAGGAATATTATTGAATTCACAATGCTTTATTTGTGTGGAAGGGGAATATTTTTCAGGAACAGCATGCGCACCTTGCATAAATAACTGCTAAAAATGTATTTCATTGACATGCTAACAATGTTTAGAGGGGTATTATTATATGGCAAGCAAAAATGAATGTTAAATTATATGCGATGATGGTTATTATGGAAATTTTTAAGCTCGATAATGTTACTTATGTGACCCTTCATGTAAAACATGTGATAATAGTACTAATGTCAATTGTTTATCTTGTAATCCAGGGGATGTGTTGAATGTGAAAAACATTATTAGTGGAGAATGCAAATTTACTTGCTTGAGTGGATTCTATAAGGATGGTGATGTGTGCCTACAATGTTGGAAGGGATGTTCCTCATGTATTGATTAAACCTAAAACTGTTTGCTTTGCGCAAGAGGTTATTACAGATTAAAGAGCAATAGTTTGTGTTACAACTAATGTCCTGATGGATATTATAATAATAATATTGGAAGCTTGTGCTCTCCTTGCCATCCCATTTGTAGGACTTGCTACGGATTATTATCATAAAATTGTTTGTCTTGCAATTTTCCTTTGGCTTATTATTAAAATGAATGCTTAGCTGAATGTATGGATGGGTATGGTAATGTCCATAATATTTGTACTCCTTGTGCCAATAATTGTAAGAAGTGCTATGGTACTTTACAGAATTAATGCTTATCTTGTGTTTAAGGTTACTACTATCTAAATAATTAATGTTATGTGAAATGTCCTTAATTCTATTATAGCATTAGACCTTAATATATTTGTAAATGCTAATTTATAAATTGTATCAAATGTTTGGATTATTAATATTACTACGATAATTTATGTCTTGATGAATGTCCTTCTGGGTACTTTGGATTTAATAAATTGTGTAACCATTGTGATATCACATGTTTAACATGCTTTGGTGAAGACGCAATTAACTGTTTGAGTTGTAACAATAATCTAATATTGTGGAAGAATAAATGCATTCCAACTTGTTTGGGTAATACATATCATGATGTTTTAACCAATGAATGCAAGTATTGTAACAATGAATGTCTTGCTTGCAATGGACCAAATAGTAATAATTGTTTAGTTTGTCCTCAAAATAAGTTATTAACTATGTAAGGTAATTGTGCAAATGAATGTCCTAGTGATTAATATCCAGTTATCTCTGAAAATAAATGCTATCGCTGTCATTCATCCTGTTTAACTTGCTTTGGCGCATCAAATTAGAATTGTTTAACTTGTTCATAATATTTTTATCTTTTTGAATGTGTGAGTGATTGTCCCGAAGGATTTTCAATAAGCAAAAATCATTTATCTTGTGAACCAGACTTTGATATAGTACTTGATAGCTGCTCATACTAATGTCAAACATGTTGGTTAGTTCCTCGATTTTGTAAATAATGCGCTGCCAATCGTGCTCCTAATGCACCTAATTGCGATTGTGAACCAGGTTATTTTGATGATGGTGTAAACCCAGCTTGTGTACAATGTGATAATAAATGTTCTACTTGCAAGGGTCTGCCAACTAATTGTATCAAATGTAAAGGAGATAGATAATACCCATCATGCACATGTCCAGATTATTATTTTGACGATGGCTAATCTGTTAATTGTATTAGGTGTTAAGATAATTGCTAAAATTGCGATAAAGATGGCTGCACTATTTGTTTAGCTGATCGTATTAACTTACCAGATTGTATTTGTAAAGATGGTTATTACGATGCCTATTCATATTTCTGTTAGCAATGCTCCAAAAGGTGTGCTACTTGCGAAGGAACATCTAATTTATGCAACACTTGCTCATCTATAAGAGTTGAGCCCCCTATTTGTAAATGTCCTTTGGGATATTTTGAGAATTCAGATATTGAGTGTTAATCATGTGACCCAACTTGTATCGATTGTAACTAATACGGGTGTCTTTCCTGCTTTGGAAATAGAATTGGACCTATTTTTGGAGAATGTAAATGTGATACTTTAGGAATAAGTAGATATAACATTGGATCAGTCTTTTGCACTGATTGTTAAGTTGGAGTTCCTTACTTTGCTTTGAATGAGGAATTTACTGGATTTACTTTTGATTTTGGAGGAGCAGTGATATATATTCCTTATGAAGCTGCTTCGCTTTGTGAAGCATTCTTCCAACCTGAAACATTAATAAAATTGGGAACCAATCCTCGTTGCGATTTAGAGTTCAATGTTTATTTTGGTGAAAATCCTAATATTAAAGTTGGAGACATTCTAAAATTAAACAATTAATTTTTATTAAATGGATGTTAAATCAAATTTATTTAAATTATCCCTATGCCCTTATCAATACCAATTACGATTGATAAAACAACACACAAACCAAATTTACAATTCAAGGATTTGAAAAATCCCAATATTTGTGAAGTAGTCAAAATAGAGTTTGATTCCTTAGCCTTTAATGGAAAATAAGATTTCAATATAATATCTTGGAATCTCATCTTACCTCCACCTCCTGTCCCAGACATTGAAGCCATTCTTTTAACTCATACTTAAAATAAAACGCCATATCTAGAATTCCCACCTAAAGCGTTTTAAAGTGGAATCACTTACAAATTCAGTGTAACAGTAGAGAGTTTTGCATTACTTTAGAATACTATAGATTTTCAATTTCAAGCGATTCAAAGATCTTCTGTCAATTTAGTATCTGTTTCAACTTCCAATTAATTTAACAGATTCAATAATATCATAATTCCAAATCGGCTGACTTATATTAATTGTGTTGAGAAAAATCCCCCTCCTCAAATAGTATTTTATGAAGTTTATTTTCCCAATCTAAGGATGATAGTAGTCAAGGGTAATTTGACTGAAAATCTCACAGATGGTTATCAATATGATATTCCAGTTACTTTTGAACCATACTTCCTTAATTTCAATAATCCTTTCCTTCTTATTTACAATACTGTTTTAAGTAGAGCTGATTACACAGTGAATAGCTCAAATAGATTTGAATTTTATATTGTCCCATCAAGTCCTATTATCGCTATAGCGGGAGGCAATAGAATGATTGGATTCTCTGATCCTTTATATCTAAATGCCACTATTACTGACCATGATCTAAATGAACAGGAAGCTAAGGCGATGGTATATGAATGTTCATGGACATGTGTCGATATCGTAAATGGTACATCTTGTTAGAATAAAGATGGCAGACCTTTGGAATTTAATACAAGTTGCTTATAATATATGAAACCAAAAACGTTCAATCCGTATACAGTCTCCAATTTTGAGGTTAGCATTATTAAATAGGACAGTAAATTTTCTACAACAGTGTCTATCTAATTTATAGAAATAGATCTTCCAAGTTTAATTGTATATGGTTCAACTTAGGATCAATTGTATAATTATTATGATGAACTTATATTCACTGTCCAATACCCTGGAGTGAATCCAGACTTATTGATGTATGCAGGAGCTGTAATCTATGATTAATACGTTGTTGATACGTTTGAATTTTTTTATCTACAATTCAAATATAGGGAGTAAGACCACTTCACTGATTTAGGATTAGACAAAAATAACTCAGTAAAACTTAGAATATCAGTCTATGATCCTCGATTTATACTACCATCAATCAATAGTTAAGTATTAAATCTGAATATCCCTCCTTAAAATTGCTCATTATCATATTAATTTCCTGAAACTTATGTGGAATTCTTAGACGAATTGAATATCTCATTAACTGGTTGTCGAGATGATAATACCCCTCTTTTGTACGGCGTATAACTCTTTCCTAATCAATCCACCTACCAAGAAGAATTGATTACGGCTAAATTCCATAATTTTGTTTTGCTCATCGACTTTTAATATTCAAATCATTTTAAGTTGATTTTACCATACTATTATGAGGCCTAGCCCTTACTAGTATTTAATATTAAAGATAAAAAATAAGGCATAGTTAATTTGACATTATCCGTCAATGTAAGAGAGTTCAAAAGCATAGATGAGAGTACATTCAAAGAATATTATTCTAAACTTAAAAGTTTTGATGAGTAGTTAATTGGCTATGTCCATATTACTGAGAGATTGAAGTAACTCAGATCATTCACTTAATATAAGGAAACCTTATACAATGAATTACTTTCAATTGACGTTAATTAAACACTCTTGGCCAATCAGACAGAACCATTATATCGATCTATTTCCAATCTTCTAATTTAGAATGTATCATTAATGTCTATAAATGAATCACTCTTGCTGGGTCAAATCAATTATAGAGCATAGAAAGCATTCTCAATCCTGTCTCGCTATTTTAGTCTTTAAAAATAAAGTCAACTGACTTCAGAGTAGAACCTCGACAAGAATGAGTATATCAGGTAGTACTATAGTTTTGCAGACATCTTATCATGTGGTATCAATTATAAGGTGATTAAAAATGTTACTTCAGATTACTTATTGTATCTTTTGAACTAAATCTAAGGTCATTTACAATCTGTTAGTGTTGTTAATGAACCTCTGTATAAAATGATTAAGAATTCAGTGAATCTGGATTTTGGATTTGTTACCAAAAAACAAGTAGAATTGATTGTAGGTCTAAACTCATCCTTTGGATAACCAATTGGAGATAGTCAGGAAATAAATAATATATACAAGACTGCTACCAATTATTACAAGTTTTCGATTACTAGATTCAAAGATAATCCATTCTATCCTACTCCACAGTTTCCCAAAAACAGTACAGGGTATTAGGTAGTGGATCCAAAATTATAGGAAACTGGAAGTAGTAAAAATTCCAAGTTAGGAGAGGATGTTTCTTTTTCGTTTCCTAAAGTTCGGACCTTATAGTCTAACACGTCTCTTGAATGCATTTCATAATTATAAAATGGTACTTGGGCTGTTGACATCTGTAAAACAGTCAAAAAAGAGTTGGAAGTCATTTGTAAATGCGATGAATTGAGCCCTACAACTGTTATGGAATCTATTGATTAAATCATAGACAAAGGAAGCCAAATTTTTTCATCTAACACACTTGATGCCTTCGCAACATTTCCATTTTATAAGACTATCATTTTTTACTTTTACATTGGAATCACAGGGTTATATCTCACTATTGTATATTGGGGAATGAGGGTAGATACTTAAATATTTTCCTAAATAAATATTCAATAAGAATAAGGTGTTAATTAACCGGAAGTCAAAAATACAGTCGAAAGTAAATTAATCAAAAGATAAGATTCAAAATATACTAAGACTGGATAGTTGAGAGACTCATCGATTGAATATTAACATAACCTACCGTTATTCAAAAGAAACATGTTTGGAACAGGGCTATCTTATGGGGCTATTATTCTAAATAAATTAAAACCGATTAACTTCTCAAAATAACAATCAAATATTAAATAAGCTACTTTAGAAACTAAACCTGAAGAAAAGTCAAACAAAGATCTTAACAAAATTGATTCACTATTTAGTCAATCTCAAGTATTGCAATCTACAAGAATTATTAAATAAGGATTATTCAATAAATAAGAGGAACTTGTTAAATAGGATGAACCTCTTAAACAGGAGGAGGAACAATCTAAGGATTAGAAATTGTAAAGGTAGCTCACTATCTAAGATATTGGACTTAAAAGTATGTTATATAAATAGTTAATCACCAATTCTAAAGCATTCATTGAGTTTCTCAAATTTTTCCACTAAATTCTGCAAATTTTTTATAAAGATGATCCTATCAAACCAAGAAGTTTGAGAGCATCAATTGTGTATGTAAGTTTTTTAGGTGGAATGGCTTTAATATATGTATTTTAACAGCCGAATAACGTAAGCTTTACAATTGCTATATCCGTTTTAACAGCTCCTGCAAATAAGATTTATTAGATTGTTTTAGAAAAAACATTATCTAATAAATCTAAGACGGTAAGAATGATTGGAGTTATAATAATGATTGGTGGTGCTGCTTTTATTTCCTACATTATGTTAGCTGGTTTAGTGTTGATGAATTAAATAGAGTAATCAAATTAAATGAGTCTAATTTTCATAGGGGCATTTGCTGTAGATAATTTAATTTATAGTCCATTATCCTTATTATTTACTTATTTCATTCACATGGACATAATAAGAATTCCATTTCTCTAAACGATTTTATAAAAAATCTTGGATGAAAAAACTAAGGAGTTCTTATTTGGATTAGCAGATAATATAAGATAAAGTTGAGGAATCAGATAATATATTGAAATAAATTATCTAAATAACAATTATATATAATTAATTAATTTAATAATCATAGAAAATGAAAAAGATCAAGCTTTTTATTATAAAAAAGTAAATTGCTGAATTGCGAATTAATTTAGAATTTTTTATCTGATTTTCTAGGGTTAGATTTTAATTATTAATTTTTTTTAATGAAATTCTTGTTTATCTTGATAACAAAACTATATTTAGGTAACCATATCATAGACATTAATTTTAGTCATGACATAATCATATACGTTGGTAAAATCTGACTTAGTAACTACGGGAGCTCACACTTGGGTGGATGAAGCATCTACTGCTCTAGCTGTTACAGCTACAATGTGTTCATCCTTAAAACAACCTTATGTTACCATAACTAGTGATTTGGCAAAATCAATATCTAATTAATATATAGTTAATAACAAAGACCATGAGATATATATTAAAATAATTGTTGCAGGAACTTGGGAGGGAGATTCTCTGGTCATAAAAAGTGGTACATCAACACTGGTGACGCAAGCTTTAACAACTACAACTCAATTGATAGAGTCCTATTGCTCATTATCTAAGTAATTTTGAAAAATTAATATGTAGTGTTAAAGTCCTGGTTTTTAAACTTTAAGTACTCTAATCCTCACTACTAACAAGTGGTTCAGACCATGTATTGAAGCTAGTGATCAGTATTCCAACTCTTAACGTTGTTACAAAAAAAAAAACAATCTATGTGGGTCCAGTGTTAATTTATGAAATTGGTCCTGCAGTTGCTTCAACATATACTTATGTTTAGAACCAATAATTTAATTATTTTACATCACCAACACAGAATCCAAACACTGTTTTACCCAGCTTCAGTTATACTACTATAAATGAAATCGCCTCATAGAAATATGATTTACTCACTTTTGGAGACTCTGCTGCCAATTTCATCATCGGGGGATACAGAAGATGGAACACAGGAACCATAACATTTACGTAGACCTTAGATATTCATTACAAAATTAAACTCAGTTTTTATGTTTATGCATTTGATACATCTACCATATTAACATAGGCAAATTTAATAATCACAATAAACGGTCCCTCAGGTCCAGTTGTGATTCCTGATACTTCTATAACTAGAATACAAGCAGGTAATCTCTATGGAAATAGTGGAACCGATTCTGTTTATTTTGTTGATTACGAAATCAACCACGTAAATACAAATCTATAAATAACCATTCAAATAACTACTCCGATTGATCTGGGAATCACAAACTTTTATCTGCTTTCTAAGAATTGTCCATAATATTGCTAAGCTTGTCAGGCTGAAGGAACATGTGACGCTTGTTCGAGTGTTGACAACAGAAATCTAGTCACTTGCCAATGTAATGAATAGTATTACGAGGATCTAGTAGACCATACTTGCAAAGGTAAGGATCTTTTCTTATATCAAAGCTTGCGATTATAGATGTGCCAAATGCGTTTATGATGCAACTGATGTCAAAGGAAATTGTTAACTATGTAAATACGGTTTTGATATAAACAACAAATGTTAAACTTGTATCTATTCTTATCAGTATGAGAATACAGCTGCAGTTAAATGTGACAGTATAAATATCATCATTAAATGATTAGATTGTCAACCATGTTGTCTAACTTGCTCTGGTCCTACTGATAAAGATTGTCTTACCTTCAAAAAACCATACATGATTATGCCAGATAACCAAGCAGTTCTGAGTTGTCCATCTAATTATTACATAATTCAATAGACTGTTGACAGAACTCTTTGTGTGATGTGTGATGTAATAATAATCTCTAATTTTTCAATAGGCTAGTTGCAAAACGTGTGCTGATACTCAATCTAAATGTACAAGCTGCTATGCAGGATATGATTTATTATTCAACTAATGCTTACTAGCATGTCCTATCAAAACATACAGATTGAATAAGGATTGCACTCCTTGTCCAGATCCAAAATGTGAAAATTGCTCAGAATCATAATGTCTTCTTTGTTAGGCAAATACTTATATGTCAAGAATCTCAAAACTATGTATCTCTCCTTGTGATACCGGATACTATGGTGATGATGCTACCAGATCTTGCAAAAAATGTCATCAAACATGTAAAGAGTGCAACAATCCTCTTTTCACATAATGTCAAACTTGTCCTGATAATACTTATATGTTGGTTTTGGATTCTTCCACAGTAACAGGAATCTGCTATAAGGTTTGCAAAGAAGGATATTATCCCTCTGGTAAATTTTGCGCTCCTTGTTATCAAGGTTGTTAATTTTGCACATCACCAACAGTATGTTAAACCTGTGTTGCTGGATTTTATTTATATAATGACTTTTGTGTTGAGAGTTGTCCTTCCAATATGTATCCTAATCAATATGTTCAAAAATGCTTGAAGTGTAATGCTGCTTGCATTGAATGTACAGGAGGTGAGAATTACTAGTGCCTAACTTGCAGTGGAGGATTATTATAGTTTTCAGGAAAATGTTATCCCATTTGCCCAATTGGAACAGTGGCAGTTAATGGAATATGTTAATCATGTGCTCTAAATTGCGATATTTGTGTAGGTACAAATGTCTATGATTGCACTTAATGCAGCACATAAAAATATATTTTGAATGGATAATGTTACGAAACATGTCCTCCATCTTATTAAGGGAATATTCAAACATTTACGTGTGAATTTTGTATTGATAACTGCGAGACTTGTATTTCAAGTTCATGTAAATTATGCTAATCTGGATATTTCTTTTAAGATGGCCAATGTCTTACTTCATGTTACGATGGTTATTACAAATCTAATGATGATAGAAAATGTTAAAAATGTAGCTTTATTTGTAAAACTTGCTCTGGCCCAGATATTGATGATTGCTTGACATGTCCGAGCAGTTACTTTTTTTATTTTAATAATTGTTTACCTGAATGTCCAGATGGGTATTATGGAGCAGCTGGCAATATTTGTACATTATGTGATCCAACATGTTTAACATGTTATGGTCCTTAGATTGATAATTGTAATACTTGTCCAACTACATCCTATATCTATTAAGGAAAATGTTTAACCGTTTGTCCAAATGGAACCTATGCTTCGGATACATATTAAGCTTGTCTGCCTTGTCATTCCTCTTGTCTAACCTGTCAAGGAGGATCAAGCTATGATTGTTTGACATGTCCAGTATACATTGAGAGAATGCAATGTGTAACTAGTTGTAGTGTTGGATATACATTAAGCGGAGTTCAATGTAATCCTTTGGTAGCAATAACTATTGCTTGTGATCCACAATGTGCAACATGTGCTCTCCAATCATCCAATTGTGTTACATGCTAACCATCAAGACAATAAAATAAACCTTAATGTACTTGTTTAAAAGGGTATTATGATGTTGGAACCATAAATTGTTTACCTTGTGATCATAAATGTGCAACTTGTAAAGTACAAGCAGATAATTGTTTAACTTGCAAAGGAAATAGATTCAGTTCTGTTTGTAGATGTCCTGACTATTATTATGAGGATGGTGTTTCAAATGATTGCCCAAAATGCAATTATAAATGTGAATTATGTGTAAATAACGTTTGTACAACATGTACAGATAGAAGACAAAATGTACCTTCATGCACTTGTCCTGATGGATTTTATGATAATCTCACTCCAATTTGTTAACCTTGCAGTGATGTTTGTACAACTTGTGCAGAAATTGCAGATAAATGTATTACCTGTTCAGGAATCAGAGAAAATCCACCTTTTTGCACATGTCCATCTGGCTATTTTGATTATTCAGGTTAATGTATTAAATGTGCCTTTGAATGTGGAGATTGTGATTCAAATGGATGTATAAGTTGCAAAGGTAACATGAATGGTCCATTTGTTGGTAAATGTATATGTAAGGATGGTTACTCTAGAAAGAGTATTGGATCTATATTTTGTACTAATTGTAATATGGGAGTGCCATATTCCATTCTAATCTCAGGTTTGTCTAAAATTAAAATTGATTTTGGAGGACCTTTAGATTTACTTGATCCAACCCAAACAGGTTGTGATCAGTACTTCTAGGCATCCACTCTCTCTACACTAGGCACTAATCCTATTTGCATCATTGATGATACTACTATCATAGTAACACTTGGCAAGTATGCCACTATCAATGTTGGACACTCCTTCGCTTTTGGATCTGGTTTCAAATTGAAAATATGTACTGCAGGTTTCTCTGTATTTTAACCCAGCACATTAATAATCGATCCAGCTGTTTCGAATGAAGAGAATCTACCATACATTACATTTGTGGCTCAACAGCCTAAAACCATTTGTGAGTCAGTAGTTATCAAATACACTCTGGGTAATACAGGAAGCAGGAATCTAGATATTTTTAGTTGGGCTTTAACTCTACCTTCAAATTATGTGAATGCTCAATTAGATACCATACTTAGTTCAATTACTCCAGCTAAGACCTATGATACTAATATCACTATTCCTAGATTAGTTTTAAAACCATATACAACTTTTTCATTTGACATCCAATTACGTAACTTCTTGGCCTTAGATGCCTCGAATACTTACTTCATCTAAACCTTAGGACCTGCTTAGGTAAGTATATAGATACCTGATGTGCAGAATACCTTCTATAGATATGAAACCACTCAGATCAATTTTACATTCATTTATACAAATTGCACTTTGACTACAGAGATGAATGACATTGTCCATGTTTTGGTTAAATTGGATGCACTCATATTGGCTGAATACGACTAAGCATTCTTCTTTTAGATGAGTTCTGCTTTCGACTTTGAAGTTCCCATCGATCCATACATTCTTGAAATTGGGTCTAATAATATTAGTGTTACACTAAGTATTCCTTCATAGCAACTACAAACTAACGTATTTTTGAATCAAGAAATCTCAGAAGGTACATTGGTTGTAAAAGTAAGTGGTGGAAATAGACAAGTTGGTGATGTGGCCATAGTTATTTTGCAAGCCTCAGTGATAGATTAAGATATAGATCCCAAAAAATCAGATCCATTCCAATATGCATTTTCTTGGACATGTTTTGATGTCTTGAAAGGTGCTGAATGTTTAGATTTGTATGGTAAACTCCTCAAATATCCAAATGGCAAATCTGTGACTATTTACGCCAATGAACTCAGCCAATATAATTCTTATGTCTTCAGTGCATCAACAACAAAGGGAAACAAATAGGCTACAGGCAAATCAATGATTCAAATAGTAGAAGTTGATGTTCCTTAATTGCAATCAGTAAATGAAACAGAAGAAGCAGAGACAATGGCAAAAACATTTAATTATTACGATGAAGTCTAATTAGGATTTTAATATTCCTCAGCTAATCCAGACAACCTATTCTATTCAGCCACTATCATTTATGATTAGGTCTCGGTTAAATCATTCAAATTTTACAGCCTAACCTTTAAATTTAGGTTGCTTGATTATTTCTCCGATCTCAATTCAATTAAAGGTAATGAAATCACACTGAGAACTTCAGTCTATAATCCAACCTACGTCATGCCTTCACTAAGAAGCATTATTCTAACCTATAATTTGCCTCCAATGAATTGCTCATTAATTTTCAACAATCCTGGCGATATCATCTATGAACTTAAAACCTATGTCAACATGACTATAGCTTAATGTGAAGATGAGGATCAACCCCTAGAATATAAAGTATTATTCTACAACGATAAAGACATGTATGATTACGATTTCTCAATTGGGAAATTCATCAACAATATCAACATCTTAGATTATTAATCAAATAGCACAATGTTATTCAAATTACCATTTGTTGGTCCAAAAGAATCTGTGAATTTCACATCTTTCTTAGTTCTCATGATCAAGGATAAGAGGAATGGAATCTCCAATCTTACTACCCCAATAGTTATCACTAAGAATTATGAAATCAATTAAACTCTAATGACTTAAATGATTGATCATTCAGAAAACATCTAAGATACACTCCAAACTTAAGAACTTGTCGTCAGTAGAGTTGTACAAATGGATAATTGCTCAAAATTCAAATATGATTTAATCAGAAAAAACGATTTGATAGCCTAAAATGATTTAACAATAGATCAATAAAATCTGATACTCAATCAAATGATTTAACTGATTAATGACAAAGAAGTGAGTAAATAATTTAAGGTTCAATTATATTCTCTGGATTCATTTGATAGTATCATATAATCCAACTTCGAAAAACTCAAGGCTTTGTAATTAGATTCCCAAAGCACCTTGTAATAACAAAGTTATATCAATAACTATTACAAATACTTTGATTTGTTCTCTTCCTTAATTTCCAATAGTGAGTATTTCAACACAACCAATGAATAGGTGTTGGAATACATAGAGAGTCTTAAAACTTAATTGATTGATCTAACTTTATTGAACAGCGATGGTTTTACCATTGAGAATGATTAAGCAACTCTACAGGTGAAGAAGGCGAGTTATAAAGTTATAAATGAGATAGCAGGAAATATATTGAAAGAAGAGACTGTGTTTAGATTATTGGAATCCGTCTAAGATTCGTCTAATTACTAGTATTACTTTAACAAATTCATTGCGAATCCCTACTTGAATGAGGAGACCTTCCCTAAAAATGATTCATTTGGAGCTGAAGTAGTCTACTTGAGAGTAGTTGATGAATTAACATAATTAAATGCCGTAATGTTATAACCATATACTTACACCTTTATAGTTGACGAGGATTATGCAAATAAGAGAACTATTTGCATTTAAAAATTATTTGATATTTGGACATCTAAAGATATAGAAACAACACTCATCAATAAATCAGCAATTTCATGTAAGATTTCTTATTTTAATCCATTTACACTCGTTATTAATAGTACTACAGATAATAGTACGATAGACAACAGTACAAATGGTAATCCAAATTCAACTACAGATAATACTAATAGTACTGATAATACTGATGATACTGATAATACTGATGATACTGATAATACTGATAATACTGATAATACTAATACAACTAATAATAGCAATAATACTTCACAACTTGATAATACTTCTGACATTTTATTAATATCTGAACCCTTCTTTATTTATTTAATATGTATAGGATCCATCACTTTATTATTTGCCTTCTTTGCTCATTACAAGGATACTCAATTTGCAAAAATCTACAATCAAAAAAAATCCTAATCAGAAATTATCATCACTAATCAAAAAGACGAGACTCCAGATATGAAGAAAAGTGAGATCTTCAATTATAAAGAAAGCAAGAATCATGATGAATAGCACTCACCTTCATTGACGAATATAACAAAGCCTACTTCATTTAAGAAATTTAAGCTAATTCTTTTTAATTTCCATAATTTGGTAAGCATCTTCTATAGAGATGAAGCTTATAGGAAGATTTCCTATTTCAATTATGTGCTCAGATTCTTGTTCATTCAGTTATCCATTTTCATAACATATATTTACTTTTAATTTGACTATCAGTTAGCGCTAGTATTTCTATTGACTCCATCGATATTTTCCATTTATACATTTTTGATGAATTTCCCGTTGAAGAACTAAAAGTTCATAATTCTGAAGCTAATAGTGACCATTCTATCACTGGCTATAATTGGATTAAGTATCTACAGAGTGGTTGATTACATAACAAATGGAAACGAATACAATTTAACCACAATCACCTTTTTCTTGGCAAGTTCAATCGTGTATGACAATCTGATATACAATCTGATTGTAATTATGATCCTCTTTATGATGACCATCAAAGAAGGAGGCATATCTCTTTGGATAATCAAAATGATGCAATCAGCCGATCAAGAGCAAATAATTCATTATCCAAATTCAGATGCCATCAAACCACAATGATTAGAAATAAAATTATAAATTAAATATGAATATTTCAAATTTCATCTCAATAATTCAAATTGTATATTTTATAAAAATGTCAGGTATCAACATAAACATTAATCTGAATCTAGAGAAGAAAAAGTAGAGTTACATTTATAAACTAGAGAGCTGTCAAAAGCAAAGCAGAAAAAGTCTGCAATGGAGAACCAAAAAAAAAGAAGAAGAAGAAATAAAACAAATCCAAATAAACAACAAGTTCTCCCATTCCTTGGGGATTGAACTAAGAAAGACTCAAAAATTACATCTATGCTCAAGTGGCTAAGAGAGATAGCCTATTGCATCAGGAACAAACCAGGAAAGTCAAAATCGAAGATCCAAAATAAGATCGTAGAGAGATTTTAGGAGTCTCGTTTTTGAATCATTTGCCAAAGAAGAAAATTTAATAGATGATCCATAGTAGTACTCTTGAATTAAATTATTCCTTTAGAATAAAAGATCAACGAGGATGAGGAGCAAATGCTCAATTAACCTAAATTCAATGAATAACAATTACACGAAATTCGAATCTATCAAGAATGGAAACGAAAACAAATCCAATTTGAATTGCAATTCAAAAAATAACAAGAACTCGAAAAATAAATCAAAATCCAACAAAACTTATAGAATTTAAACGAATATATTAAATGTAAATCAAACATTATAATATTAGATCGAAATAATACAACCTCTGTTATTCACAGGAAATCAGTGTCTTTCCATAAAAAGAAAAGACCAAAATCATCCTTGGATGAAAAGAAAAGAGAATTAGTTATTTAATATCAAAATTTAGCCAATAGATACGCTTAAATCAATGGAGACACCAGAGATAATTAAAGTTGTTTTGATCTGGTTTTGGATAGTGATTAAGAGGGCATTTCCTAAATGGATTCAATTCAAAAAAGCACAAAGAGACAAAATATTGTTATTTCAGAGCCATCTTTAGATGAAGAAGAAGAATAATAAATACAAGAATTGGGAAACCTAGAAAAGGAAATGGCTCAAATACTCAAGGCAGCAATAGTGATTCAAAAAGTTTGGAGAGGGTATAAAACAAGACATGTTTTAGAATATTATAAGAACTTTGCTGATTAGGAGGAAATGAATCAATTACCATCAATGAATTAAGCTTAATCTTATTTAGAACCTATCAGTTAATCTGTTTAATTAGAAAAGGAATAAAGTGGATTGAAGTCTTCTTAAAAGAGAAATATATCAAATGGTTTCAACTTTGTTGCTCATCAATTGGATTGGGATGATGAGAAATAAAGTCATTACAGTTCATAAAAGGGATCATCTGTTAAGAAATTGTTTCAAGAGAAATCACTTCATAGTATAATCATCTAGAAGTAAAAATAACAATGGCATCTTATGTTAGAACAGATCTCATAACTTTAAAGAAAGGGATCTAAATAAAATATTAAGGAAGTTCTTTAAGATTTGAAGACATTCACTTTGTAAATTGCAAAAGAAATTGATGGAGAACCTATTATAGATAATACAGAAAAGGAATCATAATAACAATCTTTTAAGATGAGTGAAATCAGATAAGCTATGGGATCAGAGAATTTAATTAAATTATCACAGACTTAATCTCCTGCTAATAAAGATGCATCCTTATTTGAATAGAATCCATTTTATGATTTTGCATCAAAAAAGTTTAGAGAACTGCTCAATCCAGAAAATATGAAGAAATTAATCAAAATGAGGGAAACGGCCATTGAAGAAAGACATAAAAATGAATTGAAAAACATTCATGAAGCTTTGCAATAAAAGTAAATCAGTTTAAAGACATTCGAAAAATAAAAATTCAAAATTGAAAAGTGGGTTACAAAAGAAAAGGATGACTTTAAATAGTAGAAATCTAATATTGAAATTGGATGGAAAGGTCTATATGAATCCTTTATCAAAACATAAAAGGATTTGCTATTTATGTCTAAATTGAACAATTAGTAATTAACGTCATCCTTCTCAAGTGAAACTATAAGTAACATAAGATTGATCAGAGAGATTCATTCAGGATCTCAATCAAAACTAGGCAAAGCTAATAATTTTGATACTGCCGGTATGAATTTTAGTTCTCCTATTTGTGAATCATAAGATATCAGAAAAGTTCCGAAATCATCTCCTTCCCCTTCTCCACCTCAATACTACAAAGAAGACAACCAAAAATTGATATATGAACAATTAGAATGGGATGATGAGATGTTGTATACTAGTGATGTTCTAGATTGTGCAAAAATGCAACCCTCTTAAGCCATTAAAGTAAATACACTTGTTCAAAATGAAGCAGAATATGATGATTCTCAAATATAATCATATTGCATTTTAATTGCTAATTCAATTATTGGAAATGAAATACAAGATATGTATGAAGAATTAATGGTGTTTAATAAAAATATCACAGCATCAATAAAATTACCTGAGTTTAAAGGCATAAAATCAAACATTTAATAAGTTAAAACCTATTTAACTAGATTAGAATAATTCTTATTATCATCTGAGTAAAAAGCAACATTAATTCAAAAAATTAATACTCCATTCGGACCAAATCCTAAGGAGATCTTGAAATTCTTTCATTATTATGACGACGAAGATGATTATTAATCTAGTGAGCAGGATTACTCAAATTAAGCTATCTTATCAACATAATTATATGCAGAATTTGAAAATATACTCATGGAAGATGAAAAAATGTCATTAGAAGATGGATTTTTATTAGAATTAGAGCACATTCACAATAAGGTCTTGTATGATGCACTTAATGAAGCTTTGGATTACTATAGACCTTTTGGATTAAATGGTTATCCATTGCCTTGGATTAAACAACCATTAGAGTTGATATAAAGGTAAAATTATGATACAATTTTAGAAATAAAAAGTAAGAAACTCTTTCGTAGATCTTTTAGGGAGCAATAGCATAAGTGACTGATTGGGCATCCTGCTTAGTAGGTTTGATAATTGATAAACCAGACTCTCCCTTTCCGAAAATACTGATGCTTGATCAGGAGTACTTAAATTAGATTAAAGAGGAGAGAATGATTAGAATGCTTAATTAAGAAGTAAATAGTTTTATGATTTTAAAAGATTTATCAAAATGAAGAGAGATGGTTGGTGTATGACGAGGAGCAATCCGAAATTTTAGTTGAAATTTCATTGATGGTTTAAGATTAGTTAATAGATGAATGTTTAAAAGAACTATTACAGTTGTAATGATTATGAATTTTAATATATCAAAGTTTTTCATAGGCTTGGGATTTTAGTTTTATTGAATATATTTCCTGATTTTCTTATGAACTATTTTTGGTCAGATGAAAGGGCTTGAAAATCTATAAATGTAGTCATGATTGACTATCTCATTTTACTTTTTTCATTTTGTTTCATGATCTCACCAAAAGAGCTATTCAAAATTTCTGAGTCTCTTTAATAGCTTGATCTATCAGGATGACTTTATTTCCTCTTCTCCTAATATTTATCAATATCTGATTTTCGAGGAGCAGACATTGATTGCTTCAAATTTTATGTTTATTTCACAGATTGTCTTCTTGATCGTTGCGATTATACAGTCTTTAAGGTCTTTATTGAATTCTTTTAATACAACGATTTAATATCGTTGGTATGAACTGAAAAGTCTAATTGAAATTCCTTGCTTTGCTTTGACCCTCCAGATTCAGAATTCTTTATACTGGTCTTTTTGTTATGTTTTTCAATTTCCAAGCCAGATAACATCTAATATGATTTATAATTAGTTTCTGATGCATTCTTTATATGATGTGTAACAAAGGCTGAATCTAATACTTCACTAATAAGTAATCTATCCTCCACTTTAGATTCCAACATTTTCTTAATCAACTACTTAAGATCCTACGACAATTCAGGCCAAGGATGCTTTTCGAAATTGATTGAACATTTTTAATTCAAAACCTATATTTAGCTTGGCTTTCCTCTAAATGGAGGATATCCAGCAGCTAACTAAAAATAATTACATAATATATTACTATGTATAATACAACACCTAGACTAAACACATCCCCTTTCGAAGTGTATGGCTATCCTTTAAAGATTTCTGGAGGCAGGAACCCTGGAGTTCCAGCTTTGCTTAACAATTATTCCTCATTAATTTGTTCAGCAAATCCAAAATCCACTAATTTCATTTAGAGTGTATCTTTTGATTCTATCATTATATTTTCTAATTTAATATCTCTATGAACAAATCCATTTTAATGTAATTCAAAAAGGGCATCTCCAATTCCTTTTAATATGCATGCAATATTTTTCTCAACCAACCTCCCTTTTTATTTAAAATACTGATAAAGTGTGCCTCCATCACAATATTCGATTATTATCACTAGTTTTTCCTTTTCTTAGTAGACTTCATAGATCTTTTCAATACCAACATGATCAAATGATTTCAATGCAATTACTTCATTGTAGACCATTTACTAAACTATTATGTAAATGTAATTTTTACTATAAACTTCTCTTAATGTTTATTCTCTTCAAACATCTTTTTGGTTATTGTTTTTGCTGCAAATATTGCATCATCTCTTTTCCTTTAAACCTTATACACCGTTGCAAAAGCCCCACTTCCAAGAGTCTCAATTTCTGAATAGATATGTTCATACCCTTTCATTAAACAGAAATCTTGGAGTGCTTCAAAAAATTATAAAGTTAATTCATTTTGATGATCAAATATTGTTATGCCTATACCCTCTGCTCGTTCTATATAGACGAGTGGAATTTAAATATTCTTTTTGGTTTTTTAAAATGAAAGACTTGCTCTGTTTTTGTAACTTAATTCTATATAACCCTTAGGATAATTATCAGATTCCTATTTTATACATTTTAAATACTTTTTTAAAATACATTAGCATTCCTGAATAAGTTAATTTAAAATAATAGCCTTTTGCGTTCTTTTTCTTCCTTCCTATTCGAAGCATTATGCTTTAGAATGCATAATTGTCATGTTGCCATTTCTTTTTATTGTCTTATTGAGTTTTTCTGTTCCAAAAATGTTTGATAGATGCATCTGTTGATACTCTAAAAAATGGCCATTTGACTTCTCCATCAAATTTCGGTAATTTGATCTCTCCTCTCATTTTTTTAATTTATATTTATTATTGATTATCACCTTTCTTTGGCTATTATGTATCTTGGTTCAATTATTATTTCAAATGCTTTGAAAAAGTTGAAGTTCTAGGTATATTTTCAAAGATATTTGCTTAAAATTCTTGATTGATGGTTTTTAAAAGAACAGACTTTTGATTTTCAATGGTGTTCACAAAAATAGCATTTTTTAAATTGCTAGATTCATCAAATCTAAATACTTTTTTCATGACTGATTAAAATAATAATAAATAATAAAAATACATAACATCACTAAAAATCATTAAAATTAACTTTCCCTTTCTTTATTCTTCTGAATTATTGATAATTGATATCAACTTTTGGAACAGATCAGGGAACGAAACAAATTAATATTATATAACTGGTAAATTTTTCAGTACGTACTTTAATTGATATTATATCCATAAAGAATACTTCTCTTATAAAAAATAAATGATTGATTATTTTATCAATATTTATTTGTGTTAATACGAATTGAGAAATTCTAATTAAGCCAAAATAAAAAATTTCAACTAGGTTATGGATATTCTTGTAATAATGATAATATGTATCTATTTCAATCTGATCTCTTCCAATTCAGGATCTCTTCAATCAATGCATCTGTATAATTAACTCTATATCTGTTAAATATTTTCTAATTTTAGTATTAATTTATCATACTTATAATTCCTCCTTGTCCTCCGCATTATTGCTTCCTGCTGTTTATGGGTGTTCACTTGCCTCTTTCATTTTCTTAATTAATTTAGACATCAATTTTTCTAATCAAATATTAAATGCAGACAATTACAATCTTCTTTTGAAAAAAATGCTTTTTCATCACCCTTGTCCTTGTCCTTTAATGCTTTGCTGAATGAAAATCTTGGTTAATATTTTGGTATCCTGGTTATGCCTATTAATAACTTATTCATAATAATAAGATATGTGTTAATATTATATTAATATTGTGATCATAATTATATTGAGTGCCCTTATTCGGATGGACTTCCAATTTACGCTTTTGATAATATATAATTGTAATAGAAAAGACCTCCTATCATTATTATGTAAGCAATCAGTGAAAACCAAAACAACCCAGTAAAGTCAATGGTAAAATCGTCGTAATATTGCTATGAATCATCCCAAACCCCTTAATTAGCTTCTTAAAATCCTATTCTATTATTTTATTTATCGAAGATCGTTATGTAATTGAAAAAAAATGGATCTCCAAAAATCATTTAGTTAGAGAAATCCTTCAATATTTTATTACTTGCAAGGGTGATTTAACAATAACCATCACTCGTTGAATCATCGTTCATTATATAACTAGAGTAAGAGATGGTTAATTTAACTCCTTTCGAAAAAACTACAATATCAGGAAGATATTATTTCTATTTCTCAGTTGGATTGCAAGGACAAAATACTATTCCGAATTGCTTTTTACATGTCTTGAGTAATGAATTTAAAACCAACTCATACATTTCTTCATTCAAGATCAAATCAGAAGTTCCAGTATCCACTAAGGCAAATTGAGTTTCATTGAAATTGACAATGTAATCCTAAATTTAAGCTTAATCTATTTGAATAGTCTAAATCTATATATATTGATATATACCCAATATGAATCTGAAGTTGAATTTATCCATTTTGTGCCATTATTTAACTTTTCATCTGATATATTGTAATATATTCTCGACTGGTATGGAATTTGGTTTAATTGCATAACAAATATCGAATTATTCATAAGTCCTTGTTAAGCTGCAATATCGAATAAGTTAGGAATGCTTTAATCATTGTTTAACCCCATAATTCCATCACTCTGCAGGCCTCTAATTTCAGTTTCCCTTATGATCAAAAGGAAGGGCATAAATGAATGAATATTCGATTGCGGTAATCCAATGTAGTCTTCGACCATTCTTCCAACGACTTTTCCTTTGCCATACTAACTTTTGATATTAATGCATACTTAAATTTCTACAACGTAATCGGATACTTCGAGTGTCTTTGATTCTTCTGCTCTAAAGTATTCTTAGTTGTGACAACCAACACATCCATATGAAGGCACCCACAATTCACCAGACCCAGTATCATAAATGACGGTAAATTCTTGTGGTGGTGTACCTATTTTGACAACTCCATAGTATTGTATATTTAAAAAGTTAGAGATATTATTTTGAGGTAAGGTTTGCCTTCTGAATAAATTTATTGAAATTCCAAATGCAGAGTTTAAGAATAAAAAAATAATTATCATTGTTTTATTATTGTTTATTTAATAAATTATAATACTGTTTCCAAATATTTCCACATTCATTCAAAATATTTTGTATTAACATAATGATCATCAATTTTGGAATTTAAATTAAGATAAGTGTATGGAAGTAAATAAAATATTAAATTAATTTCAACTTATAGGATTATTAAATAATAGTCTGAAAAAGATAGTTGTCAAAATAATTTATTAAATCTGCTTAAGTTAGATTATATAATAGATTTATGATTATCAATAAGAATTCTAGAGTTTGATTCATCATCAATAAATAATTTGTATGTGTTGCTTAAGTTGGAGAACAAGATTATATATAGTGAATCTATATTGGAACTCATATATTCTTTTCTTATTCTGCAATCTCTTTTCAGTGTTGTTCAAGTATTCAAGTATAAAATATATAAGCATCAATTTGTTTTCAGATTTTACGGCAACCATTAATTTATATGCCTGTATAAAAAATAATGTCCAATATGATTGGGTCTCCGAAATTAAGTTAAGTGGATTTGACAGCTAGTCATAACTTTCCTTTTTAATGATGATATAAGGATTCGAAGTCAAATTATCCCTTGATTAATAGTTGTTACTTATTGGCAGTGTTTAACTAAATTCTAATATGATTTATCCATTCTCAATATATATAGGCATTAGAGTATTGAGTATCATCAAATATTATAGAATACGGTAATGAATGCGAGTGTAATTTTAGTAGACATCCTCTATAGATTTTTATATAAATTAATAAATGTTTGAAAAATGTTTAATTTTAAAAAGATTAATGCATAAATCTATTGTTTATATACTGTGTTTGCAGGTCAGACTAGTTATTTAGAATTAGATAGCTGATATGATTAGATGAGATTGTATTTAATTTAGATTAGTTAGAAATATTGAAATATGAGATATTTTAGCTGTTATTTTGAAAGATAACAGTAATTGGAACTTGCAGTGGCAATGAAAAAAGAATTTATATTCATTTAAATTTTGTAAAGAGTTCTCTTGGCGCAAGGTTTAATTTTGGAGGCTCCTTGTTAATGTTAAATTTATCTGCATATTTATTAAATAGTTCTTAATCCGGGTTACCAAAGCGATTAATTGCATCTTCTTTCATACGTCCGTATTTCAATTCTATCTTAGTTTTACGAAGATCTTCTTCATTTTGAAAGAATTCATTTGATGTGATATGTGGCTAGCATAATAGTCAATTGTTTTACTTACTCGGTTAATTTTACGTTGGTTAAAATCTTTACTCATAGTTAAGTTTTAGACAGGGGATCTTTCAAGTAGTTTTTTGTTGTTTATTTTCTTATCTGTTTTAATACGAAAATTGTTATTTTAAAGAAGTGGAGCTTTAGGTGCCTATTATTCAGGTTATTGGTTATCCCATTCATCTTCATTAATTTCCAGCACTCTGAAGTTGCCTCCCCTGAAATATTATTATAAAGTGATTCCATTAATTCTTTGAGCTTGACTCGACTCCTATCTTTAATGACTCTGTGACACTAATCTCCGCTTTTCCATCCTCGAGCACTTCGATGTTTCTGGACGCATGCCTTATTCTTCCATTTTTTAATTAATATTATTATATTATCATTCATGATATGTACATCTTGTTCACTTCTTCAAACTGTTAACAAAAACCCTTATTCTTAATTTTAAGCCTAAAAATGTACTATCCCTGTACTCCTAACCCTCTAGAAAGAATACTTACACATTGACAATCTTTATAGAAATTCCACATAACTGAATAAGTGCTTGATGATGAGATAACAAATCTTTGAGAATAGAAATTCTTTTATCTCAGATTGTTAACGGTATGCCGAAAAAAATTATGAGAATAACTAAATAAAATTGGGGTTCAACTTCTTCATTCAAGAAGAATTCATTATTTAGCAAATCAAATTTAACAATTGAAGTTGAAAATGTTAAGAAATACTAACGATAATAATTATTATATGAAATCATAAAAACGCATGAATCATTTTACTGAAATTTGCTTAAATAACTATTTATCATAAATACTATATAAATTCTTTAGAGTTTTTTACATTTTGATTTATACCTTAGTTAAATCGTTTAGAATTATTAAAATTTTATGAATTTCAAGTTAAAATTACTGAAGATTCAAAAAATAATCTCATTTATTATCTAAATCTGATTAATTTTTCAAGAATTTAATATTAATTAGATAACTGATTTTATGTTAAGGTTTCAATAAATACTTAATGACTACCTTATGAAATCAGTTTAGATATGTACTTTACATTTAATATAGTAACAACATTAAATAACTAAAATATTATCAGTTGTCATCATCACTACTAACTAATTATGAAGCTGCTCCCTCATTTTCATCAGGAATCTATGTTAATGAATTCAAATACTTATAAGTTTCTATTCACTTAATGCAAAATTGGAATTGTTTTATAGATCTCTTTCTACCAAGCGAATCTTAGAATATTGAAATTAAATACAATTATTGAAAGATTTACTTTTCATCCTCTCCATTGAGTTTAGGAAATACTGTTTGATTTAAAGGAAAATCTGTCAATTTGTACTCCTAATTATATGATTAAATTATTACATGAATATCAACATCATAAACTGATTGAGCTGCCATCATTTTCTCATACATGCCCATTTTAGCCCTATTCAAAATGTATTACACTTATTGCAAGTGATTTTCTATTTCTTTAGATATTTAGGCATCTTCTTAATCAATTTTTTTCATGGATGGAATTTGTCTACCCTTATTATCTGAAGTGGGTTGTTCCTATTTTTTTTTAGTGCTTGAACCCTATTATTTTTGCTTTTGCTTTTGGTCACTTTATTCAACTTATTATTGTTGGTTTTTATTTTGAGATTGATTTTAATTTGTTATCTATGCTACCCCATTCTGCATTTCCTTCACATATTATGGAAGGACGGGCTAAGAATATTGTTTGGTATCAAATGAGTGATCCTATATGCCTGGTAATGAATCCTAATTATTCTATTGAGAAGGCATGGACTGAGGTGTTTTAAAGGATTTTTAAATACTATAGTTTGTGTGTTATTTCTATCTTTCATCATATTAGTGAGTAGGAGTGAATTATTATTAGGGATTTTGTTTGTTTGAAGGATGAATTTATTATTAATCATTTTTAATCTACTATTAAAATTATTATGATTATTATTACTATTGTTATTAGATAGGTATTTACTATTAAAGATTATTAAGTTATTGTTAAGATGCATCGTTTGGTTACTGTGTATATTTCTAATTAATCATTTACATTTGTTATTCAAGTTTTTCTCTTTAAAATTATAAGAATTGCTCTTATTATCTTTATTAAGAAACAACATTAGGAAATTAAGGTTTCTTTACATTGATTTTAACTTCTTGTTACCAAAATTCTTAAGGATTATATTAATAATTAGGATCTCGTTTTTATTGTATGATTTACTCAACCCTTTGAATTTTGTTTCTATCTTGAACTTCTTGTTCACTAGCATAATCTAGATCTTCTCCTTCACTTTACTCATGTTGATGTGATTATCTTCTAGAGAGTTGTCTTGGCTTAAACATATCATCAAATTGGTTTTACAATTTCTACCTTCTAAACCTATCTTCGCTATCAGAATCACTCTTCTCATATTCAAAATCTCCTCCCTTTTCCTTTTTGATTCTTTCAATGTCTTAATGTAATCTCTGAATCTCCTTCTTTCTCTTTTTCTATTCTTCCCTTTGAGCTTTGGTCAAATGCTTTTTGTGTGGTTTCTATAATTCCTCTGTGATTTCTTGGATTGTCTGTTTTAATTCCTCCTCTTGAATTGGTTCAATCTACTAAACAGTAGGTTGTCTTTATTCCCTTTATAGATTTTGATTGTTTAGTTCACTTAACTATTAGATAACATCTGATTCTTATCTTTATAGAGTTGAGGGTCGCTATGCTTTGATGGATTGCTTTTTGGTTAATTTTTTTGGATCCTTTGGTTTTCCAGTCTTTTTGGATTTCTTCATATCGTTCACTCTATCATCATCTTCATCGATCTCATTTAGTTCCTCTTACTGGATTTCTTACTTGTGATTGTTCGGAGTAGCATGTGGATGTTATAAGTCATCAATGTCCGATTGAGATTGTCTATAAGAAGACATAGAGTCTTAGCTCTACTATATAGATTGAATAATCTGATCAGCCAAAGAGTCGAATTATTATTCTAGATATTCTCTTTGCTTTTTCTCATTGACTTGATAGTAATCATTGAAATCACTCATCTAGACCTAATAATGATCAGGAACTTTGACTTTGAAAGCCTAGGTTTTGATCTTCTTAACAATTTCACGGTATTGTTTAGTCATCATCTACATTCTGTGTATATAAATGAAAAGAGCACAATTACTTTAAGTCATAATCGATGTGTTCATCGTTTAGGTACTTTTCCATAAACTTGAGTAAGCGATTCTGTATTCGTTCGTTGGGAATGACTTGTTTACTGAAAGATTTGGTGTTGTTCATCAACCTGACTTCAAGTCCGACATCAGAAACTTAGAAGCTGTAAAATTAATAATTACATTCTGGTCTGTAATTGTATTTATTCAGACATAATGATCGATTGAGCAATTCTTCTTACTGAGTATGCAGTATGATTTGCTAGGTCTCGTAATCTTTTGAATATCCTGGTATTTTGATATCAGAATAATATTATTTATTATTATTAGAGTTGGGCATCTTCTTCAAGTAAGCGGTTACTTTTCTCTGGAAATCAGTCAGGAGCACCTTAGCTTGCATTTCGTTCAATTTCTGAGTGTTACTGCTCTAACTACAGATATATTTGGGAGTGCTTACAAAAATACAGGAGACTTAGTTAAATTGTTGTATTCCTTTAAATTGTAGATGGAAGTGTGATGATAGAAATTTTTGCCTTCGTCCTTCTTTAAAGTATGCAACTACTATGACAGCCAAATTTCATACACTCAACAACTTCAATTTGCTGGTCGGTTTCCTGATTCTGGTAGAACTTTGTTGATCCTAACTGAAGTTGTGTCCATTACTGTCATACTTGGAATAATGATCCAAATGAAGAAGATTCAGATTCTTTGCATAACGAAACTGTTATCCTGGTAATGGTAGTATGTCGCAAGAGTACATTTAATTAATTAATTAAATGCTATTTGTCACAGAACAAAAATTCATCAATATCTCCCATCCTCGCAAACTGCTCTCCCTCATACAGGATTATGAACTCAAATTCCGTCCTGACTCTCCCATCACTCAAAAAGCCATGGAAAGTCTGGGATAAGATCGTTATCACTTTCGTCGAAAGTTTCATTTGTGATCTGACTCATCTAGGAATAAGTTCGAGTTGCATTATCACTTTGACATCCACAAACTCCCCTATACTGAAACAGACCTATAGAAGGCCTATCTAAATTACTTGAGGGAACTCATCAGTATCTATCATACATATCTATCTTATAGTGGATTACTAGAATCTCTTTGATAACAGGAAACGAATCAAGGCTGATTTTGAAAGGAGAAAGAGAGAAGAAGACGAACTCAGAGGCTAGTATATTCATATTTCAAACTTAGTAAGTGGCCAGAACCTGCTCTAACCAGAAGGGTTATAAACCCCTCAGTTGAATACTTCACTTTGGATCAGAGATTGCAATTCATTGAAGAGGAGAGGAACAAAGAACAAAAAATCAATGATTGCTTTGCGAAAGAGGCAATTAGGTAGGAATTGGACAGAAGACTCAAGTTACAAGAAAACTAGTAAAGGGAAGAAAAACGACTTGCTTCACGTAAAGAGACCTTTGAAAATCTCAAGAAGAAAGCAGCATTGGAGAATAAGAAAGTGAATGAGAAATTATAAACTCACTAACAAAAAGTCAGGGAACAATTAGAAAATGATTTTCTTAATTCAAAATCTATTCAAAAGAAAATGGAAGACAAGTAAGACTCTTTGTTATATTATCCCTTTAGAGAATTGACAATTCAATAACAACGAACTAAAATGATATCTGAGATTGCCTCTCGCAATCGTAAGTTAGAAGATAAGATTAATCACTTTAAAGATGATTTCGGTAATCGTTTGATGGAAGATCTTGTGAGAAAACAACACGCTTTAGAATTATCAATGAACAAACGATAGAAGACTGCAGAACAAATGGAAAAAAATAGATTGGAAAAGCAATAGTACTTTGAATAGAAATTGAGCAACATCAATCTAAAAATTAAGTAAGAAAGAGAAGAAAAGGAATATCAATTATTCAATAAAGTTGGTTAGAAACTATCCAAAACAGAGAAATTGCTAGAAGAACATGAACAGTTACTTTTGAAAATGTCATAAGCCAAAAAGAATGAACATTAATCAAGATTCTCAAAGTAGAGGGAAAGATATAAGCAATCAGAAGAAAAACAGTAAGAAAAAATTGAAGAATGGGATGAGAAATTAAAAAGCATTTAAGATAGAATTGAAAAGTTTTAAACCAAAAAAAGTGAAGAATGGAAATCTTTCAAAGAACAAAGGATTTAAAATCAAAAAGAACACTTAGAACTTATTCAATTTATTAAGAAGAAGAAGGAAGTAATCAAAGTTATTAATACTAGGATAAACATTAAAAGCAATAATTAGAAAGCTTAAATAAGGATTAAAACAAATTCAAAAAGAGGAAGGATGAATAGGAATACATTCGTACTTATCTAACTATTTCCAAGTAGAAGTTTCAATAGATCACTTAAACTTAGAAGGGAGAATTAGTTAATTTGCAATATTCCTCACCTCTTGAGTTGCTAAAGTAAATGTAGTTATTATACAATTAGTAAATTAAAAGATCTAGAAGATGAAGAAGCCTTTGCAGATATTCAATAAAAATACAAGTAGATTGTCAAAGTCCCAGAAAAACAACCTGTAGAATGATCAATGTTTTAATCATTTCTTTTAAACTATCTAATAATTTTTATACCAAAGCTATTTTAAAATAATTCAATCTCTTTGATCTATTAAGAGGATTACACTTTGGGATCGATACTTGAATCATCAAAGAATAAAGAGGATACTGTTTTGGTATGTATAATACGCAGGTTTTGAAACATTTGGAATGCGATATGAAATAGCGATTATGAATAAAATAACATGATGGATTCGTAATAAATTTGGTTTTAATTAATATATTAAAATTCATTTCAAGCATAGGTATAGTCAGTTTTGATAGTATCGAATAATTTATCAACTTAGGCTTTCAGCACATTGGCTAATTGTCTATTGCACTTGGACATCTATTCAATTAATCATTAAGGCAGTACTTATTGAATAGTTTTATTAATTTATTGACGTTAATTATCTAATTAGACCTATTTGGTTTTGTGTTTGTTTGAATCGCATTTTTGATGGTGTTTATTCTTATTGCTCTAATTTTAATTGTTCTCCTTATCCCAATCAATGTTATGAATGTTTGGTTTGATGATTTCGTAATGCTATGCAACAGAGTTGATGGAATTGATGGTTGCTCTACTACCATCAAGATTGTCCTCAAAATTAAGATGCTGAGGGATTATCACATCCCTATGAGACTGACTGATGTTCTTGATGAATTCTTCTGATTTGCGATGGCAACTTTCATCAGTTCGTTGTTTCTCCAGTTTCATCACATTCCTCCTTATTTAATACATCTCATGTAAGGGACTGAGCAGGTCGGAACTAGACTTCCTGCCTTCTTCAGTGATTGCATGAGTTTTTAATCGTTGTTACATAATTAATATATTTGAAAATTATTGGTAAAAGTGAAAGTTTATTTATATTTAATAAATATATATATATTTTGTTTGTGAATGTCCAAATTGAAAAGCCAAGTAAAAAGTGATGATTTATATTAAAGTCTGTTTCCAATTAAGCTTTATGCACTGATACCTCAATTCAATAATAGAACCATCAATAAGTAAAGCAGGAGAACCAATACAATTTGAGTAGCACTGATTGTAAAAGGCAGAAATCCTTCTTAGGAGATCGATTTGTTACACAATTAAAGAAGAATTTTACCATCATTCAGGAGAACTAAATGGAGAGTCAAGACATGGCATCAGCTCAAATGGCATTGGAGATGCTTTATAAATAGTAAATACTGGAATAGGAACCTATATTTGAGTCAGACTCAATGTAATTTATCAATCAAAGTGGATTTTAATACAATCAGCAGAATAATTTCGACATCCACAACTCCAAAATTTACAACAGGTAGATGCAATAATTAATAATATCACTAGTATTCTGATAGATCATAAGTACTTTACAATATCAGAAACTCTCTCTAATTATTACGGTAAGTATGTGAGAAAAATACCGAAAGTTCCATTTAAAGTTCTTGATGCTCCACAACTTTAAGATGATTTTTATTTGAATTTAATAGATTGGAGTAACTAGAATTCCTTATCAGTTGCATTGAATTCTTGCGTATACTTATGGTATGAATGACTATTAATAATTTCAGGAATGCATAATCGTCGAAAGTTACAAAATTGTTGGATCTCCATAATGATTCAGTTACAAGTGTGGCATGGTCGCTAAGAGGACCGCATTTGGCTGTTGGAACTAAGATAGGAGAAGTCTAAATTTGGGATGCTATTAAATTATAAAGAGTTCGCACTTACAAGGGACACATTGCAAGAGTAGGGACATTGTGCTTTTCAGATAATGTACTGAGTAGTGGCTCAAGAGATAAACTAATATTGTAACGAGATTTGCGATTAAAGGGAAATTACTTTCTGAAACAGTCAGCTCACAAATAAGAAGTTTGTGGTTTGAAGTGGTCACCTGATGGATAGATGTTAGCATCAGGAGGTAATGATAATAAACTGTATCTTTGGTCTTCACATAAACAGGATAAACCAATATTCAGATTGTCTGAACATTAAGCTGCAGTAAAAGCTATTGCATGGAGTCCACATCAACATGGATTGTTGGCGAGTGGGGGAGGCACTGCAGATAAGACAATCAGATTCTGGAATGCTCTTGAAGGAAAACCATTACAAAAAGAAGACACTGGTAGTCAAGTCTGCAATCTCATGTTTAGCAAAATTGATAATGAGCTTATTTCCACTCATGGATATAGTCAAAATTAAATTGTTCTGTGGAGATGTAGCAATATGAAAAGGATATCTACCCTGGTTGGACATACATGCAGGTATTATCCAAATTTAAATATAGAGTACTTTATTTAGCTATGTCTCCTGATGGATCTACTATTGTTACTGGAGCAGGAGATGAAACTTTACGCTTTTGGAATTTGTACCCTCAAATCAATTAAGATTAAAAATAGCCTAACGGGTCTTTGCTTATTCCAACTATTCGATGACCATTTTGATAATTCTACTTAATATTTTTATAAATTTATTAAATTTTATAATCAATAGTTCCTATGTTTAAATGAATATGAGAATAAATCAAAGAAATTAGGGATATGAGTTTGATAGAGATTTTAATAATTCTTTATTACTAGAAAAAACTATAGTTTGAATCATAACATATTGCTTTTCAATTTATTGATCCAAAATTGTTATAGCTGATTTAGTATACCAGCTAACTTATTCCTTTTTTAGTAGAGACCATAAAGTTAAAATTTTGAACTCTAATTAATTAGTACACTAAATCAAAGAAAATATAGTTGATGATAAATTCAAAAAGAAAGTTGAAATATTCATAAAGAATAAAAATATTAATAATAAATTAGAAGTTTCATAAAAGGAAAGCATTCAAAGATCAAATAGCAAATTAATGAAATATCAAATCACTAAGGATATATTTATGATATGGTTTTATGCTTATCACCTTGTCTAAGCGAATTAGTTTAACAATAGAGAAAGAGTAGAATGTGTTTGAAATGAAGAATCCATAAACAATCATACTTATTATATATATTAATAGTTAACAAGTGTTTGACTATTGAATATTAATTCAATATTATACCCCTAAGAGTGCTGTGAATGAATGTCAGATATTGAAGGAATTTCTAAGAGAAATACGGTTGGCATATATGGAATGGGAATAAAGAAAAGAGGGAAGTTTAAAGCTGAGATTATAATAGTATTTGATGTAAAAATTATTAAATAATAATTATGAATCCAAAATAACCTGTATTTATTTAAGGTATATGGTAAATTCAACATAGAGGCTAAATTGGACAATTATGAAATTGTGAAACATCTAGGCTAAGGTGCTTACAGTGAGGTTGTGTTGGCAAAAAGTAAAGTCACTGGGCATGAATCTGCTCTGAAAATTGTGGATAAGGCTTTTCTAGTTAAGGTATGGCAATTCAATAAGGTCAGGAAAAAAAGATGCATCATGCTTGCATTGAAAGAGAAGTGTTGGCATATTTGAGACACAAAGGAATCATCAAGCTATTCCATTCATTTGAAGACTAGTCCAAATTGTATTACTCGTTGGAATTGTTAAACGATGGCAATTTATTGGAATACATCAACAGTATTTAATAATTTAAGATAGAGTATAATTTTAATGAAAAAATGATACAATTTTATACTGCTGAACTTTTGTTAATTTTGGAGTACTTGCATCAAAATGGTTTGGTACATAGAGACGTAAAGCCAGAGAATATTTTATTGACTAAAGACAAACATCTAAAATTGATAGATTTTGGAACAGTATTTGTTTATGATGAATCAAAAATAAGTATTGGGACCAAGTTGGAAGAAATTAGAATTCAATTCCAAAAACAAAGATCTCCATCCTTGAATGACTTCGAAAAGCCTCCCATTAAATATTGTCGAGATTCTAGTTTTGTTGGTACATCCGAATACCTGTGTCCAGAACTAATTGATTATAACGTAGTTGGACCTCAAGCAGATTTATGGGCCTTAGGGTGCTTCATTTATCAATTGTACACTCATCGAACTCCATTCTACTCTGATAACGAGTTTCAGTTATTCCACAACATAAGTTAATGTGAATGGGAGTAAGATTAAAGAATACCAAATGATGCTTTGGAATTGATCAAAATATTATTAGATAGAAATCCATTAAATCGATTTTATGGAGATATTAATGGTATATATGCTATTACAATTATTAAGATTCCGACTATAATTACGATAGTTTGAAAAAACATCCCTTTTTCGGTGGAATAGACTTCACTCATATTTGGCTGCAAGATGTTCCTCAACCCAGTATACACAAATAAAAGAGGAAGTTAAGTAGATATCAAACTACCATGTTGGACAAATAAAAGGAAAGAGAAAAGCCTGACATCAGGGGCAATTCAGTGACTAAACATCAGACTGATCAAATAGTTTTAAAGGGCAATGTGGATAAAGAACACGGTGTATTATTTATGACTTAGTTTTCTATCAGGTATGCCAATATCAGTATACAGGGTGGCATACCATATTTCAATTACATAAATCCACAGTTGAATAATAAATTGGTATTTAATGGTGTTTATGTATTTAGACAATTATTCCTTTGAATTAATTCACTTCGTGCAGATTATTAGGCAAGGGTAAATTCATTGTAGGAGATAAAAATAAGAAAAAGTATATCTTTAAAGAAAGGGATCACGATGTAACAGCTTAGTAATGGGTGAATACTATGAATAAATATATTAATCTTAATCATTTCTGATTCTGATTAATTTAATATTTGCTATTATAAGTTTAACTTACTTTATTATATTCATATTGGTGTTTGTTTATCTATCATCTCTCTTCAAATCAAAGGTTAGTTAGGAATGATACATGCACTATTGCCCTAAAATGTATTCCATCTAATTTTATGATTACTCACCTCAAGTTTATTTATTGCTATATAGGTTTGTCTATAAAAATATAACCCAAAGATTTGAAACTATTGTTAAAAAAAGCGGAATGTTGTGTTAATGGATTTATTTCTTAAGAATAGATAGCCTAAATAACTAATTATGAGTAACTTTTATGGGGATTGATATTTCTCTCATACACATTTTTATTCTCTTATACCTAGAATTATTTTAATTACACTTAAGGTAATAGTCTTAAGATGAAAAATAACTAAGAATGGAACTTGGAATATCTTCACAGAAGTGGCATGGAATGATTATGTGAAATGAATCTAAGGTTTATTAGAGATAGATCAATTATTTAGTGCCTGAGGGTAAGAAATCAAAGGTTGTTGTTGAGAATAGAATTAAATTCTAAGTGGATTATTGAGTATGGAATATAAAATTGAAGAGGAAATTATTATTTCAATAATTATTTTATGGGATTGTAAAATCTGTAAAATAAAAAAAATAGAAAATACAAAAATCTATTACTTTTTTATTGAATTTGATTATTACGATGGTTATTCATGTTATTTGGATTTTTTGATTGATTAATTTTATATAAATGAATATAGTTACGTTATTATAAAAGTAAGAGAGAACAAAGAGGGAAGTGTAAGCCTTGATTGAGTGTTTAGGATAGGTAAAGTTCTTGAACTAGTTGAATAATGGTCAAAAGTTATATTAAGCAACATTGAGGGGATTTGCTGAGAAAGCAACACTAATTCGATACGAAAAAGGTAAGTTGTTGATTGATTAATGAAGAATAGGACACATTATTTGGAGGGATGGGATCAAGTAGGAAAAACTATTTATAATTTTGAATGGTCGAGTGTAGGAATATGTCTAATTAGATGATGAGGAAATAAATAAAAAGAGAAGCGATCTGATTCAGCATTACCCAGAGTGCTAAAATCTATTCATAAATAAGCCTGGAAGAAGAATAGTCTATGAATACGAGAGTGAAACAACTGATTTAATTAAAGCATCAATTAATGATAATATGAGAAGAAGGAGAAGTCTGGTTTTCGATATTCCTTCCATGGCTGATGTACCTCTGATAAGGAGTTCATCGGTAATTTAGAAGAATGTGTAACCATTCTCAACAATTACAATCAACGAAGTATGCAATATTGTATAATCTAATTTAGGCTCCATTATCATATATGATAGTGTTGAGTAGGGAGGTCAGAGAATGTCTTAGGGAAGTGAAATTGATAAATGACTATCATTTGCAATACTTCATTGAAGAATTTGTGTTAGCAGTAAGATAAGGTAGAATGTTTTCGCATGGAGAATTGTTGAACTCTGATATCTCTAAGAAGAAGTTTGAAAACACACTGCTATGCCTTGAAGACACTATGATCATGTAAATAGGTTTGGAAGATTATCATAATATTGAAATTCACTTGAATTAAAGAAAATAATAGAAAATTTGGGATTTGATTTATTCTGGTTTGTTTGGGAAGAGTAAAGTCAATTAGGAAGATGTGAATCAAATCATGAAAGTGTTGGTCAATAAATATACTTCCAAAAAGTACACTTAATACAACATAGTTTACATTCAAGGAGAAGTTTAAAAATTCATATACATAGTTAAAGAAGGAGAATTTTAATTATCCTTCGATAATCAAGAAAGCGTATTACAATCTACTACTGTGATTGCAAAGGTGAGTTAAGGGTGTCTATTGGGCGAGGAATCCTACACAGCCAATCGACACATCTTTAAATGTACTAGTATATCTTCGAAAAACAAAATAATTGGCCTGAGTATTCATGATTTAGAAGCCTTGGGCCATAAATTTGTATGGTTTAGAGATTTAATGAAGAACAAAGAGAGAATCAAATAACAGTGGCTGAAGACAAGAATGAATGAGAATGTGCACTTCAGTCTTAAATTAAATGAGAAACAATAGAATTTTGAAGAAGAAAAGAAATTGCTATCTGAATTCATAATGCCTGATCCAGCAATTCAGATAACCTAATTCTAAAGGTTGTAACCCAGTCGTCCTCAGATGGTTACGCCTTCACCTTTAAAACGCCCAAAATTAATTAAAACCAATACTTAGAGGAATATTAATACTAGTAGAAATAACAGCAAAGGGAGCACTAAGAAATTGGAGAATTTGAACATATTTGGAAATGAAATCTTGTGTGAATTGGGTATAGGTAAGATAGCCACTTAAAATACAAAGATTAGTAGTTTTGAACCAACTGATCATTCATTAACATACAGAGATACTAGCAGACTCTTACTAAAGAAGATTAGGAGAGCATCAAATTACAATTCATCTCAACCAGTGTCTCATAGAGATAATAGCACTATGACAAATGAAATTGATGTTGTGCCCATGATGATGAATATGAATAAGAATTAGCTCCAATTCCTAAAAACTATGGTAGGCAAGTTTAACTATAAGAATTCTCAACCTACTGAGTGTACAAATCAATAGAGTACTCCTGTTTTCATACAAACTATCTATCCGAAAAGGATTGTGAGGAGGACATGGCAAGGATATGATTGAAACTGCATTAAAATGTTCAATATATTCAAACTTACTGTAATAATTAATTGAAGTAATCCAAATGTTCTTCTTTCTTAATTCATTTACAGCAATCCACTTTCTTATCTCACACATACCAATTTTCATTTTTGATTAATTAATATGCAAGATAAATCTAATACTAATTCAAGTGTCATTGAGTCTTAATCGCAGAAGAAGGGAGTTGAAAGTTTTGAATAGCAGAAAAGGAAACGAACACGCAAGGTCAGCGATGCACTTCGCATATATAAGTGTGAGTGTGGGAAGTCTTACTTGAGTTATCCAGCCTTGTACACTCACAACAAATAAAAACACAATGGGGTTTACAAATGACATAATACTGTAGTAATCTCTAAAGAACCTAGATGAACAAAGACAGGATTCGACGATTTCGGAGTCTCAGACTCAATCCATCTTCGCTACTCTTGCAAATGCCTTAGGTAAGTAAGAAGACCAACAACAGACTTCTCTTACAAATAAGGACATGTATGATCTCGTGATGTGGGAAATCTAGTTATATATGATGGAATCTGATTCCAAAGAGTTTCGATTAGACTATTATCATGAATTATTGAAATAAAGTTCTCCTGTTGAAGTCTCCACTCCTCAACATGCCTTCATCAAGTTCATTCATGAAGTCAAAGAAGTCCTGAGCTTTGAGTAGATGAAATTAGTCTTTCTTTTTGTGTATTCCTTCAGACAATTACTCTTAGAGAATCCAGATTGCCCAACGAGTAATTTGGTTGAGAAGGCTAACCAGCTGATTTGTTCTCAATTAGAAAAGGTTTTAAAAAACATCTAATAACTTTCGGAAAGAAACTATATTGTAAATTTAAGTAGAATGGGAAATCTGCGAGAAACTATGATCCAAATTGTACTCGGCTTTTGCAATTGGCTCTATGCTCGTAATTTGACTGATGACAAGTTATCTCTAAAGAGTGATTCGGATTGATTTTTTTATATCTATATAAGCAATCATTCTTTGGGACCTGTCTCTTGTTTGGTTAATATGATCTTATTAGGGTCGAAAGGCCACCTATCTATAAGCTACTAGGGTTTGTCTAAGTAACTACCGTCACCAAAATTGACTTTTAGCCCATACAATTTGCCCTAAATAGATATTTAAACATTAATGATACCCAAAATGGAGGATGTCCAATGTCATTTACTAAATGGAGGTACAGTTTATTTGGAATCATGTGTGTTGCCTCTAGAGTATGCTCTTGGATTCCAGCTGGTTGTAAAACATAAGCTCTCACTTCGTGTTAATGGTAACCAAAATATACAAACGTCCACTGATAAGGTTTAACAGTAAATGAATGTTGTAAAGATTCAAATGAAGGATCCTTAATAGTATAAGTTGCAGCCGTTAACTCATTTACCTTAGTAAAGAGTGCCAGTGTCCTGTCTCCAATAAATTGATTGTCCTACCCTACTTCTTCATTATTGGAAGTCAGTCTTAACAACCCTCTGAATACATCTTCCATCTCTGGCAGAAGTGGAGCATTTTAGTACCAAAAACCTATGCTATAACTGAGCATTTCCTATTTATCATCAAACTCATATCTAAGTTCATTCTTCTTTTCATCCAAATCATCCCAATTAGTAGTGTCCAGCATTTTGACTGGCCATCCAAATCCTTCGGCAGACTATGAGCTTATGGGAACCTTACGATGCAATTTCTGAACCATTGCCATTATAGTTTCAGGATTATTTAAGAAAGCACCAGCTCCCAAAAATACTCTTGGATCATAGATCCATCCATGGAATGACTTATAGCCAAATTCATTTGCTGCAAGAACCAAGTTGGCATGCCCAGTAAATACAAAGTGTGTCACATCTAAACTGATTTGTTCTACATGTTCTCTATCCCTGAAAATAATCAATCCGTAAAACTGTTTATTTTTATAACTTGCATAAATGTAGTTCCATTCACCTTCTAAATTTTCGTAATTGACTTTTGCATCAACTGCATTGTTTGGAGCCGATACATCATAAGTGCTGAATTCATAAAATCCTTTTTTGAGGAATGCTGATAATGCTCTATTTCCCAATTCTGCCTTATCCTAATACTCTAAGGTCTATGATAGACGGAATATGGTGTGAGTATCAGATCTTTCAGTCAAAGTAGTTGGAAAAGCTATCAACCATCTAGTCCACATACCCACAGCATATTCATCTACAGATTCAACTTCTTTGTCGAAACTTTATTCAAGTTTAGTATCAATTGTCTTGTCTTCTTTCATAAACCACATATTTTTCTTATTCTTAATAATATATCTTAGATTTGGCATTGTTTCTTCGTCGTAAGTGTGAGATCCAGCTCCAAATAATAACTCCCACTTGTGTAATTCTCCTTGGAATTTCCTGCTAAATGAATCCTTACCCAAATAAACAAACATATTATTGGCAACAAAATGCTACACATCCTTGAATACAACAGGATCATCTTTCTCAAATAGTTTTATTAAAGTTGCAACCTCTCTCTTGTCTTCACTATAGCTAATATAGATATATGTCCAAGCTCTTTTAGAATTGCCCATTTCTGCCTTTGCCTCCAAAAACTTGGCTTCATTCCAATCCTTCAAACCTGCAATGCTATAAGTACTAACCTTTACAGTGTCACTTGTGCACACTTAAGCATGCAAAGTTCTATCTCCTTATTATTTCCTATCCGATAAGTGTTCTTCATCATTGTTGGTCAGTCTGAATAAGAGTTAACAAGGTGAATTGATTTCCCCTTCAATTTTAGTTTGTACTTCAGCAATCTTAAACCAACCACTAATGGCATATTCTCCGATTCCTTATAATTGGGTTAGTTCTTGGCTCTTATATTGTTCTAGTTCCACTTATCCCTTCTTCTGCTTTTGGATGTACCCTACAGTTAATTCCAAAGGCAAAGCATAACTAGATTCTATTGATTTTAAGAGTTATTCCTCATCATCTACGTAGGCTTCCTTGCCCAAATGAGCTGAAATTTAACTGAATAATCCATGGAATCCTGCCACATTCTTCTCTCCACCCAAGATCAACTTAATCCACTCATTCAACGGTCTCTACAACAACTATTCATTCTTTGCTTTTTGAATGTGTTCTCCATCATAAACATAATACACTGCTTCCTATATGGATCTCTTATAGCCAGCATAAATATAATGCCATTTACCCTCCAAAGACGAGTAAGAAATTGTGGATATTTCATTAGGAGCATCCTCATTAATATCATAGGCACCAAAGTAGAAGTTATCATGTACCAAGTAAGCACTCAGTACTCTATCACCAAGTACAATCTTGCCACTCTCCAATTCTTCATTAGAAGTTAATCTGAAGATTTACATCTCCCCTGGTATATTCCACAACCTTGATGGCCAAGCTTACAAGAAACGAATCCATAACCCAACAGAATATTCTTAAATGCTCTCGATCTTTTGATTTGGTTCAGCTATTCTAATGGTCAAACCTTATTTTGCAGGATCTTAAGAATCTAGTACCAATTCATCTTCTTCGTAATCCCATTGTAATTTAGCATTTGGATTGAATAGTTTTGGAGACTAGAGATAAACCAACAGTCCTTTGAAATTATCCTTTCTAAATGCCCCAGTTCCAAAATTCAATACTACTTGAGCCAAACGACTGTCATATGAATTCAAGAGAGCATCTTTGGCCAAATAGAACCAATAATCAGATGAGACTGCATGTAGAGCTGACTCTAAAGCATGTTACTCATTCTCTTCACTATTGATGTAATAGACTATTTATTGGCTCTCCTTTGAGTATGCAAAATAGGCAAATGTCCACACTTCCAGATTCTATTTAGCTATCTAGACTGGGTAAGCATTGTTTAATTGAACTGCCTTATCTCCCAAACTATAAGTGCTAAATTCTAAACCTTCTGTATGACACAACACTAGAGTCCTATCACCTATCTTCTGAGCATCACCAAGAATATCTGGTCCATTTGTGGTCAATCTATACATCAATTAAGTGCTCTTTTAACTCTTGAACCATCTGAACCATAATTACACTCCGTACTCTCTTACCTCTTGGTTAAATGTTGTTAAATGATGTTTCTCATCAAGTTTTCTTACATCATGTATTCCAGATAAAATTTCAATATTCTTGCTCACTTGTTCGATATCTGGAATAGTATCCTTGGTCTTTATTCTGGATAGCAAATCAGCTTTGTTGTCAATAAAGGATCCTGGACCCAAATTAAATCTAACTTTGGTTATTTATCCATTGAAATTAGCATAATACTTACCAGCATGACCAACAGAGAAGTATAAATAGCTGGTTAATAAGGAATGCAATACATCCATCTTTAATCCTTCAGTGTGGTCTCTAAATTAAGTAAAAGCTATAGCATGTCCCTCCTATTGAGTGTGTCTCTTATAACTGAAATATATATATTGCCATTCTCCTTCGCTCTCCCTTTTATACTCAACATCCCCTCCTACATTATTTACTTTGGTAATAACATCATAAGTGCCAAAAGAGAATGCTTTTCTGCCCATCAAAACTAGTAGGATTCTATCTCCTGGATTATCGAAATCTTTATATTCTCTATTGCTAGTTAATCTGGCAACTCCCATAAGTTGAGGTTATGAATAAATTCTTTATTTGAATCCGAAGTATTGATATCTCAACCAAAAACCGTATCCATACTCAGAAACTCCATGCAATTAAAGAGTGGAACTTTATTCAAACTAGATTTGCATGGGAGGTTCTTCTTCTTTAGTTGCACACTCCAAGATCTTTTCTTCATGATGAGCCTCCTAGCCAGCCTATTTGATATGATCTGCTCCACTTATAAATCCGAAATGTATTTTGATATTTTCATCCTCCTCAAAGTTACCCTCTCTGTAAGCTCCAAAACCTACATTCACCACCCATGTCTTCATCTAACCGATAAAGTCTACATTGGACTATCTTCCATGACCAACCATTATACTAAATACAGCTAAGTAGAAATGCTGGATGTTTTCTTGTGTAAACTCTGCATCCGAGAATGCAAATCTTGTATAACCATAAGTTTTCAGTGATTATTTTGAGTATCCATAATATAAGTAAGTCCATTGATCAGCATATTCGTGGAACTCCTATTCAGCAGGGATCAGTTTTCCATTATTAGTGTAAGTAACAAATCGATAAAGAGAGTCTCCTCTTATGATTTATAAGGTTTCTTCTTTGCTGCCATCTATATCCAACAATCTCTTTTAAGCCAATGTAATCACATGTGATTCCTTACCAGTAACAAGTGGACCAGCCCATCTAACCCAGCCAGAAACTGAGTATTCCTCTGCTCCTTAAAATTTGTCAAATTCAAACTCAATTGGATCTTCAGCTATTGTAATTGCAGATCCGAACAACTGCAAAGTCTATCTAGTGACTGGATGAATTTAAGCCTTTTCTGGCAAAGAGTTTTATGTAAACAATCTCAGAGTTTCTTTATTTGGTACGAATGCTCCAGGACCAAAACTGAATGTAACTCTGGCTAACTCACCATTAAATAATGGAGCTGATGTCTTACCAACAATGAATTCTACATACTCTACTAAGAAATCATGATAGACAGTGAAAGCCACCTCTTCTATTTCACCATCTACTCCAAATTGAATGTATCCTTTGGCCACTCCATTGTCACCTTGTCTCTTGTATCCGAAGTACACATAATTCCATTGACCCTCCAAATTAGAGAATGGGATATCATCCTTAAGACTAAGTGTCTAAAATTCATATGATTCTTAAGTCAAAACACAAGCCAGTGTAGTGTCTTTTACAGTTTAAGGTCTGCCTCCATTGGCTCTAACCCATTTGCCATCCACTGATTCAATTATATACCCTTGAGTACCCACTCTGGCAATATTGTGGACTGGTGCTCTTTTATTTAAATACTTTGGCAATGTACTCAACCATCTTGTCCATAGACCAAAGGCGTATTCACTTTAGCCATTAATTTTCATTCCATTCTCATCATGCAATATGATCTTATCCACTACGTTATCTACTTGATCGAATTCTACATATCTATTCTAATCAACTCCCATGTAAGTGATTGGTTTGCCTACCTAATAGACTCCCATCACTCCTTCTCCATAGTTGAAAGTTGTCTAAAAGTCAAGACCTTCTCTGTAAGCTCCTTCGCCCAAATAAATTCCAACGAAAGCTATCTTTCCGTTGAAGGGTGAGACTGTATCGTCTCCTCCTACTGTAACACTCAAATGGTTGACTTGCTTATGATAAACTCCTTCGAATTTAACTTCACCAGTTACTTAAGGCTTGATTAAGGCACCATATGCTCTTCCTTCTTTGTATCCAAAGTACACGTAAGTCCATATATATTCAGCACTTTCAACACTCTTTAAAATATTCACAGACCCTCTGCCTCTGTTTCCATACACAGTGTAAGTGTTGAAATACACGTTGCTCTTAATACCTCCACCATAGATGTGATGAACTTCCAAAGCTCTATCTCCCAAAACTCCTTTCCCTTGAGCTCGCACCTTATTCGATCTCAGATTAATGAGTTAAAAGGCATTAGGTTCATCTACTTTAAGGTCATCCACCCATCTAAACCAAAAAGCGACTGCATATTCTTCTATCAATAATTGTGACTCTTGAGGATCAAAATGATAATGCTCTCCTTTCTCATTACCACTAATTAAAATTGGTTTGCTAATGATTGTTTCTTCTATCAAAATTGGCAATTGCTGAGGCATATTACTCAAAGTCTTGATGATTTCTTCTAAGGATTCATCTCCATCAATAAATGCAGGAGCATCTACATCATAAAAGATATTTGCAAACTATCCATTCAATCCCAAATAATCCATATGCTTTCCTCCAAAAATGAATTTAACATAGGTAGGTGGAACATGTTAGGCTTCAATTTCAATTCTGTATTTGGGTGCACCTTCCCCATATTTTACTACATATCCCACAACCTTTCTTTGTTGAGAACTGTAAGTGTACACTACAAAATACCAAATACTATCCATGTTCTCATTCAATACGACATTAGTATCCTTTGTCTTACTTTAGGTTGTGATATCATAAGTTGAAAATACAAACGAGTTGTCATACAAAAACAGAGCTAAAGTTCTGTCTCCATAAAACGAGAAGTCTTCATATTCCTCATTCGTTGTCATTCTCGATAGGAAATAATATTGGCCCTCTTCACGAGCATGCTATTTAGTTGAGTGTTCGCTGAATCTCACCCAGAATCCATATCCATATTCAGATGCATCTTGCAATAATGCTCTATCCTCAAATTCAAAAACTTAAGTAGGTTCGCCATCAAAATCTGAATTGAAATACTTAGTGTTAACAGCAATAGCTTTCTTTTCTTGAACTCTACCACTGCTTGCTCTATGTTTAGGTGGTTAAAATTGAGTTGGTTCATTGGCATTAAATTCATCCTTAACCGATGTTAACTTGACAGATCTGTCATGCTCATTTTAATGATCATGTTTATCCTCATTAACTACATCATTAAGTAAATTCTCAACCGCTAAATAATTAGCTCCTTTATTTTAGGATTCAATGATTTCTTCCCCAACAATTTCTTCAACATAATGTTTCTTTCCATAACAAATGGCAGGTAAAGGCTGCTTTTTTGCCATCTTCTTCTCTTATTTAGCTTCCTTTCTAGTCTTTTAACCAGGTTTAGGACGAGGCCCTGTTCGCTTAACCTTTTTCACAACTTTCTTTGACTTCTTCTTAAATTAAGGTACACATACTTCTCCATCCTCTTCTCCATTTTCTTTTTTTTCCTCAACTGGATCATCCTTCTTTTTAACTTCTTCTTTATCTTCAACAACCTTCTTCTTTTTCTTTTCCTATACAACTTTCTCTTTCTTCTTTGTAACCTCTTATGTTTTAACTTCTGTTTTTTTGGTTTCTTTAGTTTCTGTTTTTTTCTTCTTTTTATTAATTACTTCAGCATTTTATTAATTTATTTTTTTTTTCTTCTCTTCCTTCTTAGTTTTTTCTTTTCTTTTTGGCTTCACTTTGTTTTTTTCAGCAGGTTTATCATCTTTCTTCTCCTCTTGTGTAATTTCTTCAATAGTCTCTTCTGTAATTTCAATTATGGCTTCTTCCTCTGTAATTTTTTCATCATCTGGGACTGGTTCATCTTCAATAATCTCCTCAGTTATGGTTTCTTCAGTAATATTTTCTTCTTCTGTAATCTTCTCATCATCAGGCACTGGTTCATCTTCAATAGTTTCCTCTGTTATAATTTCATCTTCAGTGCTTTCCTCTTCTGTAATCTTTTCATCATCTGGTACTGGTTCATCTTGGATTGCTTCTTCTGATGTATTTTCTTCTTCTGTAATCTTTTCATCATCTGGCACTGGTTCATCTTGGATTACTTCTTCCGTAGTGTCTTCTTCCTTCACAACTTCCTCCTCTGTCACCTTCTTATCATCAGGCACTGGGTCCTCAGTAACTTATTGAGGGTGCTCTTCTGTTTCTTCCATTCCATCCACATAATCTGGCTCTGGCTAGTTTACTGTATCTCCATAATATTCACACTCCTCTCCGACTCCACTTCTGATATATTCAATTGGTCCATAGGTGGAATGAGCATCAACCACTTTGCTCGTATCCTTTTGTGCACCATATATTTCTCTGGTCTTAATCACAGTGCTCTTTGTCACCTTTGGAGTTTAGGCATATTTATAAACTTGGGGCTCTGAATCATCTACTGGAAATTCAGCTTCCATTTCATCTTCGTAAACATAAACATAATCGTAAACTTCTTCAATTGCTTATTCTTCAAAGTAATATACAACATCATCATCATCGCTTTCTATTATTACTTCTCTGGGTTATGGTTTTTTAAGTTCTTATTCACAAACTTGTTTCAAAGCTTTCAATTATGCAATCTTTTATTTCAAATGTGTAGCTAATCTAACATTTCGACATGAATCCACATATCCATAGATCTATTTCTCTGCATTTCTCAAGTAATTTATAATCGAATTAGCCAATGCAACTCGTTCTTCCTTTGTTCTTTAAGCATTAAGGCGCTGCACATAATCGTTAGCATCATCAATTCTACATGATGTCCACTCATTTTAGAGAAATGCTTTAAAAGATGGCCGATTTCTTTCATAATCACGAATCACTGTGGTAGCCTACTTTGCACTCTCAATAATCTTGATCATTTTTGCTAACACTTCCAAGTCATTTAACAATTATTCTCGATGTTCAATTATATCAACCCATCTTGTTAGTGCTTCAATGGTTCCATCAAAGTTCATGTAACAATTGAATCTACTAATATCTAAGTCTCTTGCTTCGTAATAAGTCATGCCTACCCTAACTACGCAGACCTCTGCAACACTTAGGGTAGCAAGCAATAGCAATAACAATTTCTTCATGAAAAAATAAATATGTAAAACCGTTTTTTATTATTCTCATACATTAGGTAGAATACTCTCATTACCTAGATTCTAAACAACTCCTTTTATTTACTTCTCATTCTCACCCAATTCAAAAAGAAAATTCAATCACCTATACTATCCAATCTAACTCTACCACTGAGAAATTTAATTTTACAAAACTTCGTGGAACCATCGTAGTTTTACTTTATCTGTATTTTATAACTACGTATTCCCTCATATTAAAGATATCCTGTTTACAATAATATAATCATTGCTGCTTATAATATAAAACTAATGTATTTTTAGAGTAAAATTTAGTTTATTTGGTTTATTTAGTTGAATATTTGTAAAAAATTTATGACCTTAGATCAATCTATCTCATAAAAGTTAAATTTAAATTAATAAATTAACAAATTCTTTATATTTAACCAATAGAATAAAGAAAGTTTTATCTTATCTTACTATTTTTTTGCATCAGCATTCTAACACAATAATAAATTATTAGTAATTTGAAAGATAAAGAAAACAAAAATACTTAATAATTATGCTAAGATAGCTGATAACTATCAAATTTTCTAATTTCCTTATAAAATATATTGTAAACAATCTCTTACACTTAATAAGTGAAGTTTATAATTTATAAAAAACAATTAGAATCACTTAAATAACATATATTATAAATCAAAGTTTTACTTCTGCGAAATAAAAGAATATTCACTAGGCGATTAAAGTTTATATTTAGCTTATCCTTCAGCCTAGAATAAACCTAATTAATACCTAAATATTTTATTGTAAATTGTCAGTTTCATTATCACTATTAATATATTAGATGTAAAAAATTTCTAATTCTTCTAACGATTTTTTAATTGGCGATTGATCAGAAGTATAGAAATTCATACTATCTAAAAATTTCTTTTTAGTCTGTAATATTTATTTCCATTAAATTCCTTTTTATTCAATAGCGATTATTTGGGATTATTAATACTTTAAGATCTATCCCTATTTTTCTAAAAACTCTAATCTAAATTCATTCTTCTTCTTTAAGTTACTTTGTTGCTAAAATTCTTATTCAATGTTTCTGATATCATTATTTAGTTTGTTCCCAATTTTTTTGAGTTTCGCTTTTTCTCTTTTACGCATTTCATCTTGCAAATTCCAAATTATTCTTTAGTTCAATACAAAGGCCTTCCATTTTTTCCTTTAGAATATATAAATTTATACATTTTTTTTAAATTCATCTCTTCAACAAGATCAATTAGACCTGGAAATTATTGAAAGATTTCACATTTTGAAGATACTTGTTACTATGTAGATAACTCAGAAATTTCCAATGGCTTATTAAAATCTATTTCACCATTATTAAATCGATCATTTAATTCATTTAGGGTTTGTGAACAATTATAAATAATTTATGACTTGTATTGTTTGTATTAACGATTTGATTCTAATTTATAAAGCTTCCTTTGTAACTGTACTAATTCCTTTTAAACCTCCTAATCTTCTACTTTAAGTGCTTAGACTCTATCATGAAGTTATTTCAAAGAATTGATCCTTTCTAATTGAGAAGATGTGGATGGTAACGAATTTTCATCAATTTTGATCTCTAAACATTATAATTTTTGTTTCATCCTTTATTTTTGAGTCTCTAGGGTTTGTATATTCTCAGAAAATTCATCTATAAATTTCTACTTTTTAATTGCATCTTGGAACACTTCTAGTACTAATCGATATTGACGATTATTGTCATGAATCCTCTTTTGCTTCTCAAGCTTTTCAATATAGGCTTCGGCTAAATTGCTTTTCATTGTTTGGTATGAATTTTATAAATCCAATTTTAATTTTTAAATCTTGTTAGTTAATGTTTCATTTAATTACTCTTTCAAGGCCAAAAACTATTTTAAATTATCATATTTTATTTATTTGACTTCTATGTCATTACAATCAAGGTTTAAATATGAAGCAATCTTGAGCTCCTTTTATTAAATATATTTTATTTCTTCTTATAATTATTATTCCTTAAACTTCCTTCTCTCTGCGATGTGATTCTCGAAAATTTATTTGGCATATTTATCGATTATTTTATTTATATTCTACTATTAAGCGATTTAGTATCTCAATTGGGCTTTTTAAGATTCACATTTTTAGTTAAACTCTTTTTTTAGAAGTTCTTTTTCTTTGTGAAGTTTAACAGCATTTTGTTAATCTAGTGATTACATAATCTATTCAATAGACTCTATGATTTATATTCGATATTAATTAAACTCTTTCTGCAAGTGCTTATTCTTTTCTGAAGTTTCGATGGAACAATTTTTATTTAAATCAGATTATTGTTTTTAGATTGTCTTCTTAATATTAGTTAAGCGATTTAAATAAAGCTTTTGTTGCAAAAGGTTGAGTTTACTTTGATTAGATTTCTATTTTAGTTATTTATATTATTCTAAATCTTCCAATAATTGCTTTCCTATTTTCCTATTCACCTTTTAGACACATATTATGAATTCGCAACCCAAGTTTTCTTTGATTTTCATTTACTTTTATTTTAAGATGCTCTCTTAGGCTTCACTCTACTTTTGATATTAACTTGTCAACTCAATTCTTTCAGCTTCAATTTATTAGCGTAATATTATTTCATTATCGCGTAATTTTTTCTGCAATTATTCTTTCAGAGTAATATATTCTTTCTCCTTTTCTTCTTGATAATTGGAAAGTCTAGCTGTATACTCCTGATCTAAACGATTCATCTTCTCCTTTATTGTTTCTATCTAAAATACATAGTTTTTTAGTTTTACATTTTAATTCTAATTATTTTATTCTGATTTTAAATGTACTTCATCATTATCATCATCACTAATCCTATTTACCATCATTTCTTCCTCACTTAATTAAGCATTACTGGCAATATTTGATTTTTATTCAAAATTTTCATGTACATCATTATCATTTATCTGGTCCATTTATTGCCAAGCGTAGCAACAAGTGAAGTCATCAGATTCATCAAAGAGAGAGTTTTAAGATATTTGTAATTCTTATTGAGAACTTTGGTGATCATTCTCAACATCACGGTTTTGGTTTATTTTAAATGCATCTCCACTCATATCAACGATTTAATCTTCTTCTTCTTTTGATATGATTAGTCCTTAGCTACTTATTTCTAATTAGATATCAAAATAAACTTAAATTTTAATGGCCATTATTGCAATCCACAAAAGAAGGATCCAAATCATCACTATAGTTTTCCAGACATTACATTTTATTAAATTAATTGTAAATAATTTTTAAGTTGTAGATATATGTTTAGACATAGACCCTTGAAAACAAGAAATCATAAACTTAATCAGTAAATAAATTGTAAAACATGAATTTTACTAATTACAGTTGATTTAATGGGATTATTTATTGCTCACCCTTTTGCTCATTATTAAGTATTTATATATATAGAAAGTATATTATAAGTACATGTATTATCAAAAAGGACCTGATATTATTACAAATAATCAGTTTCTATTTGTTTGACAATTGTTTTATGAAATTAATCTATTATTTTAAGTAAACACATATAGGTTTAAATGATTGCTCATTTTTTTCTAGTGATACTGGTTTATCGATGATATTGCTACTGATTTGGAGGAAATCTATATAGTTATGTTAAAATAAATCCTCAAATTTTATAAGGAGTTACATTCTTAATTTGCTCAGAAAAGATTAGTGAATACTCAAATTACTGGCAAAACAAATGAATAGATATATCCATAGTTCAATAGAATTGTTTGATACAAAGGTATAATATAATTGTTCATTATATTTAATAATCATTCTTCTTTATTTTATTCTGTATTCTCTCAAGATAGTGCAGATTCTCATAGAAATAACGATTTGCTCTTGACACCAATGGGAAGGTTCCTATTTGATTTTCCACAGTTTCGATTTTGTACAAAAGAGAGTTAGTTTGTTGCATCATTTGCCTCTGTTTTTGCTCTTCTGGTTATTCAGTGATAACTTATTTGGTATAGTGCTGCAATTACAACTGCTTGTTTATTATGATATCTTATTGCTTGTTTTTGAGTGAAATTTGGAGATTTTTCTGATAATAGAGCAATTTCCTAATGAAATCCAGGTCGACCTCAATTTTATTGGCATTATTGTACCAGCCAGTCTTGTCTCTTCCGAAATCGTTTTCGAGTTTCTACTTAGCTAGTTTATAATCCTTTTGTCTGATTTAATTATTGAACATAGTTGTTGGTGCTTCTTGAGCATAGAAGTCCTTCATGTGTTCTAGATATTCGTATGGCAAGTCTCCGGCTCCAAATATTCGGTAGTAGACATCGTAGCAGTCGATGTGGGTGTATTGGTAATTGTTTGCAAAGTTCTCGTCGATTACGTAGCCTTCAGAGTTGGGGAGGATTCGTTTGGGTTTGTAAAGGAGATAGAAGAGTTTGTAATCGATCCCAGTAATTTTACATAGGGCTGAGGCCATGAGTTTGGTTGAGTTATAGATTCTGGAGGCGATTTCTAAATCTGATAAGAAGGATTGAACGATTTATTCTACTGAGCTGAATTGGCTTGTTTGTATTTTTTGTGCTGCCAAATACAAATCAATGATTTCTTATATGGTAATTTATTTCAATACTTTAATGGAGTAGACAGCAAAGGAACTAAATATAAGTTTATGAATGTATAGGTTTTATTCAGCCTTAATTGACTTGAGATGGTTCTGTTTTAATTGATTTAGGGAAACAAATGTATCTCCTTCTTTTTCATCTAATTTTTCAAAGATGTTATTCAATTGTTTTTTTTGTAATTGAGTTTGTTTGACATACTCTAGATAGTCGAGTATTTGGAGATCTTGTTGGGCTTGTGTGATCATCTTGATTTTTTTGATGTTTGATCTCTTTTTTCTCGAAATAGTGGGCAATGACTCTTCCCTATCAAATGAGGCTATGGTATTTGGAATGACACGTTGGGTGGTGGTCAGATGAGTGGATTGTTTGGTGGTGATTTATTCGAGAGAATGCTTGGGAGATCCAAAAGTGAAGAGAGGTTTGTATTCGTTTCTGTGGGTGTATTCTTGTGCTTGTGGAGGTTGGCCTGAATCCTTCATTTTTTAAATCATTCTATATTGTGAGATGAAGTCGACCTTAGAATTCTCATCAAGGAGATTTTTGTAAAAGAACTTCTTCTTTGAAGAAAAATAAGGTGCTGTTATTAAATTGTCCGTCATTTAAATAATTATGAAATAATTTCTTAGATACAGATTTTCGACAGTCTTGGGAGTTGTGGGTGCTGGTCAAATGGGGACAGGCATCGCCATAGTTGGAAGTGCAGTAGCCGGATTGAGAGTGCGAGTGGTTGACGTGAATGAATAAAGGTAATAGCAATTCTATATGGACATTAGATTGAATGCAAGTCATAATTTTATATCGAAATGGTGTGACAAGGAAATTCAAAAGAATAGAATGACCGATCAAATAAAAACAGATGTTTTGCAGAGATTCAGTTTTCATTTGCAAATGTCTGATTTGGCATCTTGCGATTTCGTTGTTGAGGCAGCTCCTGAGAAATACGAAATGAAGGCAGAAATTTTCAGATAGTTAATCAAAGCAACAAAGCCTGAAACTATATTGGCAAGCAACACTTCCTCCATCTCCATAACAAAGTTGGCTGGAATCACAAATAGGCCTGATCGTATTATCGGAATGCATTTCATGAATCCAGTGCCAGTGATGAAATTGATCGAGGTCATCAAGGGACTTTAGACATCTCAATAAACCTTGGATACTACCTTAGAGTACTTCAATCATTTTGATTTTAATATAGGTTGGCAGCCAAAATGAAGAAGGAAATAGTGATAGCACAAGACATCCCAGGATTCATTGCAAATAGAATTCTTATGCCCTATATAAACGAGGCTATCCAAACCTTACATGAAGGAATTGGAACCGTTGAGGGAATTGACAAGGCAATGAAATTAGGCACAAACGTCCCTATGGGTACAATTTCATATAATTTCAGGCCCATTAACTTTGGCAGACTTCATAGGGTTAGACACTTGCCTAGAAATAATGAAGGTGTTGCATTAGGATCTTGGTGATTCCAAGTATAGACCTTGTCCATTGTTGGTGAATTACGTAAATGCTGGTTGGTTGGGCAAGAAATCTGGGAGAGGGTTTTATAAATATTGAGTTAATAAATTTAAAATATTATATTGATGATGAAAAAATCTTCAGAATGTAAGAATCAATTAGTATTCAAGTTTTTAAGAAAGTGGATATTTTTGGGTAAAACATACAATTGAATTTTAATGGAGAGAATCAGTACCAAACTGCAGTTGGTGGGCTATTCTCTCTTGCAATTATTGCTGTTATAGGATTCTTCTTTCAATAGAACATCGTTAACTTTTTGAACAGAGATGTAATAAATCTGAACACTCAGACAATCTTCGATTCCAATCCAGATAGAATAGAATTAAACGACAACAATTATATGTTCGCGATCGCAGTTGAATAACCTGAATTCAACACTTAGCCTTTTTTCAACCTCACTCTCAAATAACGCAGATACATAAGATCTTCGGATGGAACCATAAACAAAAGTGATACTTTCATCGATCTCATCCCATGCACTGAAGATCGGTTCCAAAACATTTTTAAGAATTAGAATTTCACCCCCCAGTTTTCTTCGCTCAATCTCTAGGAATGGTTATGTCCTCAATATAACTACTCTATCATATTAAGTGGCGGTTACACAAGTGACCTTTTTGAGTTCGTCAAAATAGCCGTGAGCGACTGCTCCAATAATACAGCATCCAATTCCCTCTTGTCTTGGAAACCCCAATGTGCAAGTTCCCAAACCAGAGACAAATATCTCTAGCAAGAGCGTTCTTTTAGAATCAAAATGTAAGTTGTTCTTTACTCAATTTTAGGTACATGACTAATATTGTAATCAACCCATTACAAGTGTAGAATATGTCCCAAGTCTTTTTGGACGATGAGTCCTTTTTCTCCTTCCTGATTCAAACAGGCACCGAAACCGATGTCTTTTATCAGAAATACAACATCACCACCGACGACAACATTTTCCCCTATCTCAAAGAACTGCAGGAAAACGTCTTCAATGTGAAAAAAGCCGGAGACTTCAAAACCAGCACTGTACAAAACAACGGACAACAATATTCAGCCATCTACATGAGGAGAAGTCCCTACACCTACGTTATCAAAAGGGATTTCTAGGATATTGCAGATTTACTCTCTTATCTTGGAGGATTTGCAAATATCGTTGCTCTTATCTTCGGAGTCCTCATCAAATCCTATAACAAATCTAGATGTAACTGTTTGGTTCATTTCTCTAGTCATGATAGACTTGGCCAATTAGATTTACGATTTTCCAATTAAGAATGATACTCAAGCAGAAACTCAACAGAGAAGAGAAATCAAGAAAACCATAGCCAGGGCTAAAAGCAGAACCATCATTATTAATAAACAATAAGAATAACCTTAAGATCAAGATCTGTAATCTCAAATGCAATCTCCTAAATACACGCTAAATTAAAAATTAATCTTGAATGATACAACGAAAAAAGAAGACCAATATGCATCCAAACAGGATGAAATATACCCAGCCAAGACAGAATTAATCATTACCCATCGACAAGAAGAATAGCGTTTATTCTAGTAAGAACAAGAATAAATTATTAAATAACTTGGAATTAGTGATCGAAAGAGTTACTTAACTCAGTAAATCTAAAAGATATTAAATCGAAGCAAACCCATTCTATTCAACTATAAATATATTCTCTCCAGTATCTTTTGCTCTAAATTATTTTCGGATCGCAACAGCATTCTTCTCCAAAAAGCCATGTAAGTGCAGTTTATAGACAATTTAGATAAAAGATTAATAAAGATTTGGATCTCTGCGTTATCATCGACAAAGTCAAAGAAATTAACCTATTGAAAGAACTCTTGTTAACTCAAGATTAGTTAATGTTGTTTGATTTTGCTCCTAAACAGGCGATCAATCTTTCGGAAGAACAATAATGCATGACTCGAAGTCTTGTAAGAAGGACCTTGGAGAGTGTCAGAACAAATTCCACTCAACTGGAATGCTATCATTAAGATGAATCACTTAATGCTTACTATAAGTTATTCTAGGTGACAATGACTATATATAATGTAGGCCTACGATCATATTCATTAATCATTGCAATAGAGTAACAAAATTAATGAAAAGTTGATCGAAAAATTAGGACAAGAAGTCAGAGACATTTTTGAAGTGTCCCACTTTATCCAATGGGAAAAGAGTTAAATTAAAATGGACAAAGAGGACGTTTAATGTGATTCCGTTAATTCAGATCCCCTTTCCATTAATAATATTGAATAAATAAAGATCAATTTGAAAGTCAAGTAGTGATTGTAATAATTATTTACATATGATTAAGTTTAATAAATAAATTAAATGTCATTTTTCTATAACAGATAACAAGATCAAACATTACCATTGCCTCATGGCTATCAATACAACCTAAAATAAGAATAAGAACCTCAACATCAAACAAATCTAGTGTACAATCAAAACCCTGAAGTCTTGGCAAAACAAACTAATCATCAATATTTCCTAACTCAGGCAGCCAATCACTCACCAAAAGAAAACGATATCAAGGTCGAAATAATCCCCAAGGGGAACCAAAACGATCATCTAACTCCTCAGAGAAATAGAATCTTTGAAGAATTACCTGACATCAAAGTAAGAAAAGAATTAAGCTAAACAAGATATAAATCTACACCAGGTAAAAGACATAGAATTTTTGAATAAGATAACAGCGTCGATCTAACCCATCAAAAAATTGACTAGAAGTAAATTACAAGAGTCTCAAACCATCATAATAATAATATTAAATCCTTACTTCTATAAGAAATTGAAACCATTAAACAAAAATCCTAACTCTACTAAGGAACATACCAACAGCTGCTCCAAAAAGTAATAACAATCAATTTAAAATATAGTTAATCCAAATTGTGGAGACCAAACAAGACGATTTGAATTTGCGATTGGATCCAGAGTTCAACAACATCATATTCAAAATACGCACACTGCAGGGACTTGATTTTAGCGATAAAATATAAATTGAAAAAATCATTAAGCAAATTGTGAATTAAGATGATAAACTATTATTCTAAGGATTGGTTAAAGAATTGATTTAAAATGAATGGATGTATTGGATAGAACCATTGTATTATGATGTATAAAAATAATAAATACCCAAAGAAAAATGGAAATCCTTCATTGAAAAACAAAAGTCAATCTATAAAGTATGATCATTTTCCTATTTATAATATTAAGTTTTATATGAATACTTAAAGTATTTGTTACACTATCTTCAACACTTTCCATTACTCAAATTATACACTACATACATATTATTAATTATTAATGTTTAATTCTTATTAATATGAGAAATAACTAGCCTTATCCAAAGAGATAGATAAGATTAAGAAAGGCTATATGAGAGAACGAGAAGTTCGCAAAGGTATCAGTGATTCAATAAATCAAGAGTTAAACAATCGATTGGCTTAGAATTATAGGAAACGAGTCGAAAATTTTGTAATCAATATGCTTGAGAATCCTGTCGTCTGTGCTGAATACAAATAGCCAACCACCTAAGCGTTTAGAGAGGAAGACCCAACCAAAAATTTGGGTGATCCGCAATTTTATGTTAAGGGTTTCAAACACGAAAAAGATCGTATCCAAGAAGCTTTGGACAGAAACAAAGACCTAGATTTTCTACCGAATCGACAAGTTGCTCACTACTGTTTTAGAGAGAGGGATCCTTCCAAAGACATTAAACGAGATGTGTTTCGATACAGGGATAAAACTAGTCTAGAAAGGATAGAACAGTTTTTGAAGGATCACACATAAACTCAAGTGGAGAATCAGAAATTCAGCAAGAAGAAAGTATTAAATTTGGAAAATCTCTCTGAAAATATGAGTTCACTTGATAGAAAAGCTTATTTAAGCAGATTGATTGCCAAAAATTTACTCCCTAGTTTACATCAAAAAACACATTTCTAAGCTACTGCTACTATGTTTAATAATTTGCCATGTATTCTCCTTGTGTTAATATCTAGTATCTCTTATGGATCATGCTAGATCGGCTCCATTATTAAAATAAGCAGACTCAGAAGAAAAAAGTAATTATTTTACTAATACTCTCTAGAATCTCAACAATAGCAAAGGGAAGTTTAAAAAACTGAAGAGATGGAATAGAAAGATAATAAAATTAAGTAAGGTAATGAATTGGAGACTTTTAATCCTGTTGAGACTTCTAAATCAGTCTTAGAAAAATGTAATGTCATTCGAAACAAGAATCCTAAAATTAGCACAATCCATAAAGGATAAGGACATTTAATCTCTACCTTAGACAAATCAATCTAAGAAATTTATAAGGACATTTATGGAATAGATTTAAGTTAAGGCAAGTTTTTTTAAAAATGAATTCATTATAATTATTATTTGACTTTTCATTTCATAATATAATTTCATTTAGTTATCACTTAAGATTTAGAATATATTATCTATTTCTAAATATCTGTTAAATATTTAGAAAACAATATATTATTTCTTGAAACATTTTGATAAATTCTAAATTGAATATATCATTGAATTCAAAAAAATAATGTTTAAATTCTATAAAAAATAAGGTTATCTTGTAAAATGTTTAAATAAGGTTAATAGATCTAAATATGAAATAAAATTTTAATGCAATTAAATTATTTTATAATAATATAATGTATAATAATCGTGTTACTCAAATTTCATTAGCCTATTTTTTTTAACTCTAATTAATCTAAATCCTCTTTATGTTATGTGAATATCATTATATTTTGATATTTTTATAATTAGTGGGAGATCGATCGAGTCAAATTAATAATCCATTTTAATTCTTTGAGAATTTTATTCCTAAATTAAGTTGTAATTCATTTAATAATTTGTAATTCGATCATCGAATCTAGCCTAAATAATATGAAATATTAAATAATTCGATTTTTTATAAGGCTTCATATCTTGAAATATATATCATTATGAAGATAAATATTTTCATTAAATTTAAATATTAATATAGATGAATTCTAAAATTCTTATGATTGTCGGAGACTACGGAGAAGACTTGGAAATTTATTTCCCCTTCTAAGCTTTAACTCTTTTAGGATTTTAGGTCGATGCTGTTTGCCCATAGAAAAAGAAATAGGATAAAGTGAAGACAGCTGTTCATGATTTTAGAGATGGAGACTAGACTTATATGGAATCTAGAGGACATGATTTCACAATCAATGCTGATTTTCCTTAGGATCCAAGTCAATATGCCGGGTTGGTTTTACCAGGAGGAAGAGCTCCAGAATATTTGAGATTACATGATGAAGTATTAGTAGTTGTGGAACACTTCCTTAAAGAGAAGAAACCAATTGTAGCTGTTTGTCATGGAATACAATTATTAACAGCAGTAGGAGGAATAGAAGGCAAAAAATTGACATGTTATCCTGCCTGCAAATTTGAAGTCACAAAACAAGGTGGCGTTTATGAGAAGGTTGGATATGACGAAGTGGTTGTTGATGGCAATATCGTAACATCCCCAGCTTGGCCAGGACATGCAAATGCCTTTAGAGAGTTTGTTAAACTCTTGGGAGTAACAATAACACATAAATGAGAATTTCATTTAATCATAGATTAATTAATATCTCTGTAATCCATACTTGTTAATCCAATCGGCTACTCTTCTTCCTAGGGATTATTTTTCTTTTTTCTTAGTTTTTCTATATTCTTGCTAGTTTGATCCCCTTGAATATAATTGGATATGTCAAAAACATCTTTAACTTCTTAGCCAAGTTTTTCAATCAAAACCTAGTTGAATCGATTGTTCTTTTCGTTTGACAAAGCAACCTTCTCATACGCTGAATAAAGTTTATAATATATTTGCATTCCAGGCGTGACAAATTATCCTTTCTTAAACTTTTTGTCTAACATCATTTTGGCTACATCTCCAAATTGAACTCCAAGAGTCTTTGTGAATGCTCTTCTATAGAGATTTAGATTCAATAAAATACTTATTCTCTCTTCTTCCAGGGGGCTAATGTTAATGATACTCATTATCAATTGTAATCACTTCTTTGGGAGCAAAGTTAAACAATATCTATTGATCTTTATTCAATAATAGTTCTTTAATCAATTCTATTTCATTCACTTTGTCTATCAACACACATATGTCAATATCTGAATTGATTTTCTTTCTATTCTTAATTTAATTTTCATACATAGCTTTATTTAACAGAATTGAATTTTAATCCTAAAAGAATTTTCCACAAAACAATTAATGTAGTAAAAACTTAATTGTAAACACAATAGGTCTGCTGCGATCAAGCATTGCTTAAATTTATTTGGTCAGATATTCCTTTCTATTATGATTCCCTATTTTCTTAACTATTTTTTAATGGATTTCTTTGCAAGATTTCTTCCGATCTTATTCAGTCTGATCTTTAGAAATTCTTGGATCATCTTAATAATTCTTTGCATTTTCTTTAATTATGTCAGACACATCTGCCTAATGATTATTGTAGACATCAGCAGCATCTGCACTTTGCCATTCAACTTCTTTGTCTCCCATCGGCTGCCAATGACTACCAATAATCATTTTGCATGATTCCTCCCTATTTGCCTTAACTCCTTAAACGTAGTCAAATTTCTAAGAGAAAGTTTATCGAATCGACATTCTATAATTCTTACCTAAAGAACTATTTCCAGGATTCATAGATGAAATAGGACTACATCGACTTAAAATCATAGGTTGTGACTTTAGATAAGTAATGTCTTAGGCCAATTTTTCTCTTTCAAATTTTTCTTGGTATTCCTAGCCAAAATTAAAGTCATAAATTTGATTAGCCAATTCAATTAAATCTAAATTAAATACAAAATTAAAGATTACATAATTGTTTATTATACATGCCAACAAAGAACCCGAAAACAACAATTACAATATTGGCAAATCCTCCTAAAATTGAAAGCATCTTATCCAATTTTTAATATGATCTCGATATGTAGGTAGTGTAAGGGGATCTTCTGAGATAGATTGTCGCATAAGTATCACTAGCAAAACTGTTTTAATCTCGATAGTCTCCTTATTCTTTGGCAAACATCTCTGTTGTATCAAATTCACTGCCAGTTGGAAGTAGATTATTATCAGTTTACATAAGATATTTAGTAAAGAAAATGTCTACTTCTTTACCGATGACTTAGGGGATGAAAGAGAAAAATAATTCATCATCTAAAAAGGATTAAACATAATCATCTCCCTTTTGTGGACTGATCATTTGGTTTGTTATATATCTGAATTAATTGTAATTAATACATCTTGACTCGATATTATCTCTGTTGCATGAGCCATTGAGAAATGGCTTCTTCAGATGCACAATTAGGCTACCATGTATAAAAGGAATTTGTCTGGGAGGAGTTGCTACATTGACTAACAGTTATTTTCATGAAATCAAAAAACTTATTAGTGTACCTTCCCTTGAGGGTGAATGAGTAATTCAGTCTAATTATAGCGAAATTAAATACTAGGGACAAAGCCAAGAGTCTAAACCGATCTCATTATATTGCTGAGTAAAATTTTATCCAAACTGATTAAAAATCTATTGGAATCTCTCTACTGTGCATGGAACAAGATCTATTAGGGTCTCTTCCTTGGCGAGGGATCCATCACCTTATCGTTCGTAGCGTCTAATTTATTGAGAGGGAATACCTTGCGGACATGGTGATGTTGAAAAATGGATTTGAATTGAAATTCGTTTATTCTATGGCTACTGCGAACATGAAGTTTGTATCATTAATGTATATTTAATCTGGCTGATCTTCAAAGACTTGATTAGTTTCACTTTGAATGTTGACTTTGTTGACGAAATCTTATATGTTGGATTAAAAGAATAACACAACGATTGCCAAAATGAATAAAGTCATCATACCTCCACATCCAGTTTTATACTAATCTTCACCGTTGAGATTGAGAAGAATATTTTATCCGAACAGATCAATCGACCTAAGGACTTTTAATTAGTTATTTAAATTACATTTCACAAAGGATTTTTTGTAGTTGCTCATTTAAAAAATATATTAATATTAAATTTAATCTTTCAGAACAACTTAATCTCAATAAGAATTAATGCTATTATTATCTTCTATCTTTAATAACATTACTAAAATATATATTCAAATTATGTCATTCCTTTATAAGAATTTGTATACCTATTGTGTCAAAGTAAAAACACCTTGGCTTTCTTCATCGTCAGATAAGTCTACAATTCATAAGCATTACATTTACCTGTTTAACTATGTTCATTCTCATCACAAAAGTAATTGAATATACTGATAGTTGTCTTTGTTTTAGAAGATGTAAGAGGAGTGATATTTTCAACCCAATCATACAGGTAGTTCTCCAGCATTTTATTGTCCGCCAAGATCTTCTTAAATAACGAAATCAAAAAATCATGATTTGGTTTATTAACATTTTGATTCCATTTGATGTACCCAAAGAGTTCAGCAAATGGAAGTCTACTCATAGTTTTGGAACTCAGATAGGATTCCTTATGTCTCATCACCTCCTCGTTGTAAAGTATGTTGTTTGGATACTTCATCCAAGGTAGATGACCTATATGATCAACGCTATTTTTACCTTTATACAGAAATACGAGGGTGTACGCGAGCATCTCAATATCGTCAATGAATCTGTAGGGTAGCCTTCTATGCACCTGGAGAGGATCGTAGAGCAGAGTCCCTTCCACTTCTTCAGTATAGCCAAATTAGTCAGCCTCCTTAGCTATCCCAAAATCAATCAGATATATTTATGAATCTAAGAATCATTACAATATTAAACACCTTCAAGTGATTTTATCATTAGATTTGTAGGCTTGATGTCTCTATGTACAATATTTAAAGCATGAACTTCTTTCAATATTTCGAGTACTTTGATGGCAATACAGCAGATGCACTTTAAAGAGAGTTATTTCAGTTTAGCCCTTATAGTATGCAGATCTGAATTTAAATATTCCATGCTTAAATATGTAGATTTGCTTTATTCTCCTAAAGAGTACGCTTTAGGAATTCCCGGTATGTGTGATAACTTTTTCATAATTTTGTATTCATTAGATAAGTCAAACTTAGAATATTTTATAGCAATTTCTTATTTTGTAGTGTGATCCACACCCCTGAATATTGTACCATATCCTCCTTTAAATAGCTTCTCATGTATAGTTAAACCTGGAAGATCATCAACTGAGGATATGGTTTTGTGAGTGTTGATAATCTAAGAATGTCGTGTCATTAATATTATAAAATGATTTAAACTGTTTAATTTAAGTCTCAATTCAAAAATGAAGATTAAGAAAGCTCCTTATTTATACTTACCACATTTATTGTTCTAAATTTATCATATATAAATTTTATATAATGAAAGGGCATTCAAAAAAGAAATTTAATGAATGGATCAACCTGAATTCTACAAAGATTATTTAAATTATCATTAGGTGTTTGGTGTTATTGTTAGTTAGAATTTAGTTTTAAAGTGCCTAAGAATTTTTCATAAGGGTTTTATAGAATGAAAATATTTATTTATTTTTTACTTTATGTTTGCTTGAAATCTTAGAATTCGAAAAAACAAAATTTGAAGACAATTTATATAAAAATTCATTTGGGTAATAGTTTAACCCAGATCAACTCCCATCTCCAAGTATTCCCCAAAAGGCTATATCAACCAACGATAAAGTAAATCAATAAAACCAAAATATTAAATTAAGAAGACAGCTTAGTCGAAAAAATAAAGTTTCAAATTTTAAGAGACTTTCTCAATATCCAATCCTTTTGGAATGAGATAAAAATGCAAATTTGGTTAATCTGTAGTTGATGAAACTGAATCTTATCAATTATAGCTTATTCTTGATTAGAGAGAATTTAAGACTTCAATAAGAACAAATAAATTAAGACGAATAATCACCAAAATTTTAAATACTAACAAAACTGTGTCTTTTGAAAGAGCAATTACTTCTGACACAGTACGAAACTCAAAGAAATAAATTTTAGAACAGTAATTTTTTCAATTGAAGATCCAGAAATAAGTCTATTTCTATAAACTGAACTGCACTCTAGGCTTTGCTTTCTGTTGGATCTATTAAGTGAATAAAGTTAGAACGAATTAAAGTTGTCAATGACGAAATCGAATAAGAAACCTCTCAATCATGGACAGTTTTACATCCGAAAGAAGTTTGGAAATACAATTCTTTTTTGATTTTAGTGTTTGAGTTTTATTTCTATATTTTAATAGTATATTGATTCTTATGAGGCTTTTTAAAATATAGTAATAAAATTGAGATTCCAAATAAAATTATTTATTATAGTAAATATTATCTTGAGTCATGGATATTGACTGATGAGAACAATAGTTAAAAGTAGCACTATCATGTTGATGAGGTTAAACTTTGATCCGTTGTAAACGAACTCTTCTTCATCATCAGAATCTGAACTTAATCCTTAAATTTCCATAATGGTTTTATGAACATCATTTTGCTATTGCCAAACCTATAGTCTTTACTCTCCAGATATGCTTTCCTTTTCCATTCTATCCAACTTGTTATCATCAATAATATTTACATTCTTTTATGCTTTTTTTAATGTTTTTTTCAATCTGTTCATTATTTTCGGTTGTTCTCCCTCCTCTGCCATATCCAGAAATAATCCTAAAATTTCTTCAGATTATTTCGCATATTGCTCTTAATATTTATACATAATTATATAATTTCATATTTTATAATATCATACTATTTTTCACAAATTATAAGTATTCTGATTTTAATCAAAATGATTGTATTGTGATTAAGTATAATTAAATTAAAACTAAAAATAATTAAATGTTCAGAAAACACACGTAAATAAGTAAGTAAATATCTTCATTATGATATCCCTAAACTTTTGTAAACTTAGAGGTACTTTCTCACATGAGAAAGTGAATTATTACACACATAAATGACCTATTAATTAATTTTATACTTACTTGATATTTGGTAATTAATAATTGAATGAAGGAACAAAGTCTTGAAATGTAGTTTTCATTCATATTTGAACGGAAATTGACAGTATGATAGTTAAAGTCTCCAAATTTAACAGAATAGGTTGGTTAGTCAACCGAACTTGAGAACTCGACTATGGTGTGGACATTGTGATCCTTAAGCAAATTAAAATCTGTTTTATCATTAGGAACATAACCGTAACAAATATGACTATCCAATTGATAGATTGATTTTGTAATCGCTTCAATTCCTTCACAAAAAGCTACGATGTAGTTTTTGTATGAAAAGTTGAGGTTGGAGTTTTGCAACGCTGAAGTATCCAGATATAAACTCATTATTGAACTTGAATAGTGTCTTTTGGTTTTGATGTGAAATTGATAATGAATCACTTTATCCTCAATAACATTGGCAATTATTTTTTTATAGGATATATCTTATTTTTACTTCATGGGTACTCGCTTAATATTATTGCCAAGATCCAAGGTGGATCCAGAAATTAGCATGGGATACTTCTGAGGGTTATAGCATTGGAACATAACCTTTCTGTGATTCCATATGTCAACTATGTCTTTAAAATTTAAATATTGAATACGTGAGGATTCTGTTGTTCTCATTAGACGATTGGGGCCAAACTCCCATTCGGCATTGCTTGGTTGGTTGAAAGAAGAGGCAAAATATTTGTATTGGAAATCATGGGTGGGGATTTCGATGGTCCAAAGATGTCCCTATTTAAGAGATTTGGCTTACCTGATTCCATTGCATTCTTTTAGCTTGATTCAAAGACCATCTGCCAAAATAGTCAGAATCACCAGAAATATATATTGCATCACCAAATAAAAGTTGATATTGTAATTGAAAGGTTAACATGTATATTAATAATTTTTAATGATTATCATTTGAAATTGTTGCCATTTTATAAGCAAATCATAATAGTTACTATTTTCATTATTACGTATCTGAAATGAAATATTATTTTTATTATTTTTTAATTCATTAAATTTACTCTAATTGCAATTCTAACCTACATCGTAATTAAAATAAATAATTGATCAATCGCTCGGAGAACTGGTTAATACTGAGATTAAATTTATCAATTACATAATTGGGATAATTTTTCAGTACTCAAAATTTCAGAGCTCAATTAGATTAAAAAAGGATCATTTCAAAGGAGAAACTGAAATTTCTATCAATGATGATAAAATCAATTAGAACTCAGGGATAAAATGCTAATTATTAAGGCTAAAAATGAAAAATGTAAAATTAGATTGAAATTACATACATTTTTAGGATTTTTCCTTTATTTCTTATATTTAATAATTCAAATATAAGGGGAACAAAATTTAAATCTAGAGATAAGATTTGAATCCTATTTCTGAAAATTTCCAAATTTAACTCAAAAATCTTTGTGAATATTAGAAATACCTATTATATTTACAAAAAGTATCGTATAATTGGGTTAGAGGCTATCATCAAATTTAATATAGATATATATATGTAGCTGTTAAAATTAAATGATATTTATAATAATGTGGATGATTATCAAACTTTGACGTTTGAGAAGTCGACACTCTTTACAAGAGCCAAAGCTTACTCACTGACTCCCAATTCTCTGGTGAATTCGTTCTTGGTGTTGGTGTAGATATCGGTTTCTTCAGCATAGGTGTTATTTTCCAATTCTAATTCGGCTGTGTATTACTTTTGATCAGCAGCTCTTTAGTCTCTGAATTCAACCATGGAGTCGATCTTTTCTATACAAAATTATTTTATTATCGATACCATTGGTGGCAGTCAAATCCACTGTAGCTCTGTCGATTTGTCTTTAGAATTCATGGTATTCGTCATCCAATTATTCAAGGTAGGCTTCATGATCAATTACATCTTGGGCTTCTTAGGCTGTCAAGTCATTAATTTAATCAACAACAGCATTTCTGAATTCGTTAAGGGCATCAACGATGTTCTTCAATACGTCTTAGTTAGAAAAGTTTTGATTTGATGCTAAACTAATCAAAGCCTTGATCATGGGAGCCATTCTGGATCTTGATCTGATCTTGCTCTCAATGCTCTTAAGTGTATTTTGGAATCTTCTGATTTACAACAATGATGGGTTGGTGAGTGAAGCGAGGAGGGCCAAAGCATCATCGACTGAAGCTGTAGCGTCGTTCAATTCAGCAACTTAGGCTTCAAAGGCTTCATGCTCTTATTCTCTAACTAAGATAGCCTCATCATAATTCTTTCTGTTGTCTTCTTGATATCCAATGACAGAGTCAATTTTGTCTTGAATTTAAGCTCTTCTTGGGTAGAGAAGGTTATCCAAAGTATCTTGTGTATTGTTAACATCTACAATATTCAATATATATTTTTACCAATGACAGCATCTTAGATGTCTTGTTCTAATGAAACAACCAAGGCATTGTGTTCGTTTGTTCTTACTTAGAAATTGAATTCTAATTCTTCTAATTCCTCTTCTAAATCATTGATGAGTTCTTCAATAGCATCAATCAATTCTTGAACTGGTCCTCCAGCCATTGAGTGTAACTCAACTAAATGAAGCAAAGCCTTTCCGTAATTGCTCTTAGCCAAATCAGCTTACACTTTGGCCATGTTTCTCTCTTAGACTCTTGCTGTGAAAGCCACAGCAATGAGGGCAATCAGAATAATTGATTTCATTTATTTTATTATCAATCACATAAAAACGAATTTTTCCCATTATCAACCATAAATTAATCAAACCAAATACAACATTTTTAAAGCCAACTATATACTTAAACATCCTATTCTTACCATTCATTTACCGTGTACATCAAATACTACTAAAAAACGAATATCTTGAGAGATTCAAAGAACCAAAAACGAATTTTTCTAATTGCATTGAAACATCTGATTCATCATTTGAATTTGTATTTATGATAACATAAAGTAAATCCTATTCCAATTGTAATTTGATTTCAAAAGATTTAAAATGTATCAAATTATTAATTTTAATCCAAATTACAATACACCTCCAAACTTTGCAATTCCTTAATAACTACTCAATATGAATTATTCAACTATTTATTTGCTTTATACAAAATACCTTATGGATGAACTATTATTTGCTGTGTAAATTATTAATCATGAAATTTTAATTAGGCTAGCTAATCATAAGATAAAGCAAATTACTATGTAGAGTAAAGAGATTTTTAATTGAAACGATATTTCATTTATTTCAAATAATTGATCTTTTCTAGTATTTTTACCAAAATTATTGATATCTTTGACTTTCCATTCAGAATCCTCAGCGTCTTCCACTTTAATTTTTCTCATAAAAATTTCAATCCCAATTCCCTCCATTAGTAATTCAACTTCATTTTCATCAAGTAAAAATGACAATTCTATTCAAAAATGTCCTAGATTTTAATCTAGCATTGTAATTTACAAATACATTACGAAGCATTTTCTGATTAGTAAATTTAAGGCATTGCAAAATTTTGGTAAAATCAATTACCTGAAACTTCCATTCATGGTTATTTAGAGTCTTAAAAAGTCAGACATATATTGAAATTACTAAATTTAGATAATTTGTTTAGATTTTCATATAGTTTGCAATATTAAAATGAGAGGAACCTTTAATGAAAAAACATGTTATTTTTTAAGGGTCATTAATATATATACATTTATATTTTTGGAGTGATAAATTCTTTAAATACAAATTATTTTAAATTATAAATAAATAAGTATTTTAATCCATTTTTAATTAATTTTTTTAGATTAGTATAATTATTAATCTTCATGACCTTTAACTATAAACCTAGAAATCCAGTTATTGTTCACATATACCAAAATGAAAAAATACCATTCTTTCAAGCATCTTAAATTAAGTTTATTTATTTATTTTATATAATCTAAATCATTTATTACTGTAAACTTCATTTTCATTAATTCATTTTTTAATGTAAAATGCTAAGATATTTAATATGATATATATAAAAATAAAAATTATTCAATTCTGTTGATTATCAACAAATTAAACCTTCTGTTATTTGGAAAATTTTTTTGGATTAGAAATTAATTGAACCTAAACATTTTTAATAATAATAATGAATTTAGGTGAAAAAATCAGATATTTCAAACTTATTCTATCCTTGATTTATATGGATATGAATATACTTTAAAACTTTTGTCTATTGTAAATTATATTGTTCTAGGATACTTTTTACTATGACAGACTTTAATTTTTGAGCCATTATTTACTGTTAGATTAGTCTACAATGATTCTTTATCTCTTATTAAAGTTCCCTTATCTGTAAGTAAATCGCAAGCCTAATAATTATTTGGATTATTGTTTTAGCTAGCCACCCCTATATTGAAGATATAATCATCGATATTTAGGATATTCATTACTACATACATGACCATCTTGTTTTATTTTTCCTATCCTGAATAATAAAGGAAACACTTTTAATCAACTGCCTTGGCAGTCTTGAAATCATCCGTAAATTAAATTTATTGAGATTTTGATGAGTATATTAACTAATTTCAAACTTCTAAACGTAATAATTTATATATTCATTAAGGAGTTCTTTATCTATTTCATACTTTTAATTATTGATTAAGAAATTTCTATTGGGTATAGTTTTACATGAATTGAAACAATATTAAGAAGCAATTGAATGTTACAATGAAGCAATAGCTATTAACCCTAAATCAGGTACTTTTTGGAATAATAAGGGTACAATATTTTTACGAGGGTACAATCTTTTTACGAGGGTGCATTTTTTCATAGAATTCATCAAGCTTTCTAGTTATGTGTGCGTATTTTACTATTTATAAGTGCATTCAAAATATTCGAGGGACTATTTTAAAGACTCGATAAGATTTTGTAAGCTATGATTCATGGCTGTATAATGTTATTCATTTAATAATTAAGATGTAAAGCTATTATCAAACAAATTTACAATCAATTCTCTGAACTTATCAAATTTAATTAATTTATGATTTTGCTAGGAATGTATAATATTTCAGAAAGTGTGTCAACTACTCTTCCAAAATTAAAATTATGATCTAAACACCCAACTAGTGTTTATTTATTTATCCATTTTATAATTTTTATATATATAATTCTAAATGTCTATTGATACAATTTTTATACTGTCTCAAAATGGGTATACATCTATGATTTACATAGCCAAATTTTGGCTCATAGGATATTTAAAGGGCTCAAGCGCAAAGACACTTTGCCTGAATTCTACACTCAATTCGTATAATTTTTTAGAGGGACCAATGCTGTAATTTTGTGATGTTGAGTCTAGCTTAGGATAAAGAATACCCAATTATTAGAATAAAGGATGCTCTTTACCCTTTTGTTACGTTCTCGGAATTCATCATAGGAGCAATAGTAACAGAAGAGATCCCTGTATTGCAGTTATTTGCAACACTCTTCCTCATTCAAGATGTAATCAAGGCCTCATTTCCAAACGAATCCTCCGAGATACTCAAATAGAATTTGCCTTAAATCGTCATCATGCTTGATACGTTATTCGATTACGGTTATCCATAAATTACTTAAAGATACATACTTGAAAGTATAGCTAAACCAACAAGTCTAATTCAAAAAATAAAGGAAAAAATAATAGGCAGACAGAACTTCCAAAAAGAAACTGTTTCTGTTTTGGAAAACTATATAGAGGGCTAGGAAGATATGAGAGAATATTGCCAATATCGAATCCCTGAAATCAAGGGTCAAGAGTAAGTTTACTTCGATGTAATCGAATACTTAAACTGTGTATTCGATAAGAATGGGAGAATTTTAATGGAAGAGATCAATGGAGAAATCAAAGTTGATTGTAATCTATCAGGACTACCTGAATTATATGTATTCCTCAATCAGCCAAACCAGTTTAATGATTACTCTGTTCACGAATGCTTGCTCCAAAAGATTGATACTTTTGAAAGAGAACAAGTCTTGGCATTTGTTCCCCCTTCAGGAACTACAACTATATTTTATTATGATATCAAAGGGATTTCAATTAAAGTTCCGTTTGACTTCATTCCAAAACTGTAATTCCTAAGTAACTAAGTTAAAATAGAGCTCCCTTTTTAAAATAAATCAGTTAGAGATAAATCATATGTAGTTGATGAACTGCATGTAAAATTAACAGTACCAACTGGTTTAACTCTTGGGAAAACGGAGATGGTTCAAGGAACACTTCAAGAATTGGAGAATGTAGGTACCTAATGATATCATTTAGGCTATTCTGTGGAAAATAGGAAAACTCGAAATTGATTCATCAATTAGATTAGTTGTAACCTTCACAGCAAGAGAAGAATTACTCAATATCATCTAATAGGGAAATTTCTTGGTCCAATTAAAATTTGTTGTTAAGACATTCAGTCCTTCTCAAACAAAAATTGATAAAGTTGAAATTAGAAATGGGCCTAAGGATCTGATAAAAAAAGCCAGAAATATAGCTAAGAGCGGTTATTATGAAATTAGATTAAATTAATGATTTTATTTTATTTTAATTAAAGTTTAATATTCTAATATTTAGAAAGAGAATGAATTAACTTTATTTAATTTATACGCTGATATCTTCAAATTAAATCCATACTAAAAAATTATTTATAAATTTGGAAAATAATAAGACATGAAAAATACTTTGAAGATATCATTAGTTGAATATATTTATAATGTGCTTTAATTGAGAACCTTGAATACTAGTTATACCTATAATAAAAGATATATTATTTCTCAAATAAGGAAATCTATTTTTTCTAATATATAAACTTTTTGATTTTGATTTACTCTCTTAAACCAGATTTATATGTAATAAATATATATAGTATTGGTATTAAAATAAAATAGAACTAAATTATCAATAAATTATAAATCAAATTAGTGTAAATTGAAACCAATTATTAAATAATTTAAGCTATGAAAAGCAAGAAGCCCATTTTAGATGAAAAAGAACATCTTTGGTTGTTAATCAATTCTAAACCCAATAAAACATTTTAATTGAAAGGAACTTACGATTATGCTGCTGCAATATCTCCAAATAATTAATATATCGCAGTTCAGATTCAAAATGAAGACGAAGAAAGGGAATTAATAATCTTCAATACTGTTATGAAGAGGAAGATCAAAATTTAAAAGAGCAATTTTGGTTAACTGCTTTTTTCTCCTAATTCAATGATCCTTGTTGGGTCAATATTTAATAAATGGATTTAAGTTATGAAGTTGAAGTCAACTGCTAAAAAATTTAAAGTAGATAAGCAATCTTAGTTAATCAACCCTAAACATTTTCCATCTAAATATGATATGGAGTTTAAAACAAACTCAAATTTTCTATTTGTATTCTCAATAGAAAAAGGGTAATTTGCAATATGGAATTTGGAAAGCGATGATCTATTAGCAGTTGTTAATTACTATATAAAAGTACCTATCATGGTGATGAAACTATCACTAGAAGATTCCAATATTTTAGGCATCATCAAAAAAATGAGAATTCAATACATTACTACTTCCAAGGGCTTTTAAAAATTGATTTTCAATAATAGTAATCTCTTGTCAGTTGAATATTTATAAGAGGAAGGAGGGATGTTGATAAAATGCAGAAATAAGATATTAAGAACGCATTTCGGGTCTAAATTTGAAGATGGGATAAAGAGTGTTTAAATTTCAACTCTAGGCACAAGAATTATATACGTATCAGATCTGGTGATGTATTTATACAGTGTTGCAACAGGTAATATACTATTGAAAAAGAAAATTTATAATGTTGAACAATTGATATTAAATGATCATTCATTAATAATGATTGAAGGAGAGTTGATTAAGTATTGGGATAAAGAATAAACTTGATTATCTAATTATGTTAGCATGATTACTAATAAGATTAAGACTTAGATATATTAACAAGAAAATATTGTATTAAATAGTTCTAATCTCCTCAATTTTAATTATTGCTTATACTTAATTTCTCATTCTTACCTTTATTCTATACCACAATATTCTATAATCTATCCCAGAATCAAAGATTTAAGTTTTCATAAATTCCATATATTTTATATAATCATCATTATTATTAAATACACTACAAGCACATTAAAAAATCACCACTTTATAAATATGCGTATTTGCTGCAAACCAAACAACAATTATTTCCACAGCCAGTACATTCATTAATGCACTTCTAACACATCAATTTATTACAGACTGAACAATTGATGTCATCTGAAACTATTTTAATTTCACAGTTTGTGCATTTCTTGATTATTTGATCCTCAAGAATTGATTCCTGATCATTCATTCTCTTGTAGACTATTTTTATATTTATTGACAATATCTACAGATACTATTGAAATTTTATTTTGACGCGCTCTTTTTACTATTGCTTGAAGTTGGATCTTTGTATTATTTCATTTAATCTAATTCTTGAGCCAATTGATAGTTGATTTCAGAATAAACCTCTTATCTCACATTTGTATAGTATGGACTTGTACGAAACATATATATTAATTATAGAAATCAAATTATGAATTGAATCATTTTCTCATTATTCTAAATAATTTCAATACTCCTTCATATCCTGTTAAATCTTATAGCATCACCCTCAAAGTTATTGTTAACACTCTAGTACCTAGGTTACATTTCAATATAAGACAATTTCTAATATAATTGCCTTGATTCTGATTAAAAGAGCAATATAGATTGAATAATACACATCATATATTGAATCTTAATAAATAACAATATCAAATTCCAAATAATACATTATTTTATAAATCTTTTGTTATAATATTGTTTTATAAAATAAAATAATACCATTTTAGCATTTGGAAATTAAAAACAATAATATTNAAAAAATGAGAATTCAATACATTACTACTTCCAAGGGCTTTTAAAAATTGATTTTCAATAATAGTAATCTCTTGTCAGTTGAATATTTATAAGAGGAAGGAGGGATGTTGATAAAATGCAGAAATAAGATATTAAGAACGCATTTCGGGTCTAAATTTGAAGATGGGATAAAGAGTGTTTAAATTTCAACTCTAGGCACAAGAATTATATACGTATCAGATCTGGTGATGTATTTATACAGTGTTGCAACAGGTAATATACTATTGAAAAAGAAAATTTATAATGTTGAACAATTGATATTAAATGATCATTCATTAATAATGATTGAAGGAGAGTTGATTAAGTATTGGGATAAAGAATAAACTTGATTATCTAATTATGTTAGCATGATTACTAATAAGATTAAGACTTAGATATATTAACAAGAAAATATTGTATTAAATAGTTCTAATCTCCTCAATTTTAATTATTGCTTATACTTAATTTCTCATTCTTACCTTTATTCTATACCACAATATTCTATAATCTATCCCAGAATCAAAGATTTAAGTTTTCATAAATTCCATATATTTTATATAATCATCATTATTATTAAATACACTACAAGCACATTAAAAAATCACCACTTTATAAATATGCGTATTTGCTGCAAACCAAACAACAATTATTTCCACAGCCAGTACATTCATTAATGCACTTCTAACACATCAATTTATTACAGACTGAACAATTGATGTCATCTGAAACTATTTTAATTTCACAGTTTGTGCATTTCTTGATTATTTGATCCTCAAGAATTGATTCCTGATCATTCATTCTCTTGTAGACTATTTTTATATTTATTGACAATATCTACAGATACTATTGAAATTTTATTTTGACGCGCTCTTTTTACTATTGCTTGAAGTTGGATCTTTGTATTATTTCATTTAATCTAATTCTTGAGCCAATTGATAGTTGATTTCAGAATAAACCTCTTATCTCACATTTGTATAGTATGGACTTGTACGAAACATATATATTAATTATAGAAATCAAATTATGAATTGAATCATTTTCTCATTATTCTAAATAATTTCAATACTCCTTCATATCCTGTTAAATCTTATAGCATCACCCTCAAAGTTATTGTTAACACTCTAGTACCTAGGTTACATTTCAATATAAGACAATTTCTAATATAATTGCCTTGATTCTGATTAAAAGAGCAATATAGATTGAATAATACACATCATATATTGAATCTTAATAAATAACAATATCAAATTCCAAATAATACATTATTTTATAAATCTTTTGTTATAATATTGTTTTATAAAATAAAATAATACCATTTTAGCATTTGGAAATTAAAAACAATAATATTGTTTAATTTGTTTTTTTAATTATATATATAAGAAGTTATAGACATAATTTAAAAGTGATCTTTATCTTTCAACACTTTATCATAATATTTGTTTTTTTAAACTTAACATAATTTAAGAATTTATATAAGATAACAACAAAGATTCCTGTTTTGTCATCAAATTTGCCTTCAAGTTGTCTGAAAATATTTCGTATTATATTAGCTTTGGAGTAGGGGAGTAAGTTCCTATTTAAATATAACGTTAATCTCTAAAATTACTATCAATCTTTTGTTGAAAAGGCTTACAAGTTATAAATTAAAAAATTAATATAAATATATATTTTATTTATTTCAAGTCTAATAATATTCATAAAATAAGATGCCTTATTAAAAAATAAATATCCATTTAAAATCAAGGAATTTCTGAATTAAAATATATAATGATGGAACATAGATATTAATAATTAATTCATTTCAAACCTTCTGCTTAATTTGTATTATAATTATTGGGTGTGAAGGTACCTCCATCTAATAGGAAATCAGTATTTTAAGTCTTGTTGCCTTGTAGGTCATAATTGAATGAAACTGACTGTTGTTGTTGGATTGCTAGATTGAATTAAATAAAGATACTGTTTTTTCGAGGCTTTCTTTGAGGACTCAATTAAGGAGTGGACACGATTGGATATTTGGCAAGGTACTATCTATAGTCTTAACAATTACCTCATGAAATTTCTCTCTATTGATGAGTTTATTTTACTCCAAAGATTTAAAGAAATTATTAGTTAAATCTTAATTCTACTTGACATCATAGAGTGATTCTAAGAAGTACTTCATTACTTTGATGCATCCAATACTGTCGATCAGATCAGTGAGGATGGGTTGAAGAATAGTGTACAATTCAAACTCCTTATAGGATTTGGATTAAAAGATGAGTCGTTCATAGAGAGCTTCGATAAGATTAAACTTGTTTAGTTTAGAGTATTGTCCCATATAGATGACTGTAAATTCTACTCGATTGTCGATCACAATCTCTTATTCCTCAATAGACACAGAAATTCTTTAGTTAAATGATTAGTTTACAATAAGTTAGGGTACTCAACAGTCAATCTTGCAAAGAGTTCATACAAGAAGTTCACTCTCTGTCCAGATAGCAAAAAAACAATGTCAGAGGTGACTTTCACTGCATTCACTAAACCCTTATAGATTTGCTCACTTTTATCCTTGCGGTAATTGGTAAGGTTGATAAAGATTCCGTCTACTGGTATTCGACTCCAATCCATTCTGAGAGTTGCAAAGTTGGCCCCGATTACAGATATTTCAAGTTAATTCATTTTCAACTATTCCAAGTTCTGCCATCCCATTTGTTGATGTTGGATATTTTAGGTTACAGCAATTACTGACATTCCCTGGCTGAGAAACTACCATTCAGGATTGTAATACTTGAATAGAGTGTTAATTGAATTGACTGTTGATTTCAAGGACTCTTTAAGCCGGTTACATTCTTCCAGCGATGTATCGACTCAGATGCAGAGGAGCTATTTTATTTTGCTTAGTGTCGAAGAGCAGCTTCTTCTCATCTTGATGATCGAAGATATGAGTAGGATTTTTGGAGTTTACAACCAGATTCTTACTTATTGGAAATTTCATTTAAGTTTTATGAACCAAAAAGCAACATTATTAAGTGTTATCAGTGATCAAATGATACGGCGATTCAATCAACTAATTCATAGATTTTAATTGAGTCATGATATTACTATCCTCCATTGGATTTTGCATCTATTTCTATTGCTGATAATGTCCTTGATTTGGAGTTTACACTGATCGAGACTTCGGACGCTATTCATTGCTCTCCTCTCCTGTGCATACACAGAATAACCTTTTCCAAAATGGTTATTTCGACATGAAAATATAATTAATATACACAAACACATACATCATCAAACAAGTTTGTTTATTTGTTAAGGAATCTTGACAGGATTTATTACAACTCCTGCCTTAGTAATTATTTATGGCTACGTCAATGCTGAATGACTAGTCAAACTGTTCCATTCCGGACCAAGAGGCAAAGTGTGTAATTAATCAAATTGTGAGGAATTGGCAAATTCACTTGGCAATTTTGGAACTAAATATTTTGCAAACTAAAACATCCTTATATTGATCTATACCTTAACATCTCTTTTCTCACTAATGATCACATTATCTAATTTTGCATCCTGTCTCTTCTTTTACACTTCTCTAATTTTCTTTATTTTATTCTATAAAATCTACTCCTAAGTCAATGGCTTTTTCTCTTTGATACCAAATCCAGCCCAAGATCCCCATCCTTTTGTATTAGCTGGTTCAGGAGGCAACTCCTCTTCCATATCTTTTATTTTCTCATCTATAAATGCATTTTCATTCTAAAAGTTTAATGATTAAATTGAATACTTCATCTTCATCCAAAACTAAATTGAAATTAGCCAAATTTTATTATAACAATTCATCCGGATCTGATTGCAATTTCTTTAAGTCCTGATTAGTCAATTTTTAATTCACTTGTTTTTCATACTTCTATTTAATATTCTTGATATTCAATCCTTCTATCAATTACTTCTTTTCTTCTTAAACAGTTAATTGTTTTTCTATTTTATTTTATTATTATTGCTTCTCAGGTTCTTAATTTAAATAATTAGACAAAGAAGTCTTTGCATCAATCTTCTTCTTCTAAGTTTCAGTTAATTATTTAGTTTCATTAACAAAATTTGCTCTGCCATTGAACTCGTTATTCTCAACATTATTTTTTGATTTATCCTTATCACCATTTTCATTAGGCTCATAGTTTTCATCACTATTCTATTCTTGATTTTCTGATTCATCTATTTAGATAGCATCATCATTCCCAGATTTGAGCATTGTCAATAACTTCTATGCTATGGATTTTGATTATTGCAAGTCTTGCTTCTTTTATTTGTCTAAGAATCCAAAATTATTTTATTTTTCCTTCTCTCTCCTTTCAATATCTAATAATTCTTATTCCAATTGAGTAATTGCTTATTCTCTAAAGTTCTCTTCGTCAAATTCGCCATCCTCCAATTCGTTAAGTTATGCCTTGGCCAATAATTAATGTTTAAGATTATTGAGGAATGACTATTGTTGTTTCAGAGATTTCTTGTCTCCTCCAAATCTGAGAAGCTAAGAGACATACTTATTCTTGGTCGAGTGTCTAAGTGTTATTCTTTCCTTTGCTCTTGATAATCTCAATTTCTCAATTTCTTTCCTTCTTTCAGCAGGTGTTAGTTAAGCCATTAATTTAAGCTTCTCCTTATTACCTTTCTTTTTCTTAATTTATTTGTAGATTTTAGATTTAATTGATGAAATCTTCTTCATTTTTAGATCATTGTAGAATTGCAAATTGCTCTTTTATTGATTTGATTACCCATTCAACTCTTGTTTTTGTTCGACCTTCTCGACTTCCTCCATAGCATTTTATAGTTTAACACCTAAATGATTATTTAATAAAGCATTGGAAGTATCAGAACTAATTACATTATTGTATTGATTTACATCTTCGATATCTAGACATTCCTCTATTTAGTAAAGTCTATCCTCTCAGACTCTCTATTTTTCTTCACAATGGGTAACCACTTTTTGATATCTTACTTCATCACAGTTGCAGCCACTTTACGTTCTTGTAAGTCTCTTTCAGCTTGAGTTTCTGGTTCTTATACAATCCTCTAAATTTAATTGATTAGACTTACTGCTTTTTCATGCACTCTTAAGTATTGAGTTTTAACACTATCAATCTACTATCCTTGATCTTCAAGTGTTTAAATCAGATTGGCAACATTAAAATCATCTTCAGGAATCTCTTACAATTTGACTTACTGATAGGCATCCTACTTTTCTACTTTTTTGGCCAATTACTTCTCAAGTCTCTATTCTTTATTTAATTTACCCATATTTAAATTAGTAATAAAATAATAATATATATGTAATCATTACACAAATTGCCAAGGAGTCAAACCTTCATTATTCCTCAAGTTTGAAGCTCCCTGAGAAATCAAGATGTCAGCAATGTTAAAGTAATTGTATGCAATAGCTTTGTGCAAAGCAGTGTCTCCATCATTCTTAAACAATAATAAGAGACACTTACATTTTACATGTTTACAAAGGATCCCTTGCGTAGAAGTAATTCAACTATTTCGACATTTCCAGTTTGAGCTGCAATAATCAAATACGTATTTCCATCTTTCAATCTTTCATTGATCGGCAGATTTGGATTATTCGCAAAGAGTTCCTCTAACTATTAAATAATCGCATTACTGATACCTCAGCTAACTTCTGTTCTTCTATGAACAACTTAGCAATTTCTATAACAGGTATGGACTACCTCCTCCGAGATTCAGTAATCTATGTTCTCATTTGCAGGGAGTGCTTACTCATTGAAGATATCATCACAGCCTTTCTTCTTTCTTGACTCTTGGTAACAGTTGGTTTAATCAGATCCTCTTTTTAAGAGATGGGGGCTGTAGTATTTTGAATAGTTTAAGTAATGGTGGCTTTCATTTTATTAGATTAACTAGTATTATTGCTATTCTCTTTGATGCTAATTTCCTCCTGAGGAGAATCACTTCTCCTTCTTAAAACACTTGTTTGACTTGAGGTGGCTTCTAATAATTGTTTGGCAGGTTTGCTCTGTTGATTTATGGTTTGATGACGAGGAGATGAGATAATCTTGGAATTATGCTTTTGATTCGATCTCTCACTAGGTGGAGATTAATCTTGATTGGATTTCTTCTTCTAAATTGGTTTGGCAGCCTTGATAAACATCTTAGCTATGTCAATTTTAATAGTAGATTGTCTATGTTATGGCTGATCTTCAGGTTCCAATTCAATCAAACCATAATCAGTGGTTAAATTGTCGATTTCATGATGATCTTCAAATTCTCCTGTCAAAATGCTATTATATTGAAAAAACATAAGTTTTGAAACCTTAATCTGATCACTTTTTTTAAGATACCTCATCTAAGAATTAATCTTTCTAATAATTTAACCATCATCGAGAACAGGATTAAGGCGATCATTAATAAATTTTGTATCAATTTAGAAATTGAAATCATGCAACATCATGTTTCTATCTTCGCAATCTAATGTATTTACAATGAATTAAATGTGATTGCTTAGATTAACAATTTTTATTTAGGATGAACATTGCAATATATCTTAAAATTGATTATCACTGCTGAAACTTTGATTACCAAATTCCGAATTATCAAATGAATAATCATGTTAATAGATTTACGATAATAGGAAACGATTGGGTTCGATTTCAATTTAGAATGTTGGATTAGACAGTGATTCGTGATTACTATTAGCAGGATTAGTACACCAAGAATAGACTCTGCTAGACTATTGACTTTCATTTGGTTTCGAGAAGGAGATGGAACCTCTTTTCTCTTGTATTAATTGCAAATGCAATAGGATATTCTCCTCCAATTTGGTGAATGTGCGAGACATCTTATTTTGCAAGTACATCTTCATGAACCTCCTAGTCTTACTTCATAAAATAATTACTTTTTATATGTTATAATATTGGTGGACATCCTCTTGCTAATTCTCTTATTCTGTAACTCCAACAATCTTAAGAATAGATTTCGAAAACTTGGTTGTCATTTTCTTGGGTTATGAGGAGATCTACAATGAATTTGTATTTACTTACAAATTGCAAAGCTTACTTCAACACATGTTTAGGCTTGTCACTGTACTCTTGAATCTCATCATTCTCTTGTAATCGCTATCCATAATCTGGTATACTGAAAGAGAATATTCCTACTTCGTTCTCTGGACTACATACGGATATTGTTAATTTTCGACGATTGTTCTATGGCAATGGTTGAATCTCAGCTTTCTTCTCTTCGATAGCCTCTAAGACTTGAGACACAATGGTTCCTGCCTTCTACAACTGAGTTGCCTAGTTCTAAAACTAAATCGTAGAAAGATGATTAGTAAATGTAAATCTAGGACTTGTCATCTAGGTTTTGAACTTATCTGACAAAAAGCTATTCTCGTTAGTATGAATATCATCATGTTAAATGTGACTGGTAGTAATGATTTACCTGATCTTTTTCAGAAACATTTTCATGTTCAGATTTTCATCTATTTAATCAATAGACCCTTCAATATTAGGATTCCTCTTAAAGATTTTGCTCCTCCATTCTTTTTTAAATTCCAAGGGACCATCCAACGTAAAATTCTTATCCTCCTCTTTTTTAGACTTCTCTTCGGTAATGATATTTTTAAATTCTGCTGAAGCAACCAACTTGAATATTGATTGCTATTGTTTAATCTCATTCTCATGAACACTTTCTTAAGTCTTTAATTAAGTAGCCTTAATCACTTTTCTTGCTACAACTCGTCCAGTCAAAGAAGCTGGAACCTGAATCTGGGGCAATTAAGGAAGTTAAAGTGGAGGAATGATACTTTTTATAAATGATCTTTGAGTGACTCGACTAATAAAAAATGTGTTGGTGTTTGAAACCTCTTGGACAGTGTGTAGAGATTTGGCCTTATTATGACTTTTACTTCTCATTATAAATATAATTAATTGTAAATGAGTGTTTTTATGTTTAAGCAATTTATTTTATTTAAATATATTTAATTCATTTAAGGAATGAATAATAAATGGCTGCTAATATGGCAAATATGGCCAAGAGTAGTATGGTTAGATTAATAAAGCAATTGCAATCTGCTAATTGTTCATCACTTTATTCATTCGCTAAAAACAATCAAACTCTTATAATACTTGAATTATTAATGACATTATTGCATTGATTAAAAGTCTAATTGTAAGTGATATTATTATTAATAGTCACCGGCGTAGAACCACTAGTCTGTGTACTAATCAATGGCTATACTTTCTTATTAAATTTATTCTTGTTATGCTACAATAATGCATAAGGCTTACCTTCTAAGGGATGGTCTTCCTCTTGAATTACAATTTGGCCAACTCTTGTCTAGCCAATTCCTATTCTTGCATCTAAGTAGCCTTATCTGTGTAACTCCATTAGTTTTGTTTCAACCACTCCCTAATATCCTCCAAATTCTGCTCCTGAATTCTCTTAAACTCGCTTTGTACTTGAGGATCCAGTAGGTTTATGCCATACTTCTAAGCAAACTCATACAATTTCTATCGTTCACTATTAAATACTTACTTTCTTAGGCCTATTGAAATCCAATTAGGATATCTTTTCCAATTACTTCTTTGCTGCTATTGCTTTTTTTAACTTCTCTCTTAAGTCCTCAGCCTCTTTCAGTTATCCATTCTACTAATAAACCTTCACCATCTCCATCCCTCTTGTCTCTATGAATCTTCCCAACTCTGATACTTCTATTGGAATGGGCTTGGTGTTATCTTATTCATAACTCAACTCTTGATCATAATCTTAATAAGCCAAATGAGCCATGAAATCCTATTGAACATCTTCATCATCTTCTTGTTTCCGATATTGTTGAATCAACTCCAACTGTTTTCTTTGCAAATCTGTGTAATTTTTATATTCCAACTCTTTATATGCCAATAATTATGCTTTCACCTTCTCATAAAACTTTGCCAATGCTGCATTGTGTGGATCAAGTTGCTAAGCAAATTTGAGATCCTTGAATGCCATTTGGCAATCAATTTGTGTGATATTGTCAGACAAAAAACGGGACTATTGCTATTTCTAATACATACTTTTGCACGCAAAATCAAAGCATTTATACATTAGGGACTCATTTGTAACCAGTAATCGCACATCTTTGTACAAGCACCTTGCTCCAACTGACGATAATAGCATTCTGCCATTTTCTCAAATAATTTGAGACGAAGTCCTTTTGCTCTTTAAATTATTTTAAGTACTGTCTATTTGAGATTGCTCAGGTTATTTTTATTGAGTTAACTCTTCAAATGTGGTGTCTTCCCATCTCTTTGGCATTCTAGCCTCGGCAAATACAGACATGCAAATCTCAAATTAATCTATTGCATTTCCAAATTGTTCTAATGTATTATTCTAAACTCTCATATACCTAATTCATAAAATTTGAGACCACGTTCGAGTAATAATTCACATATCTTCATTTTTTACTAGAAAGACTAACGTTTTTATTGCTTGAATGCTAAACGAAGCATTTATTTTAGATAATATAATAATAAATTAATTAATTAAAATCTAAATATTCCTGGTCAGTGTGTTAACTTTGGATAATATCATATAAATTTAAAAATTCAAATCGACTTTGCATGTCATGGACACTAATAGATCCCCCATGTCTGAGTTGATGAAAAGAAATATCAATGAATGAATGTAAAGCAAGATAGATGATTGGAAGTCTTTGTTTTTGAAGCTGATTCGAAGCAAATAGGAGGGAGTGTGTTACTTTAAGAAATATTGGGGATCAATAATATCATGATTAATAAGTTAAAATTTTAGATTTGTGTTAATTTATACATTGTTATAAATTGATAAATAATTTTTAATTGAATTCTAACTTTGAGTATGTGATTATTATAAAAAATAATCAAAAATGAAATTTACATTTAATTATGTTAAATGAGAAAGTAATATTTGAATTCAAAGTTGAATTCGAAAATGTTGGCAGCAATTTAGTGGGAGTATTTATTATCAGTAAGAAATTAAATTTAATTATTCATTATTCAAAATATGCAAAGAATTAACTTTGCTAGTTTCTTCTATTTCGAGGCATTCGTTACTTTTGAGTTGATTTGGGCGAGTTTGAATAGCAATGACAATTAATTATGGATCCCAATCTTATTACACTATATTGGTCTAATTGTTAAGATGGCCCTGATGAAATATTCAGATCTCAAAGTGTTATGGATTGTAGGAGTGGGGAATGATGGGATAGTCTTCGGATTATTGCAAAACGACAATTAAGATTTGACATATTTATATGTAGAGTAGATTTAAATTTTTAGGTACTTATATTGATATAGTTTGAACTGCTGTACGACACAAAAATGTTCTATAACCAGAGTATTCTGGTGCTGTTTTGGGGGATGGTTTCTCAAATTTTGTACAATTATTTGGAGGTGTGGAGATTGATGTTAACTTTGGGATAATGTGTTGCATTGCTTGGATTTTTATACTTTATAAACCGAAAAAAGAAGAAGACATCTATAGCCAAATCAAACTAATGTGTGCAATAGGAGACCATTTAGAGTGCAAAGATGCATATTCTTAAATTAATGTATGAGTGATCAGTAACCGAGGCCCTGGATGACGGATCAAAAATTCATTGTCCTAAATGATCATTTTAAATGTCTCCACAATCAATCTGACATCTGTTAGTTGATGGAAAGCGATAGGGATGAAGCCATCGAACGTTTGTTGGATGTAAGATGCGATACCTATTCTTAAAATCTAGTAAAAGTGTTATCAGAAAATAATACAAATATTATTTCATCTCCCTTCAAATTGCCATTCTTGAAACCTGACATCAGAACCATTTTGTCATCTCTATTATGTGATATGAATTCCTATTACTCCTACTTCTGTGTGGCTGATTTGGATTATAAAAATCTTATTAATGTTAGATTAAACTTTTTTGTGTTGAGCGATAACTTTATCGACTACTTAATCATCCAATTTGAACCCTCAATGAAAACAATCAACAAATCTGTTTACACCTTTCCAGATAACTTCAAACTAAACAACACCAACAATTTATACAACAACTCAAACCATTCAAAGCAAACTTACGAATCTTTATCAAGCGAATTACTAGGCAACATATTCCAATCTATTTCTCATGAGTTTGGAACATTTCTCAATTGCATTGTCACTGTCTCATCCGAAGCTATGGACAATGAACTAATTAATGAACAAGTCAAAGCAACCTACATCGAACCTACCTACATCAACTCCAAATTGCTCTCTTATGTACTTCAGAGTGTGAGGGATTTCAACACCATATTATTGAAACAATTCGCTTTGAGACTTCAGGAATTCAGTCCCTACGAAATCATTCAGGAGATATAATATTTACTGAATTAATAAACAACACAAAGAAATAATTAAATTATAGTAAACTGCCCTCAGCAACTTCTTGTGTATAACGATCAAGATAGATTCAAACAAGTACTATATCAATTGATGAGTAATTCAATACGCTTCACTGAGAATGGCATCATCACAGTATCCATCGCCTTTTACAAGGATAAAATTAAGGTCAAAGTATAGGATAATGGCATTGGAATGAATCAGGCAGAACAGGCCAAATTGCACAAACTATTGAAGGACAACACCAAATTATTAAGGATCTCGCATAATTCAGTTGGATGTGGATTGGGCTTGAGCATCTCCAATGCAATCGTATTGAAAATGAATGGAAAACATGGAATCCAATTCACTAGTGAATTATAAAAGGGCAGCGAATTCTTCTTCACAATATCCAATTCTCAATAACTCTATAATGATAGTGTGTATGTGGCTAGTCAAACTTACGTGAAAGTGTTAAATTAAACCTATTATTTAGAATAATAACCAATATCTGAAGGCTCTCATAAAGGCTAGATCTTGAACAGCGATCACAAGGAGGACAATGGCGACACATGGAGAGAAAAAAGTCTGTTTCAAAGCCGTGCTATACGTTTCAGATCAGCAGATTCCAAATCATTGTTTGGAATAATCCAGAAATTGTAATAAGAAGAGGATGAAATTGAATCAAGACAGGAAGAGTCTAAAATTATGATACCTTCTTTATAAGCTAGTTTCAAGTCAGAAATAGTTAAATTTAGTATTGGCAGCAATTGTTGTAGTAGGATATTAATTGTAGATGATGAATATTTTAATATTCAAAGTCTGCAATTGATTCTGCATAGATTCAATGCTCATTGTGATTTCACTTTCAATGGACAGGAAGCAATAAAGAAGGCGATTTAAAAAATGAAGGAGCCTTGTAGACACTGCTAAAATAATGGCTATGTTGTATTCTTTCTTGATCTCAATATGCCGATAATGGATGGGTTTGACACAGTGAGAAATTTGAAGAAGATGATGCATGAGAATCAAATTCCAAAAGGAATCTGTATAGCGAACACTGGGTATGCTGATTTGGAGAGCAAGCAGAAAGCCTTGAATTCAGGAATGGACTTTTATATGATCAAGCCTATACAAATAAAGGAGTTGGAGTCATATTTGAAGAGAAAGTTCCCTTAATGATATATGATTTTCTATATTATATAAATATTTAAAAGTCGTTGGGGAGGAAATGCTGATGGTAAAAAAAAGTAGTATTGTGAAAAGAAGGAACAATGATGAATATTGATATTGTGATCATGAAATGTCCAAAAAGGAATTACAGAATCTGTCATCATAGTTTTGGATGCGAAAGATGTTGAGTTTGATTGAATCTGCTGCAAGTTGATTTGCACACTCAATGACGCATGTGTCTGCATCGATATTAATGTGCTTGACGAGTCGAGGATTGACAGCGTGACCAACAGCGATGCGCAACTCTTCGATTTTTAGATCTTGAGTTTGAATCTGCTTAATTTTCAATTTGACAGGCTCCTCGATCAGTTCATTAATCTTTTTCTATTTCAACTACTTGCACTAATTTTTGTAATTGAGCCAATCGATCTTACTCATCACTCGTAATCCGCCTTTGATCATTACTAAATTAGACTCTCCTTACTTTCCCTCTCCATAATCTCTTTAGGTATTAAGTTGTTGCAAACTTGAATGGCCTTGTTTACACTCTCGATGTTAAGAAAGGTTATAAATCCATACGTGTCGAATTTCTTCACCTGCAAGACCTGCTTATCTATCTATTTTCATTAGGACAATAACACTACTCTGCTGAAAATCTGATGCAACAACTATTGATCCACGACTCGGGGAATGTTCTCCACATAAATGGTCCGCTCATCCATAAAATTACTATTGTCAACAAATGGAATTCTCCTCTTCACCATCCCTCTATCCTCATCCACCTCCAAAATGTCACTTCTTTTCAATGCGTATATTAGAATTAGCACTTGCTGCTTCGATCCTTTCGGATAATTACGAAGTATAACTTTTATCTTATTACATTATAAGAATGCCTCCAAAGGAATCCAACCCTAATTTTCTTGGAGTAGCCGTCTGAAATAGTTATCATGCAATAGGTTTGCATCTCCCAAGTAGAATTCAATTTATTTGCAAATCCGCGGTAGTAAATAATCATCCTTCTCCTGGCGAGACGAAACAACTATTTTGGCTGTGGGGTCATATTAATCACCCAATTGGCAATCCAGACTTTGAAATTAATTTATGTTCTTCATTATTTATTAAATATTTTTATGATTATTAACACTCCATTTATACACTACTATTTAATTAGTTCCAATTCTAAAGAATGATAAATAAAGTGATAATTAAAGTTGTAAGTCATTTTTCAAATATGAAGCCTAATTTAGATGACTAAATGAGTGTATATAAATTATATATTCTAAACTATCTGCTGAAAATTACTTCAGTATTAATGATATAATGAATGATAAGTTAATGAACCTTTTTTGATCAATTATACATTTAGATTTAAGTGATTTCGAAAAAATGTTAAGAAATATTTGATATTAATTGTTGATGGGAGATAATATAGGATTTGGAGAATAAGATGTTAATAATTTGATTGATCAAAAATAAAAGAAGAGAATTATTGAATATTTAGAGTGAGTTATTTGAGTTTTCTTAAAGTAGTTAAATTTAGATTTTATTAAACTCGTTGAAGAAATTAAATATTCTTATTTCTACAATTGAATTTACAAGAGAATATTATAATCTTTTTGTATTATATTAGTACTTTATTGTAAAATGATATCATAATATTTAACAAATTACATTCATTATTATTATTGTTATCTCTCCTCTTTAGGAAGATTAGCATGATAGATTTTTTCCCAACTAATAATGGTGTTATCAAGATTGGTTATGCTTTACTGGAGGAATCCATCCTAAGATAATGTGATATTGAAATACAAAGAAGGTATTCAAAGTGAACCAAAGGGGTCTAACAATCACTTTAAAGAATCCCATTTCAGATTTAGCCATAATATGCAATTTGTCAAGGTCCTTCAAAAATGGTGTTTATGGAATTCCTAATCTGCCCTCTTCATCATATTATGCACTGAATTCTTTATTAACTCTCTCTGACCAAATTCTGGAGATCTCAAATACCTTGGCTCCCCCATTAAAATCTGCTGTATGAATAATCATTCCTGTCAATAATTTTAGATCATCATCTCCAGTACCAAATGGTTTCGTGACTTCATCCTTGATTCTACTTTCAAAGTCTTTTAACAATGTGAAGTGGACCTTTATATCCGTATATAAAATGTTATCTATAAGAACTCGTCTGAATTGTTGAGTTTGTTCCTTGGATAAGGAGTTCAAGAAATTGAGTGAAGGATCCTTTAACATAAAAATAGTAGTAGCAGCATGATGCTATTCTAGAGGCTTGAATTATAAAATGTTTAAATTACACTAGAATCATGATAGCGAGTAGCCAACTTGGATTGACTATTAATCATAAAGATGTTGGTTCTGCCAGTGTGTGATACATCATGACACAAACCTGAGATTATGGTGGACATTCTCCTGAAATCATCAATGAATTGTTTTGCCTTTCCACATTACAACATGAAATGAGAACTTTGCATCACAGCAATTCCATGATCGTAATTGTGAAATGAATTATTTCGTTTGTTGTACTTCTTCTACAAAACACTCAAGAATTGAGCTAAACATTGTTTGTTTAAATTGTATTAGGAGATGAAACCATTCTTCTCTAAGATGCTATACACTATTCTATGCTTCTCCTATGATGAGTCTAAAACTAAGATATTAAATTCAAATAGATCCAATTAAGAATCATTTTCATTCACTTTGAATTGATTAGCATCCACTGTTTCCAATTATTGCTAACACTTAACATAAACACTAGATCCTATTTTCTTGCTCTTTTGAGGAGGTATGATCCATTAGTCATTTTACAAATCTTTGTTTTGTTACTCTGGACTTCTACCATCAGTCTTACGATGTCTAATCTATGATAATTCATTTTCTGGGATGAATAGTGCAATCATAGAATTGGCAACATCTTGAGTTTCATCCAATTAATTTAAAAATTTAAATGTCTAATGTTTGTTGTATTAAATTAATATTTGTTTTTATATGTCCTCCTCTAAAGATTTATTAGCCTCTGCCTCCTTTTAGACATCATTTGTCATATTGTCAATTTTTAATGCCATGAAATATTGTTTCAACCTTCTGGCTTCATTCTCATGGAAAATCACAGTAAACCCTTTAAAATCATTATCAACAACTTTAAGGAAGATTTCAAACTAAGGATTCTCCAAATTACTCAAATATTGATTTCTTCTATTTTCGTGTATGTTCTAAATATTAACCTCAATGTTCGATATGATACTATTCTAAGCAAAGATATCCTAGTAGGAAATCTTGTTATACAAAATGGCTTTGGGATCAAAGTTGATATTATATCTTTCTCTATAAATATTCAAAGAACTTAATACTTTAAGGATTTAGAGATTGGTCTACTCAAGAAAATCAATTCTCCTTGTTTATTAAAATCAAATAATAAAGAATCTGTTGTTCTCAAGAAATACTTATAAAATGCTGACTTTTCATAACACAACTTCACATAACCATCATATTTTTCTTGGGTTTGAATGATCTATCATGTAAGCGCATAATGATTACCACTTAATATAAGTGTTGATCCTAGTCATTTTTCAAGTCCATGTCCTTTATTCTTAAAGTGACTGGGTTTGAATCCTTTAATTCTATTTTGACACACGAAGTCTCTTTCAACCTTTTGATATTCTCATCTGTTGAAAAAGTTTGTTCCTTATCCACCTCAAATTTTATGCTAAGGACTTTTTCGATTCCCTCGACCAACAAAAATCTAGATATACGCATGAAACTAATTCCGATATCTTGAACTTAGTCAGCAAATCTAAGTGGATTGAAGAACTGGACTTTGGCTGTTATGATGGTTTCCACCAAAAATTATGCCAAATGAGTCACATCCTTGTTGAATCCATACATATTGGCATAACTTATATAGTGAATCTACAAAGTACTTTATGAATTTCCTTTTAATATTCTTCTTGTCTTTGTCAGTCCAATGAAGACAAAATAACACTTCGTAATTCTTTAATTGCAATTAAAACTTCACAATTGATGTTTGGGCATAACCAATCGTCTTGCAGGTATCTTCAATTTAAGGATACTGTCTTTGCTTTGGATCTATTCTGTAAATACAGAATGGACGAATGTATGCCAATTCATCAGTTACCCTCTGAGCTTCTTCAGGTGTTACGTCTTTGATGGAATCATTGGAGGATTAATACACTTCCCATTCTTTATCCCGGTGAATGAAGAAGGTGAATTCATCTGCATCCACGAGGATTTTAAGTAAGAATTTAAGGACTTGATATAAATTTTCATAGGAAATGTCCTCTTGCATGAGCAGTAAATGAGTATGCAAATTTCCAGTGAAAATACTCTTTAATTCCTTATAGATCTCATCTATTCCCTTTGCCATTTTCTCGTAGACGTCCTCGTCACTAGAATCCAAATCCTTCTCACTTATCTCAGCCAACTTGCTATTTTCCGAGGAATATCTAGCCCTAAATGGACTCACTCCATCTAAATCAACCTACTCGGTTGTTAGCTTGGAAATTAAGCCGCACAGTTATATCAGCTTCTCTTTATCCTCTGGTACAAGCAAACTATGCTTATCAATATGTTTATGTAAGACCCCAGTCAGTTGCTCAATCATGACAGCTGCTGCACTTGCCAAGGGCTGGGCTGACGATTCCTGAGCAGGGACAACTTCTGGTTGTTTTTCCTGCTCTGCTACGTCTTTCATGAAATGAACTGTCTTTGATTTATGCGATCTCCTTCTCTGTATTTGTTTGTTTTACGCAGCCAGGTAATCAAGCAGAGCTTCTCGCAATTACATTTCTCTAAAAAGTTCATATTCAACTCATACTTGCCAGGACCACTATTTTATATCAGCATACGACAGATTTTCTCCTCTTTTCGAGTTAGATTACTTTTCAGTAAGGACTTCTGTTCTGGAGTGATTTGATTCGTCTTGCAAAGATTAGTAACTACAATGAAGAATTAAGTGTAGTGACTTAATTATGGATCCATTTTTTATATTTTATACAATCGTTTCAAAGTAATTTGCACTTGTGAATAAACAATGAAATTGAGAATACTCAAATGCCTAGAGTATAGTTCATTTAATAAAATATCATCAAATTTCCATCTTCTATTGAAATAGTTTCTCAAACACTGCTCCTGCGCCTGAAGGATCTTGGAAGTATTGCAATCTTAAATGTTTTCTACAATATTAATTGATTTCTTACTTATTGTATTCCCTGACATCTTTACATCCTTACATCCCTTTTAAGTATTTTAACAATGATTCCAATTCCCTATCCTCCTTGTTATCGTAAAATGGAACTATAGGTATCCCATTGTCTATTTGCCAAGCATAGGAGTAAGATGCATTGTCTACTAGGACAAGTTGACTTAATGGCCTATCAAAAATTCTGAGATCCTTTGTATACATGCCTCCTGTGGTCATGATGCAGTTTTCTCTATAAAGACTATGAGAAAAGAGAGTCTTCTAAGGATCTAGATGCTCGATAACTTTTTAGGCATAACAAGGATGTGAAGCCGTGAAGAGTATCAATTCGAAGTCATTCACAAGTAATTCTAGGAGCTTTACTGCTCCAGGTCTAATGTTTATGCCCGCCTTAATTGTTTCTTGGGGAGACACCTGAATGGATAGTATTAAATCGCTTGGGATTGCTAAACTTTCATTGCAATGAACTAAAGTCTCATCCAGATCAAAGACAATTGTAATTTTATCTAGTAATATACTAATGTTTAAGATTACTTTTGTAGCATTCCTTCTATTTTAACTTAACTTGCTTGTTTTACAGATCGTTCGGATCAACTGGTTGTAAGTAGGTAGCAACATATATTCCTTGATAAGTTTGAAAAAAGTGTTCCCTGTACATTCGAGTGAAGTAATCATCCTTAGAAGGCTTAGAAAATGCATTCTTCACTCTTGATAGGTAGTATTCCTGAGATTCCTCTTATTATTTTTTTGTACTCTCAAAATATTTGTTCACACTCACACTTCCCTACCCATTACTTTTGGGGGTCACTTGTTGAGATTGAGTCTTTGGCTTCTAAAATAATGCAGTTTGGAGCTTTTGTAAAATCAAATCCTTGCTTTGTCCCACAGATTACTGAGGACGATGATGAGGTTTCTTCTCAGATGAGGGCCTATAAGATTGGGTTCCTGAAGGCGTGGGAGGCTTAGTCGGAACATTGATGTCCAAAGAAGGTGTGACCTTAGTCACCAGTTGACTGAGAATCTTGGAGGATTGAGTCGGAGAAATTATTGGACTCGGACTCTTTCCTTCCTTCTTCTTGAGCATCTAGAAGTATTTCTGAACTGCTGCATTCACTTCTATGTTGCTCAGTTTCTTGGCCGACTGTTCTCGATTCGGCTGTAATTTTTATAGCAAATAACTTTTCGAGAGATTGAAATCCATTTAATATCGTTGTTGTTTCATATATTTTAAATTTAAGGTAACCTTATTGAAAGGTTAACCTATGATTTATGAATAATATTGCTCAACTTCTAGACATTATGATCCTGTTGCACATCCTCCATTTGCTACATCATGCGATAATGCAGTTATCTTATACGACTTGTTGGAGCATGAAAAAATGTATTAGGGAGTTTGGTAAACTTTGGCGGATTCTATGGATCTTACATGCTTTCAGCCTTCCTCTTGCTTTTCTTCTGCTCCTTAATGAAATTATAATCATCATCGATAACTTTACGCACACTCCTTGTCTTCTCCATTGTAATTGAACATTCCTTGTCTTTCCGTGGAGAACCCACTTACAACAACTACAACATGAAATTGAATTTCTCTTTATTTGAAATGCCTTCCCGTTTCAGTTTTTCATGAAGTCTCTTCCGTTCAATTTGCTCACCCATGCGTTTAAATAACCCTTCAATTGTTGGAGGAGTAAAATAGATTTCATCCTTCTTAGGCTTGAACAACTTTTGTATGTCAGGATTATGCAAAAGCTAATGAAAGGCAACTTCATTCAGATAGTTCTTTGCATTCTAATGACATGCTTAATTGGCTTTTCGAAGAAGCAAACATAAATTCGAGAAGGGTACTTCGTATTACCAAGTCTTTTTTATATTATGTAAATTGTCATACTCGAAGCATTTTGAAAATACGTTCAAGAGTAATCGAGTCTTCATCATCTCGTATGAGATTATAGAGATCCTGCAATTAGTATTGACAATCAGGAGGATATCCATGTAAGTAACACTGTGATTTCATTTAGTTATATAATTTATGATCCATTTGAGTATGATAGATGCATTTTTAGATAATATATCATTGTTATGATTATGATATAAATATTAATAAATATCAAGTTATGCGTCGTTTACTAGATGTTAGATCAGAGCTTTCCGTTTTCAATCCCCCTGTTTGCATGAAATTGTTACTCATCAATGCGGACCCTTTCTGGGGACTTGTTCTAAGAGAGGTCTGTTGCTCTAATCGTTTTTACAATTTCGACTGTCTACTGTCCTCAGATATGATCTTATCTAATGAACGAGGTTTCTACTGTTGAATAGAATCTACATTCTTTATGTGTTCTTTCAATAATCTTTGTTAATCTGCTATTCGTACATTTTCTCTATAATCAAAGTAAAATTCATCAAATATTTTAAAATCCTTTTTGAAGCCTGCTTTTCCAATCAGCTTCTCTCTCACTTCCAAGTCTCCCTATTGCAAATTCTTAGTCTCAAAATTCAATTTCTGAATATCAGGTCGGATGGGTGGAGTCACTCTTTTCATGAGGATATCCGTGAGATTAACCTTCTTGAACCATTTGTGTTGCAGAATTTCTCTGACTCCTCCTCGAACTCCCAATCTCTTATGAGGATCTTTGGCCAATAAGCCAGACATGAGATCTTTGATTTCTTGAGTTAGGAATTGTGGAAAAGTGACTTATTCATTAAGTATGGAATCATAGATTTTTTGAGTGTTTTTGCTGTAGAAGGGAGGCAAACCTGTAACTAGTTCATAAAGGAGAGCCCCCAGACAATAATGATCTACTTATATGGTGTGTCCCCGTTTGAGGAGCATTTCCGGAGCCATGTATTCTGGAGATCCACAAAAACTGTACGCAAATTCATCTGGAGTGGTGAGTTTAGAGAGTCCGAAATCAGAGATACGGATATGTCCATCCAAATCGAGAAGTATGTTTTCAGGTTTGATGTCACGGTACATGATTCCCATTTAGTGCAAGTACAACATGCTGATGCAGATTTCCACAAAGTAGAATTGAGCCTACTCTTCAGACATTCTCTTGAGGGTTTTGAGTTGATAGAAGAGTTCTCCTCCACTACAGAACTCGAGTATAAACACAACAAAGTTTCGACTCTCAAAGGAGAAGAGCATTTGGATTGTAAACGGATGGTGGATGAATGCCATGATATCTCTTTCATTTTGGAGCAATTCTTCGATTTATATATATATAACATAAAATACCTGCTTTCTTGTACTTGATGATGAACTCTTTGTCTACTAGTTTCATGGCATAGAAGTGACCGTTCATTTTTGATCTCACCAAGTAGACTTTTGAAAATCCACCCGCTCCTATGCATTTCAAAATTTGAAAGTCCTTAAGCGAGACATGTTGAGCAGTGAGTACTGGTTCTTGACATTCCAATTGCAATTCAGGCCAAATGATTGGTCGTTCTTCAAGAGTCAGATAATAATCTATGAGAATGTTGTGATCAACAGTGGTAAATGCCACAATCTTCAGTTTTAGCTTTTACAGCAAGGCTGCCCGCATTTAGGTTGTAGTGATGTTGCGAGTGAAAGTGAATCGCAATTACTACTGCCCGACATGGACGATCACCAATACAACATCCATTATCTGTGAGTTCTGGAGAGTAGTTTCTCTCTTTACAAATGATCCCTCTTGAGTAGTTTAATTGGTAATCAGCTTCGGAGAGACCATTAACTTCAGTAATTCGCTATTCTTTCGAGTTTTGAGGGAGAGTTTCGACTTCTCTGGAGACAATTTATGGGCAGGACTTAGTGAAGATTTCTAGAGTATCCTAAACCCCTTCTGAGAATTGGACTTGGTGAGATTCATTATTATATTATTGATTTATAACTATTCCAGAACATATATTGTATTTATTATATTGATTAACTCGCACTCCCCCTGGAGATGTGCCTCTCTGGTAAATATGGTCGAATTATTATACTAAACATTTACATATATAATTATTCATTAATTATGATTCCTACTCTGCAACCGTCGCAGCAGCTTTAACCAAAATACATCTTCGGATTGAACAGCAATCTGCGTAACAACCTCTACTTCATGGATGATACTCGAATCATCTACCCAGCAGGCTTTCATATAGTGTGTTACTCATTGCAGGATAAGAGTCAAAGTTACTTCTAAGGATTCGAACATTACAGAGGGTTCTCCTGTATGACTCTCTCCCCAATGAAGAGATTTCTGGCTGCAGGCGTCAAAGGAGAAAAACCTGCAATTCAAATTTACGACACAATGTCCTAAAAGAAAAAAAGAACGCTAATCTATCATGATGCCCCTGTCAAGGAATGGGTATCTGTTGCATTTGGACCTAATGCAGAAGCAAAAACTTTGGTTGGATTGAGTGGAGGAGTCTCTGTCAATGGCAGTCCTGTTGATTCATATTTATGTTACTTTCAAACTGATACAATGAAATGTTTAGCTTCTGTTAAAGTGGCTTCTGGAAATAATGAATGTCTAGAAGTAGCCTTTTAACCTAATGATGCCACTTTCATCACTGTGATCGGAAAAGGAATTTTCAAATCGTTTAAGATGATTCAAAATGAGGGCGAAACTAAGAGCTACACTCTCAAATAAGTGGCAGCCTCATTATAAAAAGCACCTGCCGATTTATCAAATAATTACTGTTGTCATGCCTGGATGATCTAACATCCAGATCATCTGATTGTATGTACCTAATTGGGAGAGGTATTCCTCTGTGATGAAAATGCTGAATATGTTCGGTACTTGAAGAATCCTTACCACCAAAACAAACAACCCTTTTTGATTGAAGTGATATAAGCCATGCAATAAGGATTTGCCATCGGAGGAGACAATTCAACTATTTACATTTACAGCAAAGAATATGAAAATGTCTAAATGCTACATGTGAAGTCAATCTCTGACATCAAGTGCTAAATCAAAGGCATCAGCTTCACGCCAATCAGCGAAGATACCATAATTGTGACTCTGTCTAGCAATTTAATTTATAGTCTGAAATTAAAGACTGAATAGTTTTTGGAAGAACAACAACAATTTGAATTAGTTTCCTTGCCATTTCACTCATGTCCTCCTGTAAATGCTGGAATTCCAATCAACGGCATGGATGTTTGTGTTCGAAAACCACTTATAGTCACTTGTGGAGCTGACAAATACATCCGCATATGGAATTATGAAGAGAAAAGCATGGAAGCCTACAGATTCTTTAATGAAGAAGCCTATTGTGTAAGTATTCATCCTTCAGGATTCCATATTGTCGTAGGATTGACTGATAGATTAAGATTGATGAATGTCTGTGTTCATAACAATCAAATAAAACACTATAGAGAAATCGGGTAATTCAAATAATGCAAAGAAATCAAATTCTCAAATGGAGGACAATACTTTGCTGCCGTTAATGCAGCTAACACTACCTAACATATAATCCACATTTATAGATTCTATGTTGGAGATAACCCTGCCAATCTATAATTTAAGGGTCACAGTGGTAGAATTAGATGCATAACTTGGAGTAGAGACGATACAATTTTAGCCACCTGTGGTTAAGATGGTTTGATATCCTTATGGAAAGTGGGTGCAGACACAACAGGACAAAGAATGCTTGATATACATGCTAAGGCTAATGGTAAGAATATCCCTTAGTCGAGTGTTGCATTGACATTTGATACTAAAATAGTGTATGTGGTGGGAGAGGATCGTCATCTTAGAGAATTTAATTGCTAGGAACCAACGGAAAATAAAAGAAATGTAGAGGCTACCTTATCTTAAATTTGTTTCTCAAGCAGTAACAAAATATTATTTGCTGGTGTGTGTGATGAGAATAGATACTCGGGAGCTGTAAGATGTTATAAGTATCCCTTTGTTGGTCCATCTGCTGGAACCAATGTTGAGTATCAAGCTCATGATGAACGAGGTATAGAAAAAATGAAGATCACTGCTGATGATTAATATCTTATTACTGCTGGTAGGGATGGAGCCATCATAGTATTCGAAATTAAGGATAAAGATGCAAGAGGGTAAAAAAACAAAGAAGGATATTAATAAAGATATGCAGATGATATTATTGTTACTAAAGAAGATAAGGCTGATCTCAAAACCACCAGGGATAATCTCAAAACTTAGTTGCAGGATATCACTGCTCCTTAAAATGCAATCAATATTTCATCTAAGGAGGACCAAATCAAACAATTAACAGATAAAGAATCCACACTGAAATAACAATACAAAGTAGCCTATGACACGTTGGTAGAAAAGAAGAGAGAAACAGAGAAACATATTCAAGAAACCAGAAAATAAATAATGGAAGAATTTGAAGCTGAAATACAGGAATTAGAATAAAATCAATAAAGTAAAGTCAACAAGGAAGCAGAAAAGTATGAGAAAACCAAAAATGAGAAAGAAATTCATCAAACTAAATATGAAAAGGAAATTGGAAAATTATAAAGAGAACATACTGACGAACTCAAAAAGTTAGAGAAAGATTACGATGCTCGTTTACTTGAAGAAAGATAATAGAGAGAAAGGATGGAAAAGGAATACAATAAGGAGAAAGAAAAGTACAGGGAAACAATTGAATAGATAAGAAAAGAGACTATAGGTGAAATTGAAGCACTTGAAGAATAAAATCAATAATAGATTCTTTAAAAAACAGATTAGGGACTTAAGGCTAAAAGCGAAGTTAGCATGACAAAGAAGAAGATTTAATCGTTATTGCAAGAGGAGGAAAAACAAAATGAAAATCTTAAAGATTATAATGAATAAAAGAAATAATTGGATGATCAGAATCATCAACTCAAAATAGCTATTGAAGAATAACTCAAATAAATATAGGATAAGGATAAAACAATAGGAGAGAAGGAAAGGAAGATTTATGAATTAAAGAAGAGATCATAAGAATTAGAAAAGTTTAAATTTGTTCTAGATCATAAAATTAAGGAACTCAAAAGAGACACTGGACCTAGAGATGAAGAAATTAACAGAATGAAGGAAAAAACTAATATGATGGATTAGAAATTAAAAAATTTTGCTTATTTGAATAATAATCTTGGAAATGTGGTTGACGCTCTTGATTAAGAATTAAAAATAATGAAAACCAATATCAAAAAGTAAAGATAATTAATTTCATTCCAAAATGTGAGGATTAAGAAATTTAAAGATTCTGTCTATTAAGCTGTCTAGTTCATTCAAAATTAGGATGAATTAACCAAAAAAGCACAAGAAATCTTTAAAGAATTCCATAAAGACGATGTAAAACCATAATAAGTTAATGCTGACATTTTAGCAGAATATAAAAGTTAAAAGCAATACTTAGAGAAATCTGTTGAAGGATTGAAAGCCAATCTTCAAGCAGATGAAGAAATACATAAAGCTGAAAATATTAGAATCATGAGAGGCAATGTTAAATTGATTATTGAAATCAACAATCTAAGAAAAAAGATGAAGTAAATAAAATCAACACATAATAATTAAGAATAGAAAGGTGACAAAAAGATGTCTCAAACAGGTACTTTATAATGATATATTATTTAGCTAATTCTGAGACTTAGAAGGCTAAACAAAGAGCTATTCAAGAAAAGTAACTGATTATTGAATAATAGGAATTGGCAAAAAATTCTTTGCTCAGTTAAATTTAAGAATTGGAAGCAGAGCTTTCAGTTATGGGAGAATGATAGATTTTATATTAATTATATTTTTAATTAAATAAATTCCCTTATATTTTTAAAGGTATCTTTATCCTATTTTATGAATTATCATCGAAATACTAAATCATTTAAAATCTTGCAATTAGATGTCACTATAAATTGGAATGTTTACTATAGTATAGAATAAGATATATGCGTTCTTTGTTTAAACATTTTTTATTTTCTAAACGTTGGAATCATCAAATTCATACCATTCATCCTGTTTTTTTATATACGCAGTGTAATGTGCTAAAGTAAAGATCATTTATTACTAATATCCCTTCCTTTTTTACTGTTTATGACAGCATAAAGGTCATATAGTACAGTTTCTTTTTCCTACAGACAATCTTTTATATCTAAGGAATTTAACGGAAAATCAATATATCTTTCAAATTAAAACCCATTACTTTTGTATTTTTGCAAATTTATAATCAACATTATTGGGGGTTTGCTTAGATAAGAATTGGTTCTAAAAGGAGTTTGTTAACTGCATTTTTTGCATTCTTTTGTCAGAATAGTATCCTCTGCTGATTTTTCAAGACATTACTAAAGTTTAAGCTATTTAAGTAATCTCTCATCATATTCATCAATTTTTTTCTCTAATATTTTGGCATATTTTATATCCTACCACTCTAAAATTATACTAGGCTTTGTAAATTGGTCGAAATTCAATAATATCGGATCCTCTTCACATCCCTTACAATGATAGTTTGTAATATTATTGGGTGGCCATATTTTTTCACAAAATAAGCATTTTTTATTCTAATCTAAAACTCGAATTTTATATGGGAACGATGGATTTGCAAAGAAATTACAAATTTCCTATTAGGATACATTCGAATATTGGAAAGGAGATTAAACACTGAAGTTTTTCTAAAATTAATCAAATGATTACAATATTAATGAATCTTTAAACTTATTTGTAAATGTAGACCTTGAGTTCTAAAAGAGACAGTGATTAAATCGGTAACAAAAGGATAATTGGTTTTAATGTTAAATTAAATTGCTTCTTAAATGTATTGAAATAATAATGTATAAGTGGAACCTTCTCAAATGTGTGATTTTTAATTTTCTCTCTAAATTTTACAATTTTTTGTTTGTCCATAATAAATTCAAATTGTTTTTCGTTGTTATTATGTTATTATGAACGATAAAGAATTTTATACTTAGTAGGATTCTATTGGATTACTTACACAATTTTACCTTGTTTCCATTAATTATGAGGATCCAAAAAATTTATAGGATCATTTAACTTGAAATCTTGAGATGAATAATTAAACATTTTGGATATTTTTTCAAATTCTCTTTATGCTTAATACGCACTTCCCAATTAGTATAAATTTAGAGTCTGGTTTTGAATAATACCCAAATTGGTTAATTCTTGATTTTCATCAATATTGATAAAAGTTTTTATTATTTCCTTCTTATAACAAATAGCGAATTCATATTCATTTTAAGAAAGATTTAAAAAAGAATTTATCTTTTAATATAGATCTCTCATTTTAATAGTGTCAGCATTATTCTGTAGAATAATTGTTTTCTTCAGTAAGTCCATTTCGTCTAAGGTAAATTATTCATGATCATCATTTTAAAATTCTAATTTCATAAAAATTAATATTCTTAGCTTGAAAACACCAACTTCTTCTTAAATTTTTAAACGAAATATTTTATTTTATTCTGATTCGTCCGTCACTAATTGACAATTTTAACATCGTGTTAAAGTTAAATAGTCTCCTTGAAACAGGGTCTCAATGATTCCATCTAAATTTGTGTCAAACCCTTTTAATTCCTTTGAAATCTGATTTAATAAATCATCTAAGAATTCATCTGCATCTTGAGCTTCGTACATCTTATATTTGGGGAAAATCTTGACTAAAGTATTTTAAAAAGCTGTAGGTGATATAGATGGTTCAGGTGTGTTTTTTAATTCCTTTGTTAGAGAACTTAGTTGTTACACTATAGAATTGCTAACTTATACTTTATTCTTGTAACGTTCATTATAAAGAAAATTAAAGAAAAATCTAGTGTTTATTAAACATTGTAAGGCAGAATTCATGTAACAAGTATTGCCAAGATTTTATAAGCCAGGATATTTAATTTTAGAGGATCTTCCTTATATTTAAGAACTAAATTAGGCCCCAAGATTTTATTTTATTTCTATTTAAAAATCATCAAAAAAACTCTATCCTTCAATATGCAAAATAACATATTTAAGATCTTCAGAAAATCGTTATACTAAACAATTTTTTTCAACTTTTTGAGAAGGATCTTCAATTAGACTTTTTTATCCTAATTACCAATTACCAACTTTCGATTTGGGTTTCTGTTAAAGTTTAGTTAATGTGAAGAATGTTCCAGATGTAATATTGAGATTAGTAATATTATCATCTAAATCTTAAATCAACTCCCAATCTTCATTAATTTTCATCTTATATAACAGATATTCAGAGCCATTTGTGCTATTTTTAATTTCAAATTTCTTAAATAGTTTAATTCTGACATCGTGCATTGTAGAATCTTCAGACGTTTTAAGTTTAAACCATTTTTTATATTCTACATTTCCATTCTTATCTGTTTAAAATGCTTATATAATTGTTGGGTATCCTTCCACCCTCTTTTTATCTTTGTCATACTTTCTCTTGAATTCAAGTCTTTTATCTGTGATTCCATACCAGCTCACTAAATTCTTCCAAGCTTCCTTTCCTACAAATTCAAAATCATATCCTAGTTTTAATTGAACTTTCAATTCTTCTTCATATTCCCCTGCTATGTCTCGATTATCGATTGGTCCTGGTCTAGCAAACCATTATTAAGAATTGATTTCTATAAATTCCTGTTACGGATTATGTATGCCAGCATCTACTTATTATTCAGGAGAAGCATTTCCCATATTTACATATTACGTCCAATTGTTCCACCATTTAGAACTTATTATATAAACTTAATCATTTTCTATTTTTTCTTTTTGCTCTTCGATTGTTTTTTTTTCCTAATCTGGCCTTAAAAATATTTAAAATGACATTGTCTAATCTGGTTTGAGATTATCTACTGCCCAAGCCATAAATTTGGCTCTTGTAAAAGATTAATCTCTTATGTTACCTTCATTGAATAAATTTTTATTCTCTTTAATCAGTAAGCCGAATTCACTTGAATTCAGCATTTAATCATTATCTAAATCATATAATTGAAAAATTAAATCCATTTTTCCATTTTTTCCTGCATTTAAGAATTTACTAATAATTAAGCAAATTCCATTAAAATCAATCTGATCCTCCAAATTCGTATTAAAATATCGTAACAGTCTAGATAAAAGCACTTTATATTGTTGAGTTTTTACTTGAACCAACATTTGGTATCAACAATTGTAACTTTTCCAAATTTAGACCATCTTCAGGCTACAATGCATAATATCTTTATTCAAGCACTTTGAGATATTGGTCGGGAAAAATTGCTTTTGATTTCCAAAAATCCTCTTCCATAGGTTTAAATTTAGCGAATAGTCTTTTATTTTTTGAATCTTTGGTTTTAGAAAAGCAAAATCCCATGATTTGTAAAAATACTTAATTGGAAATATTTTAATTAAGCTTAAAATGTAGATGTTCAGAAAATTATTTTGTGGGTTCTGTAATTAAACCAAATCGATAAGCACTTTTCATGAATTGTAGCATATCATGAACCCCCCTACTCCTGAAAATTATCAAAAATTGTTACTCACTGTTTAATAGTTGATTAAATCTAACCCTATCAATTGGAAATTTGCGCATCGCCTTTTATCATTGCAAGAATAATTTAATTTAGAATTAGATATGCCCTACCTCCTGTCTCAGCTTAAAGATCAACCTATTGACCTTTAAAAACAATAATTTGTGATTGATATCATGTATTAATACTTTAGGAAAGATGAAGAATTATTTAAGGATTTGTTTAACCAATTATTAAGAATGGACTAGTTACTCTTCACGACTGAGTTAAAAATGTTATAAACATACTTTTAATACCCACAATTCTTCGATCAAGATAAAGTATTGCCAAAAATAATTCAGAATATGATTGCTAAAGATGATTTGGAGATCTATGATTTAGTAAGTGCATTCAATGTATTCTCATATAGTCCTTCCTAATTAAATGAAAAAAATAGATAATCGCTTAAAGATCTCAAGGATAAATTGAATCAATAAATAATCAAAATAATTCCAGCTCTAGGATAAAAATAGTTTAGATAATTTGTGGTTACCTTAAGATCTAAAGAGTACTACAATGAGGAATTAAAGTAAGCTGTTTTCTAATATTTCTATGACAACAAAGATTTTCTTGGATAATCTTCTTTGGTTGAATTGCTAAATCTGTGCAATCTGAAACTCTATATTAATGAAGATCTCAAGTATTAAATCTTAGTTTAGATGAATTTCCTGAAAGTAAAAGGAATAAATGAGTCAAAATTAATCAACAAATTTGTGCTGCCTTCAGTATTACTTTATAATTGACTATTAGATATCATTGGCTGAACAAGAGTTGATGGCAAACCTTATCACTTTGTCAGGTATACAGTTAGATAAGGAGTATATAAACACACATTTTACAGGTAGTAATTCTAAGAAAAGAGAAAAGCTAGAAAAGCTTGAACTTAAGGATGAGCAGATTTTACAGATAGTTAAATAAATATCGAAGTATATAGATGGCTAATTTAATTAATACTTAAGGTAATATTATGATTTATAATTAAAGTGTCATACGAACAATTTAAACTTTTGGTTTATACCTTCCAGAATTACTTTAACCTATGATGGAGGAATTGAAGAGTATATTGAATAAATAAGCTGTTGGTCCAAATGATCTGCTATCATTATTGAATTATTTTGATAGCTGCAACATACTATTTGATTAGCAGGACTCTAAAGGAATGGAGTATTTACAAAATTATTTGAATCAGGATTACTTTTCTATTTAGAAAATTGATTATTTGTAGAGATAATTCGCATACAAAAGGAATTAAAATAAAATGCGTGAATTACTAGATTAGAGTTATACAAGTAGTTGGACATTAGAATTGTGTTCGAGATAGGTATTGCTCTATGAACATTTTAACATACCTTTATCAAATGCTTTTAAAGATAAATTTTAATAAGTTATTGAAGATTATGTTTTATAAAAAAGATCTCCCTTTGATTAAATAGTATTTTATAAGTAAATTGTTTTAGCCAGTTGGGAAAAACACCTTAAATAGGAATACATGAATTATTATAATGAAGGTAAAATGTAATCTCAAAGAATGAGAAGAGAATAAACAAAGAATTTAGATCAATCCTCATTTCTAGAGTAGGAAATCAAGAATGATATTTTAATGTACATGCCAAATACATTTAAATTGCAATCCAATCAATATGTAAATGCCACAGAAATTGATTTCATCATAACCAATGAAAAAGGAGAAAAATTATACGTCTAAATTCATGGTCAGACTCACTTTTATCATGCCTCGACTATTTACAATTACCAAACTCTATTGGAGACATTCTATTTAGAAAAACTAGGGAAGCACAGGGCCATCCATTATTATCAAACAGAAACATAGTGGAAACATCAAAAATAATAAGCAGTGGAAAAATTATTAAGCTGTTTAATGTGAATATTATAGGCGAGAATATATAATTACTGTTATTATCTCATCTAATTGGGAATACTGTTGTTGCCTTCTTTTTTAGAAAGTGTCTTACACTATGTCTAACCTATTCCAAATAGGATTTGTTTTGTTTGACATCTTCTTCTTCAATTAAGGAATTTTTAAATAGCCGTATATACTCAAATGGAAATAATAGATATCTTGAATATTTTTTTATTAACTAATTTAAAATTTCTACGTTATTCTTTCTTATAGGCCTCATCAATTTAGTGATGACTCTATCAATATTCCATTCCCTATCAAATTTATCAAATTCTTTAAGCTATTCAAATCCTGATATTTCTGTTTAGCCCAACTCTCCTTCAAGCTTCTTAATCAGAAAGAAACACTTCTCATATTCCCTAAGTGACAATTTAGGAAGGATAGATTATAATTTATTTAAGGCTTCTTAGCAATCTCCTGGTTTGTCAGAAAGAACTGTTTGATCACTTTACTTATTGGATGCCCCTGATAATAATAACTTTTTTTCCCTTTTATTCTTAAAGCTATCTAAAATCTAAGTTTGCTATAATAGGCCTGTTCGTTGCATGAATTTAGCAGGATGAAATGAGGTCTCAACTAGCCATTCTGGAGGATTTAATTAAGCATGCTAATCTTCAAAAGTAACAACGTTAACTTTAGGAGGTCCGTTTTAATGGATACTTAACCCTTAACTTTGATGTTCTTGAATATCATTTTCAGGAACTATATCATTTTCTAATTAATATATTTTAGCACTATCTGATATCAAAATTTATTCATTTAATGCAGAAAATCGAGCTTTACTTTTTTTTGTTTATTTCAATTTTCTTCTTTCCTGAATATTGTGAAAGTTATGTCTCATTATGACTTTCTCCATATCAGGTATATAATGAACAACATTGCATTGATTAGTATAATGTCTTTTATCGTGGCAAATGTAACAAAACTTTTCTGGTATGATTTGTAATTGGAATTTGTTTGTCACTTTTAGAACTTCAGAACGAGGTATCATTAATAGACTAGAGAAATCAGCAGATTTGTAGTTTATGTTGTCACTTGCCGTAAAGAGTTCTTGCAAACCAAAAAATTAATTCTCTTTTAGTGTGTCAATTACAATCTAAAATATTTATAATCAAACCTTATCTTGCATTACTTCAACCTTTCCATTTTCTATTATATAAATATATTCCTATGCATTAATGTGAACTCCAGGCTGAAAGACATTAAACTCTGTACTTTAGAGCAAACATTCTAATGCAGGCTTAGGAAATTGAGAAAAATATGGGCATTTAATAATTAAAGATGAAGCTGATTCCAACTTTAATTTCTACTGTAGATTCTCAGGCAATAATGTTATAAGTCTTATTTGTTCATTTTTTTTTTGGATAATTTCTTAATTCCAATAAAAATTGAAATATTCTCTTACCTTCATTGAAAGTTCTGTGCTTAATTTTTTACAGTGCAAATATTCATTAATGCAAGTCATCTTTTATCGAATCATTTCATTATTCTCTTTCATTTGAGTAAGTATCAGACCAATTGTGTTGACAGAATAAGAATATTGCAAAGTCGATAAGAACATGTAACAAATACAAAACATCTTCTCCAATGAATCTAATTATATTTATAATATACTTGTAGGCGTGATATCTCCATACCCTACAGTAAACATGGTTACACTCATAAAATAGAAAGACTCAAGAAATTGAACTTACCAACTTTCATTCCTTACCTCCATCATCCAATTTATTTAACCTTGACTATCGTAATATTATCCTAATTTTAACCTATGAAATCATTTATATAGTTTATACCATAAACAACCGCAGAAATGCTATATTAATAACACTGTGGCTATCAATTTAAATAGATCTATTACAGAACTGACCATTTTAGTAGGTTTTAAATTATACTGAATAATATCCACCAATTTCATTATGTTTCTCAATTAATAATAAAACAACATAAAAAACCATGTGCTTAATTAATAATCTAGAGATACTAGTATTCCAAATAAAATACTCCCTAGTTCTATTGCCAAACCAAAATTGAGCTGCTTTTTAAATAATTGATACCGATTCTTAACCGGTAATCCTTTATGAAAATAAATAGTAAAGTTTCTTATCACCAAGTCGAATGCAAGAAATACACAACTAATTCTAAAATAATTAGCGTGATCGTTCTACAAAAATGGAAATGATATAATGATGGGTGACCAGATTATCAAATAAATACGTATCAGACAAAGCAAAAAGTCCCATATTAATTTCATAATATTATTTGGTTCTATTAATGGAATATAATTATATAATTGAGAAAAACATCCAGACAATTTATTTACTACACCATTTTTCCACGTTCTTATTTTAATTCTTATCTATAAATCTATTGTATTGATATTTTATTGTAGAAAATTACCACTTATCTTTCCTTTCTATTACATGTATGAACTTGCTTAATCGTTTAAAATTTCATGTTATTTTTGAGAAAATTTACAATCTGGCCTTATAAAGCTAATCATTTTATTCGCAAACTTTAATGAATGGCAATTAGTAATCAATTTAGCAAATGGCGATTTCTTTTTAATCAGTACAGCTTAGTTTTCTCTTTATTTATCAATTGATAATATTTCTTCAGATTCTGGTAAATCTGGTGGTTGTAATTATTCGAGTGGAATTGAATTGATTCTCATAGTTGTCCGACTAAATTTTTGAGGAGAGACTAACTGCTGAGTTGTTGAAATACCTGGGTTAGAAGTTTCTACCTTCATTGGACTCATTTCTGAAATTGAATTATTTAACCCCTTAGAGTTTATCTCCTATTCTGTGTAAGGTGATATCAATTTGCAATTGCTAATTGCTGTATACTACATTTTAATTAAATTATATGTCTGAAGATACTAGATAAAATCATTTACTTATTCTACANTGAATCTAATTATATTTATAATATACTTGTAGGCGTGATATCTCCATACCCTACAGTAAACATGGTTACACTCATAAAATAGAAAGACTCAAGAAATTGAACTTACCAACTTTCATTCCTTACCTCCATCATCCAATTTATTTAACCTTGACTATCGTAATATTATCCTAATTTTAACCTATGAAATCATTTATATAGTTTATACCATAAACAACCGCAGAAATGCTATATTAATAACACTGTGGCTATCAATTTAAATAGATCTATTACAGAACTGACCATTTTAGTAGGTTTTAAATTATACTGAATAATATCCACCAATTTCATTATGTTTCTCAATTAATAATAAAACAACATAAAAAACCATGTGCTTAATTAATAATCTAGAGATACTAGTATTCCAAATAAAATACTCCCTAGTTCTATTGCCAAACCAAAATTGAGCTGCTTTTTAAATAATTGATACCGATTCTTAACCGGTAATCCTTTATGAAAATAAATAGTAAAGTTTCTTATCACCAAGTCGAATGCAAGAAATACACAACTAATTCTAAAATAATTAGCGTGATCGTTCTACAAAAATGGAAATGATATAATGATGGGTGACCAGATTATCAAATAAATACGTATCAGACAAAGCAAAAAGTCCCATATTAATTTCATAATATTATTTGGTTCTATTAATGGAATATAATTATATAATTGAGAAAAACATCCAGACAATTTATTTACTACACCATTTTTCCACGTTCTTATTTTAATTCTTATCTATAAATCTATTGTATTGATATTTTATTGTAGAAAATTACCACTTATCTTTCCTTTCTATTACATGTATGAACTTGCTTAATCGTTTAAAATTTCATGTTATTTTTGAGAAAATTTACAATCTGGCCTTATAAAGCTAATCATTTTATTCGCAAACTTTAATGAATGGCAATTAGTAATCAATTTAGCAAATGGCGATTTCTTTTTAATCAGTACAGCTTAGTTTTCTCTTTATTTATCAATTGATAATATTTCTTCAGATTCTGGTAAATCTGGTGGTTGTAATTATTCGAGTGGAATTGAATTGATTCTCATAGTTGTCCGACTAAATTTTTGAGGAGAGACTAACTGCTGAGTTGTTGAAATACCTGGGTTAGAAGTTTCTACCTTCATTGGACTCATTTCTGAAATTGAATTATTTAACCCCTTAGAGTTTATCTCCTATTCTGTGTAAGGTGATATCAATTTGCAATTGCTAATTGCTGTATACTACATTTTAATTAAATTATATGTCTGAAGATACTAGATAAAATCATTTACTTATTCTACAGTTGCGCACATTAAAAAACTCAATCCAAAAAAAGATCAATTAATAAAGAAATCAATTATTTATGATACAATACACTATTTTACTTATTTATTATATCTTATAGAACCAACTTTGAAAAATGAGAGGTTTAATTTATAAATATTAATATATATATTATTTCTTCTACTTAATCAAATTTTTATGAATCATAATTTTAAATTTCTTAACCTTTGTGACTTGATTTTAAATTTCATAATCAAAAAATAATTATTAAAATATTAATGCAAAATCCATTAAAAAAAAGTCGAACATTTTTAAGAAGAAAAACAGATTTACTAAGGGATTATTTAACCGGGGGAACTGCCCTCTTACTATTTGGATTGTTCGTCTCATTTCAATATAAGAAAATCAATCCGCCTGATCCTGTAGATGAACCATAATGTATAAATTCAGAAATTATCAAGATAGTCAGGATTATAATATTCTAGATTTTGCACAAGATAAAATAAGAAAAATTACAAATATTAAATATAATTAAATTCAAGACTAAAAACAACAATTATCTGTTGAGAAAAAAAATGCATAATGAGATTATTTATTACAATAAAAATATTGTTTCATCTGTTAAAGTCTCTTTGCAATCTAATACAAAGCAATTTTGGGATCTATTTAAATACCATAGTTTCATTTGAGTTGAATAATATCCTATATGAGTGTTTGTATCATCTTCAACATTCTGAGCAGAAAATGGAAAACAATCAAAATCAAGAAAAATTGAATAAAAAAGCTTAACACAAAGTTAAATTTCAAGCATAATTTTTATTGATAATAAAAATAATGTCAACATCTTTGTAAAGTATGTTGTAGAGAAATCTATCTTAATAATAAAAAATTCTTTGATTAATTTATTCTTCAAAAAAATTTTAAAGTTATTTTATCATAAACCCAATTATTAAAGAATCCATCAGATTAGAAATGTTTCATTAGAATTGGTTAATAAAATTACTTAACAAATAATAAATATGAAATTTCTTAAATTTATGAAATGTATAATTTTCATTTAAAAACCTAAATTATAAAACCTATTTTCTTATTGAGATCTAATAATACCTTCTTTTAATTTCTTTTTCTCATTAAGATTAATTTTTGCGCAAGTACTATTGATAATCATATTTATTTTGTGAAAACTTGATGAAGTCTATTTTTTTTAATCTACTTTCTATGATCTCTTATTCTTAGATTTTTTAATTCTATTTCTCGATTGTATTTCATTTCTTTTTTCATAGAGAATTAACTATGAAATTATTTGTGATTTATTTATTTAATTTTCTATATCCATACTGTTAACTCTCAACTTAAGATATGTGTTACTTTTATTGCAAATAGATAAAAAATGTATTTGCTTGTCCTGATATTTCAATAAAGCAAAAACCCTTTACTAATTTGATGTAATATCTTTTGAAATATTCTTTTTAATTACATTTGCATTCTCTTTTCTCTTAGAATAAAATTAAGAGCGAGAATCTCATCATTAAGATTAATTTTATATTGTAGTTAGTACTGTCTTAATTCATCCATAATCTAAATTAATTAAATTAAGATCCAATATTACTTGCCTTTTAAAGATTCATTACTTATATAAATTGAGGACATTTTTGTAATTTTTCAATTGGTTTGGTGATGATAAAAATAATGTAATTTTATTTTATTTCTATATATTTTCTATTTCAAAAATTAAACATTTTTTTTTGACTAGCTGAATTGATAATTATTGGGTTTCTAATTATTAAAACTAACAGTTTTCTTATAGTCATTCACTCTATTACAAGGATCTAGTAAAATCGATACAAATAGCATAAGGATGAATATATCTAGTAAAAATATATAAATTTATTAATTATGATTGTTCACTTTTTAGAGGTGGTTGTTTGAGGTTGGATTCTTAAAAAAATAGAATTAACAATAAATACTTATGTGAACCAATAAGTTTTAATAAATTTAAAGCTCGTTTGAGAGTAGAAATTGGTGAAAAAGTTGTAGTTATTAAAATTAATTATTAATGGGGAATTCATGCTGCACAAATCAACCTCCAGAGTAAGTTATTTGAATGATTTTAATAGAACAGATAAGCAGGTTGAGACAAAGCCAGAGGATATGAGCAAGTTAATTTAATAGGAGTCCAAGAACGAGGAAGAACCTTTAAAGTAGATAACATGTAAGAATATATAATAATTGGAGCTATTCCTACTTTATCTGTGTAGCCTTCGTTGTTTATTTAGATGAAGAGGGAAACCATTTATGGCACTTATCAGGTGGGGAAGCTATTGGGAGAAGGTAAAACGAATTGTAATGATAGGTGCGTATGGACAAGTTTCCATAGTGACCCACAGAGTGACAGGGATGCAAAGGGCAATGAAGGCAATTCGTAAGGACTGCTTATTTGAGGAGGAGCAGGCGAAACTATTTTCGGAGATGACTATTCTGAAAAACCTTGATCATCCACACATAGTGAATTTATTCGAGCTATTTGAGGATGACAAATTTTATTATTTGATAACAGAGTAGATACTAGATTGATATAATTAGGTATTTACGTGGAGGGGAATTGTTTGATCGTATTCAGAAAGCGAAAAATTTCAGTGAAGCAGATGCTGCTAGATATATGAAGTAAGTGATGTAGGCCGTGTGTTACTGTCATTCAAAGAATATAGTTCATAGGGATTTGAAACCTGAGAATATTATTTTTGCTTCCGAAGATTAGTATTCAATCTTGAAAGTGATTGATTTTGGGACATCAAGAAAATTTGAGCAAAATTAGAACATGTCTAAGAGACTGGGAACGGTACATAGTTTATAATAATATCTTAATAGCCATATTACATAGCACCGGAAGTTCTACAGAAGAAGTACAATGAGAAATGCGATGTGTGGTCATGTGGTGTCATACTCTACATTTTATTGGCTGGCTATCCACCGTTTTATGGGAGGAATGAAACTGAGATCTTCGATAGAATTTTAAAGGGCAAGATCCCGTTTCATAGTAAATATTTTGAATAATTACTAAGCTACTGAATGGAACAAGATATCTAAAGAAGCCAAGAATCTGATCACGAATATGTTGTGTTTGGATGTAGAAAAGAGGTATTCTGCTTAATAAGTGTTTGACGATCCTTGGTTACAATAAGGATAAGGCCAAAATTTGATTGATGATAGTTTTCTTAAGAATTTAACAGAATTCAGTGCGAAGAGTAAATTGAAACAAGCTTTATTGACTTTCATGGCCAGTCAAATGATTCAACCGAAGGAAGTCGAATAAATACAAGAGTTATTTAAACAATTGGATCGAAATGGGGATGGGAAATTGTCAAAGGATGAATTAATTACAGCATTCCAATAGAAAGTGTAAAGTGGAGATCGATTAATCGAAAATATGGAAATTAAGATCAATAAGATTGTCACAGAGATAGATGTGAATATGTCTGGGTACATAGATTATACTGAATTCATTGTGGCTTGTTTGAAATATGAAAAGTTATTGACTATCGAAAAAATTAAATAAACATTCAAAATATTCGATATTGTAAAGCAGTAGTTCGATTTATTAATTAGGATGGTGATAATTACATTTCAAAAGAAGAGCTTCAACACATAATGGAAGGTGTGGATGATGACATTTGGAAACAGTTCCTAGTAGAATGTGATCAAGACAATGATGGTAAAATATCGGAAGAAGAGTTCATCAATCTTCTATCAGATAAATTTTGATATTTTCAAGAATCATGAATAATCTCTATATCTGCTGCTTCTGCCATACTTTCAATTGATGATTCATCTTATCCTCTCTTCATCCTAAATCTACCATTCTCTCCCCACTGTTTACCCCAACTATTCTAAAGTAACCAATATTTAACTCCATTCTCTTCTCCCCAACCATAACACAACACTGAATGATCAACTTTTTCCTATTTTGTGTTAATATGATAAATCATACCCATTCTGGTTTAGCTAATCCATTGATAATCCAATCTGGAATTGTGGAATGAAAGACTCCTCCAACATAGAACATGAAATCAAAGGATGGCTCAAAATTCAACACCACTGGTCCATTCTTGTAGATTTCCTCCATGATATTCAACTCATTCGACTTACCATAAGCTCCCCCGATAAATCTATAATTGATGACTCTGTAATGTTTCTTCTTCTCAACTGCTTTACATTCTCCTAGCTATCCCTTATAAGGATACTCCTTCTCTTCGAAAATCATTCCATCCAATTCTGTCAAGTACTTCTCCACCAAAAAGGGATAACCCCCATCACAACCCTAATTGTAATAGTTGCAATCAATTGATTGTTAAGGTGATAAATCAGCCTTCACTCCTTTGATTCTCAATCTAGCTGATAACATAGTCATAGTTGAAATAGTGTAACATGATCCACATCCCTTTTATTCGTATATCTTCTTGCCCAAGTATTTTTCCCATGAGAACTCCTTAGGCAAATGACTTACATCATATTCTAATATCTATTATTTTTTTTTTTATTTCTCCAGTAAAATAGTTGATGAATGCTTTCTTCTACCTGCATACTTATTCAACTACTTGGTTGTCAGTCCAATTATTTCACCATATGCCTTAGCCTTCCATTATAATTTTGCACTGTTAATCTACTCCACGAAATTGAGAGCATCCACTCTTGACCACACCTTATTCATTCCTGAATTCTAATACTAAAAGAATTGAGGTTGCACCACATGTCCATTATTAGCACCCTCAGACACTTTGTGAGTCTTCTCTATTTTATATGCCCTATAACATCCTCTTTCATTGGTCTCAGTATTCTAGTACCAACCTATCAAGGTTTCTCCACAATACGAATAAGCTCCAGAATAGTTGGTCTTGTATTTTGAGAAGGCAAAACATTTATAATGCGAGAAATCAACCTCAAATCCTTCATCATACACCATTGTCCATTTGCCTTACAGTTTCTTCTTTTATACAACATTGTTTTTAGCAGTTAGTATAACTTCATGTGTAAATGTCTTCACAAAGGTATTCTACCCTGCAACTTGCGATGTGCGTTCATTATCTGGTACATTATGACCACATGTCAATGGTCCACTGCCTAGGTGAATCTATTATTTACCTTTAATTTAGGGTTCTGTAAACTCTAATTGCCATTTCCCTACAATTTAATGACGAACACAATGCACTGGCAAATCTGCACGAGCACTCAGAACTAGTAAAAACACCAATAACATAATTAATTCGTTTTTTTAATTGATTTCAAACACATAATTATAATGGCTAATTCAAAAATTTCTTCAAATTTTCAAGTCCTGGAATCTCTATCTGAGTCTCTTTCATAAATTGTACATCATCAATCTGCTCCTACCAATACTTCAAGTTCTCATGAATTTACTCCAAACAAACTTGTGCCACCTTTTCGCTATGCAGAGTTAGACTATCAAGTACTTCTGCAATAAAGTAACAAATGCATTGAACATTGGCAAGACAATAGCTTTTAGAAATCCCTCCTGAGACTTGGTAACACACTACTTTCTGTCGCACATGGGAGACACAGGCACTTTCAAATATGATTCTAAATCTCCTTGCAAAAAGAACTCCTCAATTATTCTACGACTCCAGAGTTTGTGTATTTATAATTTCTTGGCACCATGACCAACATCTTAAATGGATGATGATTGCATACCTGCACATTTAATACAAATGGACATCAACAAGTTTTTATCCATTTCTGTAGATTCTGTCAATTCTAAGTAATTTTAGAACCTATTCATCAATTGGAAATGTTTTGTGAGATCAGTGTCCAAGATTAGATTAAGACAGTACTTTCTGAATCCTTTCTACTCTACCTATCCCAAATTCTGAATGATATTGAATTGATCCTGGGAGAGAATCTGAAACAACAAAAAAGAATGATAATTTTCAAGCACACTCTAATCATTGTCTAAGCATATATACATATATTCATTACATAACATAGCTAATTTACATCTATTGCTCATCATAAATCCATTATTCAGACCTGGATGTCCAATATCATGTACCAAAGATGAAATTATCAAACAAGCCTATTCAAATTCATCCAGCATTTCATTTACACCATTCTCCAAAAAGAACCCTGTTGAATTTGTTACATCTAATGCATGCATAGAATTGTGATATAGATTATTATGATAAGACATGTCCACTTTTAGAGCGAATTCTCTAATCAATTCGAGCTTAGTGATCTTAAAGGTTTGTGCAATCTTGAATCTCTTAAAAAATGTGATAGTATTTTCAAAGAAGATTCTCGTTTGATTGTTGTCTTAAGGTTTGTTCCTATAAAATTGAAGAAAGTCTGCATTAAAATCTATCCTCTCCAACTCTTCCTCCTAAACATGGTCCTGGATGTCCTAAATGTATTCAAACGAGGGTTGCTTCTGTGTGAAATGAGATAATAAGAATCTATCCAATAATATAGGAAATCATTACTATTTGGCATCCACGCTGAATCCTTCCTACTCGTTGATTAATTGATTGCTCCGTAGAAATTTAGGAAGCCAAATTGACTCTTTTTTCCCCGAGAGCAAGTTCAATAGATCATCTATATCTTCAGTGGTTATTTTCATTTCCTCTATATTCTTCTCAGAGAACGATGGACTGTTAGAACTCTCATTGATTCTGCAATTTTAATCAGTTGCACTCGTCATCAGTCTTTGAGATTTTCTTCTAAACTGTGGAGGCTGATTATCATTTTAAATACTCTAAAAATGATGGTTAGAAATATCTTATTAAATTGAACTCTATTCATCTGGTACATTCTCCTCAGGCAATTATTTAAGCGAGAATGCATTTTAATGAATTTCTGAATTCATTTTTTTTGGTTTGCGAATTCCTTTTTAAAAAGCATTATTTTTCATTAATAGTTGTTGATATTTGATTAATCTTAACTTTTTTAACAAATCATTTGCTCTGGATGATAATTATTATTAAGCTTCACTGTCCTAATAATCTTAGAATTTCATTATTTATTCATTGTAATACTCCTTCATTAGATCCAACTCTTTGGCAAAATCAGCCATCTTGCTTTTGTAATCTCTCTTCAAAAATTGAGTTCTCCATTGAATTCCTTCAATTGCAATCACAGCAATTACACAATACTTGATTATTATGAACACTTGATTTTGAAAATAAATCTAGGTAATTAAGGATATAATAGATATTGAGTAAGTAATTTCACGAATATGACGGATTTGAAATCTAGATGAAATTAGTATCAGGAAAGCAATCGTGATTAGGTAATTTTGACAATGCTGGTTGCTTATAAATATGGTTATTCGAATATACCTTTATTCTTGATACACAAAAATTAGATTGCTGAATAATTGGAGGCTGATTCCCAAATAAACTAAAATCTTAGGATGGTCTCTTCTTTCTGATTTAGTATTTCTGATGATGTTTGCTACGACGAAGACTAGAATGATTCTGAGACTCATATGATATTCTTGATTATCCGTTGATTCAATCAATGGCCAAAGGGCTAAGATGGATAGGAGGAGGAAAGCATCCAAAGACTTGGTTTAATTAATGTCGGAACGCTTGGAGAAGACCTACAGAAACTTATCCTTGATTTGATCATGGATTTCAGAACTCATCAAAATAGATAAATATTATTTTAAAATATTCCTAACATTCAATACATCTTTTCTAGATACATCAATCCTTCTTTAAGACATATGATTATCCACTCGATATTGGGTCTGTTTTAGGGTTCATGATGAAGACATTTAATTGCTAGATTTCTGAGACATTTCATTAGATGCTTTGGTCCAAAGGTTTTTATGAAATCAATATTGGATCTTATTTAATAAGTTTTGTTTTTATATCTTTCTTGAAGATTAGCGAGATTGCTTTTTTTGAAATCCTTAAACATATGAATAATTTATTACTATTGGGTATTATTCAAACAGGAACTCATACATCAATATGCCGAAGGAGAAAATATCAGACTTATGATCAATTTTAGGCTAATTTACTTATGAGTTGTTCGACTCTTCAGACAGAGACTCCGGAGCTGCAAAAGGGAGGGTTCTTCCATCTCCTCCTTATATTATCACCTGATCTCCCTTCTTGTACATGGCCTCTCCGAAATCTGTCAATTTGGCATTGTAATGTTTTGCAATCTCCAATATAAATAATGAATACCAATATATTGCCAGGCTTTAGATCATTGTGAATCACTCCATAATAGGACAAATACCTGAGTGCATGTGCAATCTAGAATAGAATATACAGTCTGGTGTTCAAACTCTAAGTCGTCTAGAACTTCGATCTAAAATTGTCCAATGAAGTATGCTAATAGAACTCCATGAATAAATGTTCATTAAATAATGGCATATTGTTCTTATCGATTGTATCTGCTTTATAGAATTGGGCAATATAGGGGCAATATCCATTAAATATCAGTCTCCTCTGGTTATCATACAAGGGTTAAGACAGTATATCACTAGAATATAAGTTAAATTTTTACAGTATTTTCTTTTCCAAAATAATCCTACTTGGCTGCTTCTTATCTGCTTTCTCATTCTATTTGTCCTTCTCCCTGTCCTTATCCTTTTTTATCACTATAGTTCTCTTTATGAAAGCCTGTACATCTTCTTGCTCTTTATTGGGCACATACTGAATTTATCTTACTGAGTGTTCTTCGACTTCCACTTTGGTCTAATTATTCTCTTTAATGTTTGAAGCTTGATTTCCTTTTGTTTATGCTGAAATGTCCTCTAGTTCCGATTTTCCAGCTCCTGAATTCGAAGCCAAAGTGAAGGCCAATTACCCCTTTTTTACAATCGAAAACCCTCCCTCTCCAATTAATTCGTAACCGTCCCCATTGTCTACCTGATCGGGATTAGAAAATTTAATGAAATTCATAATCTTAAAAGATGAATTGGTCTATTTGGGATAATTAAAATGCTATTAAAACTATCTGGTTTCATCCTCTGTTATTGGGGTGGTGCATTTACTAAATTAAAGTCTTTTCTTACTTCTATATTATTTCATTAATCCTCTACAAGTAAATATCAAATTATGGGGGGATCTTACGATATTGATCTTGTAACTTTTGCTCTAAAAAAGGAAAGACTTTATAAGATAATTTATTAATTAAATGCATGAGTCTATAGATATGATATCCAATTGCATAATGGGATGTGAAATGCAGCACTTTTAATAAGCTTGATAACGAGCCTTGATTTTAGCCATCAGACTACATAGGATGGAGACATATCAGTTCTGTCCAATGTTCTGAAATCATCACTGAATTCAATTTCAACTATATCTGTCCTGTCTCATTCTCTATACAAAAACACCCGAATCGTAATGAATTATTTATTCTACAAAAATATCTTGCCAATAGTCTCTGCAAATACTAAAAAGAGAAGAAAGAAGCTTACTTTCTCTTTGACTTAAATGAGCTGGCCATCTGGTTTGGCAATAAATGATTTACAATCGATTCGCTTCCTTAAAAAGTTAATTGTAGTTGTGCATAATGCTAAGAATTTATTTGAAAACCTAATTAAGAATTAGATTTTAACTCACTGTTCTAATGTGATTGTAAGTTGCCACTACTTGGTCTCTTCATTTTATGTAATATCAAAATGTTTAAAATTTAATTCCTCAAAATGTTTTTCTATCAGTGGTCTATTCAACATAAATTTGTCAAATTCAGTCTCCTCAACATCATTCAATTCCATCAATTTAAACTCGAGTTCCATGTCGTCCTCCTTTTACATTTTATTTACAATTAATTATATATTTAAATAGAAATCTAGATATAAGGTTCTGAAATGCAATACTCTATTTAGAAAGAATGGAGGAAATAAACATTGCTGAAATAAATTTCAATATACTTTGTCTAAATATGTCAAACAATCCTTCAAAACTAAAACCATCTTGTCTATGTTGGGTCTAAGAGCTGGATCTGGTTGCATACCTATATGAAGATAATCGCAATATTTTTTACATTATAGACACATTCTTCCCAAATATTTCATAATCCCCTGTGGTCCCAAATCTTTATCAAAATTCTCATCATACCTAACTGAATAAGCCAACTTATGTAATTTCTCCTCTAAGGGTTTTAAATTCTATCTTCTAAAATCCTATGTTTATAGCATAATTATGTTACTATTGGGAATCGATCGAACAATAGTTCAAAAAGCAATACACCAAAGGAATAGATATCATATGCATATGTATATTGGTTTGGTTCTAGTTTCTGTTGGATCTCTGGGGCACAAAAGGGCATGGTCTTACCTGGTTTCTCTTTGTCTGAATATTTGCTCTTATTTATGGCCTCACCAAAATCTGTAATCTTGGCCATCAAAGTCTTGGATATCAAAATATTGGCTGACTTAATATCCATGTGTATGATGCCATAGTTGTGAATGTATCTCAATCCCATGGCAATACTATGAGCTATGAAAACCCTGGTTGATAAACTGAGGACTTCTAATTGTTTTGCTTTAAAGAAGTCCAATGAAGAATGATAATATCTTTCCATCAATACCTTATCAAATTTATTAGGAACACAATAAAATTGAGCAACATAAGGACAACATCCTGAAAATTTAAAATATTTAAGCCGATTATTAGATTAATCTCTAAAAAATTGGAGTTTAAAAATACCTTGGGTCCAAAGTTTGTGTTTCGCTTAATTTAATGACAATCTCAATCTCCTTTTTCACTTTTTCTCCTTATGGATTTTTGTCAGTCTTAATAACAAGTGGTCTCTTTTGAGACTACGGTTATTTCTAACCATCTTTTAATAAGTGATAAAAGATTTCCTTAGAGTAGATGTTACAAAATCCACCTTCAGAAATTAAAAATTATTTATCGACTTCTAGATCATTCATTTCTACTGGTAATATTTAAATTAAGCATTTGGTATCTGTCGTTACTTACTTTTATACTAATGGTCCATATTCATCATACTCCCTAGCGCTAAATTCCAAATGCATGTTGCTATTTAATTGTTCAAATAATAAATTACTTTTTTACAACTTTCTTAATTCTACTTAAGAGGATTTCAGCATCTTTTGGTAATTTCCTCCAAGATATGAAATTTTCTTTTTTCTAAGGGTTGTTTTCTTCTTGATACCTAATATTATCCATGTAATTTTCAAAGACTTTAAAATGCTTTAGGTTGATCTCATTGATCATAAAGAGAATCCTCAGAAAATGGAACCTCAGAGAATGAATTGCTGTTACAATTAAACTATCCAAGTAAGTGATGAATTCAGATTCACGCAAATTTGATTCAAAGAAGCATTGGTCATTATTATTACATTACAAATTAAATCCAAGTTGACCATACACTGGATTAATAAAAAAACTCCCCACTCGAAGATTGTTATTTAAACGTAACATATATCGACAAACTGAAAGTCTAAGTAGCTAATTTTTTATCAATTAGGTACCTTAGATTTAACTATAATCAATCCATGTTTGTTAGTAAAGTAAGCATGTATTTGTAATTGTAATTGCTGAAAGTCTATTATAATCTCGAAAGTAGTGGTTAGTATTCCAACGTGAATCTCTAGAGGGAATGTCAACAAATAAACATCTTCTTTAATAGCTGTCACGCTTATGAAACTTTTAGAGTACTTGTCTTAGATACATTATTTCAATTCATCAACCTTCTTGTTTTTTTGATCTTCATAATGCTTATCTTATTATATTTCACTTTAGCCAGCAATTAAACTGTGAATTAAAACCTCTACTTCCATTCAAGAGAATTATTTTTAAATAAATATTAATGACATATAACATATGCTTGACATAGAAACTAATATTTAATGAACAATCATATTTTTTATTCTTGCTTTTAGAATGAGTGAAGATGATGTGAGGGATATCACGAGTAATTTAACTACGTTTAAGTAGAATGATTTTCTGATGACAAGAAATGGGAACTCTGGGGCTTTTGGAGATTGGAATAATTTCTATTCTTACTTTGGAATGAGTTTTTACGAGTACTATGGAATTAAGAAATTAAATTTATTATAAGGTACTTTGTATATAATTATGGATTTTGTTTTCATTTTTTGATAGTAGACTCATCTTCGGATAAATCCTTATAATCTAAAATTGATGTTATTTAGTACCTTGGAGGTAGGATTGGAGGAAGGATCCGTTCTCATTTATAAATGTTTCCGCCTTTTGATAATCTTTACCGACCATATTGAGAACAATTGCAATATCTTCATCATTAGCCTCTGAAAAATTAAGTTTTAATTAGTCAAAAAATTTAGAAACTAAGTTTATTTAAAATGACTTTTACATTTATCTTCTTGTTTCTCATAGATTTTAATGAATTTTGCCTTCACATTTGATTAAGGATAATTGAGCTCTTGTCTTTCCGCTCCAATTTGCACCTGTTTAATCTTCTAATAGGAATGTCGAATCGGTTCTTTGCGAATTTTGATTTATTTCCTCTTCTAAGGTTTATAGAGAGGTTTTGGTGGTTTTTTGATGATTCGCTTTGGCAATGGAGGGGATTAAGAACTTTCATAGTCATATAGCTTTCCTTATGCTTCAAGGGTATCGAGGTCCAGCAGTTTGGCTGTTTTTTTTTGGGGTTGAGTTGTATTGAGGATTTAGGTAGGTGCAGGTTTATCTATTTTTTGGATTGGTACGCATTCTTCATCATCTGAGATGAGAATATATTGTTGTTATTTTGGTGGTAAAGGTGCCTATTGAATTTGCGGGTGTTTGTATTGTAGAAATTGATTGTAATTGAAATATTGTTGAGGGAGATATGACGGGTAGACGTATAGAGGGGTTTAGTAAGGGTATTAAGTGAATTTATAAGGAAAAGAATGTGGATGCATGTTGAGTGGCTTATGAATTTTAGGTTTAATTTAATATTTTTTAATGTTTCAGATGAAGAAAAGAAAATTTGCTTTAAATATCTTATTTAAAAATGAAATAAAATTGATTATTTTTATAATATCATTCACTAACAAGTTTCATAGTTTCAACAAATTACGAGTCATTCAATATCTCAGAACTTATATCCAAGATACTGAGATCTTGATTTTTGGATCTTTTAAAAATTAAAATGTCTCTTTGCTATTGCATCATCTATACAAAATAGGACCTATCGAATTGAGACCATTTATATACTATTTGAAAAGGACTACCATCCTCACTGTTAGTGACAAGTAACGCATAGACATCAGCGAAATCCCAAAAATCTCATCATAATACACTTCATATTGCAATCTTATACACAAGATGATTGACAAAAATGCGCAAAAATCTAACACATTCCAGGCGGTTGTGAAGAATTCCTTTATTTAGAGTAAAAATATAAAATAATAATTTATAATACTCTTCCTTCCATTAATACCTTGAGTGCCAAATCTGTGCAAATTGTGAAAGTCAACAGTCCCTCACAAATGAGAACGGGAGGTTTGTCCAAACTCTAGATATATCAAAGTGAAGAGTACTTGTGTCGATCCAAAATGACCTAATTTTGACATTCAACCATCTTACGTAAATGAGTAGCATTGTCGAAATTATTAACTGAATCAAGCAATACGACAAATAACACAAACTTCTGTGTAGACTAGTAATCAAGTATTTTGAATTCATCCTCCTCCCCTTGTCTATATTATTTTTCAAATAAATATTAATTAACACATATGCATGTTAATTTTATAGAATTATCTAAACTCTGAATTTAATCTAATTCTCTACTCTTGCTTTTAATTCACATAAATAAATCAGTATTTAATAAAATGAATATTGAATAAATTTTAGAGAAGTAAGAAAACGCAATTATCGAGAGCGGATCTCAACTGCTCCCCTCCTTCGCCTACTGGCAAAAGACTAAGCAAGATTTGGAGTAGTACTACTACCTCAAAAGGAGTCTGACATCACTCTGTCACACTCCATTCAAAAAAGACATGACCATAATTACACAATTATGTGAACGTACATGCGATAAGGACAAACAACTTTCGCATATCTATGATTTTGTTGATGTGGAAACCATGCATAAGCAACTCGAATTTGAATATGTTTGTTCCTACAAATATTTCAGAAATCATCAAACCACATTTAGAGTTGGAACCCACTAGGATATATTTGATAATCTGGTAAGTGATGTGTGTGGATATGGTAGTTCTTCCAAAAATTTAACAATGCCACGCTTATCTTTGAGGACGCACATGATTTACCTCTCAAATTAGAAAAAGCAATGAGTGCATCAATTAGTTCTCACACCATATCCCAAATGATCAAGGCCTTCTTTGTACCTTACAAAACTCCGTCTAAATGGGATTAATAAATGCATACCAAACTAAAATTGCTCTCCAAATAATTTCAGCCTAATCAGACTTTTCAAACTTGCACCCTTACACAATAACAATATGACATTCTAATGCCCATTGTAGCCTTCTGTAATAGAATCGTCTAATTTGCTTAAGTAACACTTGATATAACTACTAGAATATCAACAACCAAAAGGATGAATTTATTTTCGAATCCAATAAGATTGCCTTAATTGTAACTTAGTGTACTTAAAAAATACCAGACTCAGAATTTTTTATGTAATTATAGCAATATTTCGTTAAATCTAATGGTGCTTTTCAATAACCCAAATACACTTGTATTGATTCCTCAAATTATGAATAATATTTGGATGAAATATACAATTTACCTTAAAGGTATCTAATGCAACAATGGTATATATTTATAAAATAAACATTTGAATTGCAGGATTCAAATGAGCAAGAAGTAGTAAGTTAATAATAATAATAATTTAATAATTAAGTGCTTGTTCCAACTAATGACAAAATATCAGTAGATAAATCCATCTAAGCTGCAGAATAATAAAATTACAGAGATTATAAATTAGTACTTTTCATAGATAATGTTTAAAATTCATTTAACCTAAATCTTTTATGCTTGAGTCCCCTTTGCGGCATGAACAAATTGTAAAACAACGGCGTCTAGAATATTGTAATTATCACTTAACACTCCTATCCTGCCAAGCTGTTCAAGACTGAATTTAATATCCATTTTTAATTTTATCCTCAGATTCCAGTTTAAGAATTGAAAATCAATCAAACCATAGTCAGCTAAGTTTAAAATTACAATATCGATTATTTAAATAAAACAGAATAAAACTTCGATGCCATGATACTTGAGATTGGTAAATAGTTCTAATAGATTAATTATTTGTTAAATGGACATGGATTTATCACTCTTTTTTCCTCCAAATCCTTCATGTAAAAATGCTAAGACATATGGAGTCAACATTCTATACTCTCATCCCTTGGAGTAAATAAAGAGTTTTAGTGGATCAAATATTAGAATGTACTTATTATTTATCAATACTGAATAGAAAAAAAGCATCTATGAGATAATTAAACTATTTCTCAATAAATGTAGATCCAATACGATTGTTGGTGATACTATGCCGTCCATCTACACAGTGTTTAATGATTTGTTTTTGGATCAATTACAGGAAGCCATCTAAATATAGTTAGATTATTAACTTAAGCATCCATAAACGCTAAAAAACCAATCCTAAATAACAGTGTTTTTATTGGGAGTTCCTTGGGCTAGTCAATTTATGTATTACCAAGAAAATGGACATGATCAACTACCTCAATTGCAATTGAACTTGAAGTTAGAGTGGCTTAAGAATTAAAAAAATAATGTAATAAATTTAAATATTATAGTACGATAGAAAGTATTTCAGTATGGTGAATGCAATCAGAAATCTCTCAAGATTATAGCATATACTTGATCCATTGAGTCCATGTAATTTAGTAGTTTTAGATGAAAAATTTTAATAAAAATTATTGTGGAAAGATCAGCAATTTCCAAAAGTTCTGACTTTTCCTGATCTTATCAAAGAATTAAAGAAAGTATTTATATAAATTCTATCCCTTTTAGCAAGGAGCCACTTTGGTAAGATCAGAGATCTTAGGTGAGAATAGAAAGGATACTTAAAAAATTGAGAACAATAAAGGATAAACCATCAAATTTAACATCAAATAACCAGTTTAGATATAGACGTCAAAGAGAAAGATAATGTTAAATAAAACACTTTTGGGAGATCTTTATAACCCTTAAAAGAAATCACTTCCTGTAGAATAACAATGTGAAAAAATAACCATTGAGCAATTGATTGGACAGACGGACACTAAGGATGATGTTCATATAACTGAAGAACAATTGGAAATTGATAATATGAAATGTGTGATTTGTTGGTCTAACACGCCTGACAAAGTGATGTGTAAATCTGAAAAATGTGGTCATGTGGCATGTTAAGATTGTTGGAAATAATGGTTATAGACTAAATTGGAGTGTCCCTTATGCAGAGCTAGAGTTAGAGAAAAATTTCTGATAAAATTTGATTGATTAATTGTTTTTTTTAATTTAAATAATGGATTATTATAATTAATGATTGCTTGTATCTCTAGTAAAGCATATGAGATATTATGTAGATGATGTAGTGATAGAGATAGTTTGATCCTGGAAGGATGATTAATATGGGTAAGCTATTAATATATGGTTAAGAAATTGAGATAAATTTAATTAGATATTTTATTAAATGAACGGAGAGAAAAGAATAGTGGGATGGAATGAGTTGGCTGATCATAGTAATCGAACATCACTTTGGGTTGTGATAGAGGGAGAGGTGTTTGATGTAACAACTTATTTGGCCGAACATCCAGGAGGTGATGATATCTTGCTTAAATATGGTGGAATGGATGGGACTTAGAAATTTCTAGAGGTGAACCATTCAAATTATGCTCGTTCCCTCAGAAATGCTAGATTAGTTGGAACACTTACTTCAGATCCCTAACCAAGTGATTACGTGAAGGTTGTGAAATCTAAAAAACAAAAAGTAGAAATCTGATGATCAACTCTTAGAATAATTTTAATCCAAATCGTTAGATTTCATGGGAGGAATTAGCACTACATAATAAAAAGGAGGACTTATGGATGGTTATAGAAGGAAAAGTGTACGATGTGACAGATTTCTAAGATGATCATCCAGGTGGTCCAGCAATCTTGTTGGGAAAAGCAGGTGACGATGCAACTGCTGCATTCCATGATGCAAATCATTCTCAGAGTGCTTACAAGTAATTAGAGAAATTATAGGTGGGTGTAATAACAGGTATAAATAATTGAATAAATTAAAGGAGTTAAACCAAATGTGAGTGGTAGCGGTTCAAGCACAAATTTGATATTCGTCATTCTTTTGATATTGGCTATTGGAGCAGGAATATATGTGTTTACAAAATGAGGGTTTGGATAATCATAAATTATAAATATAATATTATGAATAATTTAAGAGCATTACTATTTAAAATCTAAAATTCCTATGTTCATTTAGGATAATACAAAGGGCTGTGTTTAGAATTTGATGAAAGTATGAATGATCTAATAAGAATTACTTGCATATTTGTCTGGTTCGGAGACCATCGACCATTTTTTATTGAAAAAATTAATAGTGGATATGGAAAAAGAACGATTGGGATCAACAATTACGATAACTAAGGCTCTTCAACAACTGAGTAAGATTAGACAGAATGATAATATTTATTTATAATCAATCCTAGGCATTGCTGCAAGGCATAATCTCTGCCAAGCAATCCCGATGACAATTGATTTAAGCAAAATAACAGCTTCGAATCTAGTGCCTGATTTGCTCTTATATTTGTCGTTGACTGAGAATAGCGGACTGGTTGAATTTTGCAAATAGCAGCACATAAAACATCAGAAAATGTATTATTACTTGCAATCCATGTTACCACATGAAACCGATTACAAAAAGGGTAAGTTCATTTTGTAGGAATCCAGTATGTAGAAACAATTCGAGTAGACTTTGAATGAGCCCTACATCAAAGAGTACGAGGTGGGATTATATCATTGTGATTTCTTCTTACCAAACTCGAATACGATAGTGGAGGTTAATGGGTATAAACACTACATTCACTTCAAAGAGAGGAAGACTGGTCAATACCAGTAGAAATATAATTACCTAATAAAAAAGGGATTCAATGTTAGAGAAATAGATAATAATGATAACCGTATATGATTTATGTATTCACCATTTGAAATGTTAGCATCCACACTCTTTCATATAATTAATAGATTGCTGTGGGTCTTTGGCATTGACAACTATTTATAATATTTATGGGATGTACTTCCACTGCCAGACACTATTACATTGGCTCCTGCCTCATAGCAACTAATGACATTATCGCAATTCACACCACCATCAACTTGGATATCAATTTTAGGATATCTTTGTCTAAGTTGAGTTACTTTGGGCAACATATCAGTCATGAATTTCTATCCCCCAAATCCAGGTTCTTTGATTAGGTGATTTTATACCAACTGTCATAATCAGGATCATATCAAATAATTATTTATCAAATATTTCTATTAAGGTGTGATCAATGAGTGTTTTGGGCTTCAAAGCTAATGCTGGTCTCATGCCTGCACTCTTAATCATTTATGATAATTCTTCAATGTTGCCAATGTCTGATTCATAATGCACAGTCATCTAATGACCACCTGCATTTGACAGATCCTTTATCCATTTTCTAGGTTCCTATATCATGCAATGCAAATCAATGAATGTCCTATTTTACAATCTGCGAGTTAAACATTTTATGATGGGAGGTCCGAAAGTGAGATTGGGAACGAAGTGTCCATCCATTACATCCAGATGTAACCAATCCACTCCCATCTTCAATAACTTATCACATTCCTCATAGAATATAGAAAAATCACATGTCAAAATAGAAGGTGCAATTTTTATCATTATTATAATTATATCAACCAGGTTTTAAATACATAATCTTAACTAATGTCTTTTAACACATTTTCCTCTTGTTAACTGCCACCAAACTACCCATTCAAAGTGTACCCCTCTTCTACAAGAAATACTTTCCCCTACTATAATTAGATCAATTGATTGTTATGTGTAAATTCCATAGTTTGACCAATCACAATCAAAGCAGTGGCATTTTGAATGGTCACTTTCTTATCTGCCAATTTAAAGAAATGAACTGTGCAATTATCATATTGGTTCTCATTCCCAGTTATGTTTGAAATTGAACTCGTAATAATGTCATGACATGGCAATTAATTCTTTGCCGTAAAAGACAATTTGAGAGGTCCCTTTTAATTATTCTACTTCTTGATCTTTGTCGATAAGAAATTGGCCATTCTCACCAGTTGATCCCTCTTTAGAACATCCTTAATTAGTATACCCCATTCCAATTATTTTTCAAATGAACTGTCGATAGATTACACTTATTGATATCTCTTTTCTGATTATTATGATTAATTGATAATCTAAGATTAATCTTGCACTATTTAATTCTCAATATTTTAGGATTCATTTGCAGATTTATCTTGAATCTCATTGATGTTATTTATCACAAACTACTCTTAGATCTTCGACATTGTATCATCAACTTACTTCTCCCCTATTGCTTCCTTTGCCACATCCTTTGGATCCACCAAATAAGGGCCCCATTTGACGGGTACTTTTTCCAATTGTTTAATTGCAATCTTCAATATGTCATCATCCAATTTGAAGATGTTATTGGACCCTCTCATTTGGATTGGTATCAATAATTTTCTTGGGTTTCTAAAGACAAACTTGAATTCTGTGTCTCCCTCTTCTTATTACTCCTTAGGCACAAGCTTATTATATTCTGCTGCCCTCACATAACCAACCATATCCACAACTCCAATCAATACTCCTGTAGGATAACGTGCTGGAAAAGGAGGCACATTATTCAACTTCCCATACAATTAGGAGTATTGATGCTCTATAGCAGATATCAATTCTGTCTCAGGCTATTTGGCGCCAGCATGAATCCACAAAGGACCCTTATAATTGGTTCCCCACATTCTTCCTTCAATTCTCTTAAAACCTTCAACCACCAACTATGCCCACGGTTAATGCATAGACAAACAACCTATTCCATCTTCTACTTTGAAAAATTATTCATCAAACATGTCTTACTTCTATTCTTAATTTACAACTTTGAGGAGTTCCTTTTAAAAATCTTGGAAATACTCATCTGTGAATTAGACGCCACAAGTTGTTGGTTTGAACTATTGGTTATTCTGATTCATTTTATTATTCTTATTGTTCTACTTTTTAGATTCCTTTTTAGTCTCGTTATTTAAGTTAGTAATTATCTCATTGTATAATTTTTAATATTCCTAATTGTCTGCCAAATGTTAAGTCTTAGAATTGGCTTGATTCTTCTTCTTCTATGCCAATTCTGCTTCCTTTAATAATTATTTCGCTTCGTCTCTGAACTCATCAGCCTATTTGGCATCACACTCTTTCTCCAATTTAAATTGCACTAAAACCTATACAAAATTATTAGCTTACTTGTCTGATAATCAAAGACCTGTTTTGTATTAATGGTTTATTCAGCATCAGCCTATTGCATTAACTTAATCACAGCTTATGATCGAATATCCTCATTTTACCAAACATCATCTACAATCTAATAATAATCTGCTTGATCATCGATAATGTTTGATTAATGAACATCTCGCCTATGAAAATCTAATAGTTTATCCTTGTGCATCAAAGCCTTTGAATAGGCTGTCTTTGATTCCATATCGGGAAATTGTGAATCATCAATGACAACTTCCCCTTTCTTCATTATTGGATTCCCACAAAATAAACATGGCCCTTCTCCTTCCACTGAACACACAATTCGACCACAACTAATACAATTATTTATTAGCTTATGAATCTGTGCCTCGCACTAGCATTAGTTTCTACTCATATATTAATTTCTTTAATAATTACTTTTAAAACAAAATTCAATGCTTAAATAAAAATGAAGTTTTTATATTTTTTATACTCGAAATTTATAATCAGCATAAGCATTATGTTCCGAAATGCACCAATTTGTTTATCGTTTATTCTTAAATAAATAAGCCAACAAATCTAGATTAATAAATAAATTTCAGAATTTTACTTCAAATGATTGCCAATATTCCTTTGGTGCCTATCCACTTAAATTCTAAACTAATTGTATTAGATTAATATCTCTATATAGAAACTCTAATTTTTTTAAAATAGAACTTTATCGACTTTTATTCAAGATGTATGAGAAAGCAAAATACAGTATTAAATAATTACTAAGAAGAGATTAAAATTAAGTTTAGCCATAGCTATAATAATTCAAATATTCCTAATAATTATTAACAACTTTTTCAAACCAATGAGTTGATACAAAATATAGCGTTGATTTAAACAACAAAAATGTTAGCACAAAGTATAATTCGTATGAAAAAATTGATTAATATATAAAAAAATTGATTCATTCATATTAAGTCATACCAAAAGAGATGAATATGTATAATATCATATCCAAATTGATTAATGAGTGTTAAATGAAATAAGATTGATTATACATCCATAGACTCCAGGGGATAAATATTTTATAAATTTATATATATAATTTCTTTAATTACTTTTGTTAGCTTTTATTAGGTTATTACCAAGATTTCTATAAGAGGAGGTTAAAATTTAATAATTAAAAATTCAAGGAATTTCAAAAATATTGAAATTTTAAAGTACATTACCTCTTGATTCTATCGGTAATTCTTTGCTAGATATTAAAATATAAGCATTTTAATTATTCTGAATTAATATGATCTAAGATAAAATAAAAATCAGAGGTTGTTGGTACATTAATAGAAATTGGACAATACAAAAACAAATTTTGGCAATATCTTTCATTATCTCAACTTTAATTTTTCTGATTCTTTTAGTGATCATTTGGACAAGTCAAAGCTAAATTTAAGAATTTCTAAAGGTTACCTCCCAAGAAATGTTCATGAGATAGACTTCTCAATAAATCAATAATATTTGGATATAATAACGCGGCCTGGAATAAATGATTCTTTAGACTAAATAACAAGTAGTAACAACCAGAGCTATTTACAAATAACTGGATTATCTAATTAATAACTCCAATAAGAGTGTTAAATTTGAGTATCCGCACATGTGCTTAAATAACATTTCTGCTCTTGATTCCTATTGCTTTTCATCTTCCACAACATGTGGAATATTTGGAGAATAGGAACCTGAAAAAGAGTATGAAGAAACTCAAAGCTTAATTGCAACAACTTTTATTTTAACATCTTTTCGTGTAGCTCTTGATCATACATTTAGCGCACCACTCTATTATTTCTCAGATAATGACCTCTTATTCTTCTGTATAACAGCGGGAGGCTTGTTTCCTAATTCCTTTAAACCAAATGAAAGACCATACTATCTAGAATTTTTTAATTTTACTAGTCAAGATACAGCTGTGGATAGAGTGTATTTTGCAAGTCCTTACAAGATTATTGCCGGTTATATAAGAATTCCCATGATTACTTCCTTGGTCAATGGCAATGATCGAATTGTAGGCATGGTAGCAAAAGATATTGATTTTGGCTATGCCTCAATTGCGCAAAGCAAAAATACTAATACAGTTCTCTATGTTATCGATATTGAAGGCAAAATCTATTACTCCATCATCTATAACTAGATAAATCTAACAGTTTACTACTTTAATGAAACATAAGTAACTGGATTTAATTAAACTGATTTTGAATAATTGATGAATCAACATAATAATAAGCCTTTTCAGAATGATTGTCCGCTCATTTAAAGTGACATCATTTTGTGCAGATTTAACTAAAAAACAAAATAAAACTAAATAATAAAGTCTTCTTAAATACAAGGATCTAATTTAATTTTAGTAGTTTTGGTGGAGACAAACAATATCATCGAATAATATGATAATAACTTATAATTGATAAATCAATCTTAAATTTAAGTATCTCAATCGATCCTTATTTATTTAGTGGTATATCCCATAGGAATCATTTTTCTAAGTAATATTCTTATATACATGTTATTTCGATAATTTAATTAACTCCTTAATCTCATTAACTAAAAGGTTTATTCTAATAGAAAGGACCTTGCTCTGGCTTAATTTCAATAGGAAAATCAATTTTTCAAATCATGTGCTGTTACAGAGTTAATTGAAGCATGCATTCGAAAATTCCATAATTTAGAATCTTATGGTAAGTCAACCACTTGCATAATTCAAGAAAACCTTAACTACCCGAAATATACTCATACTTAAATGAAATTTTAATAAAACCTTGTTCTGATTATGAAAATTTCTAATCTAAAACTTATTAATGAACAAGAAACAAAAAATACTATTTTCAACAACATAAATAATTTTAGAGGTAAACAAAAATTATGATTTTATTTTATAATCTGATAACCAAGATTTTAAAATTATTTACAATCCCTTTTTTATATTTTTATGATCAATTCTTAAAATATAAATAATAGCCATAAGATTTTGCCACAACCTTACCATAATTCTTGTGTCAATAAGAAAACCAAATAAGTAAAATTGAATTAAGAATCTCTTTGATAGCAATTCTAGCTTGACTGGCTTATAACACTTATATGAGCTCTTACAACATAATAGTAGTGAATTAATATAAATTGGTAGTTGATTAGACCTGAAAACCAAATGCCTTTGGTAAAATTTCAGTCATGCCATATAGAATAATTCAAGAGTTACTTAGATCATAATCAAGTTGGATTTCAATAAAAAATAATATAAATGTTAATGAAAAATTTATAATGATTTTCTTATTATAATAACATTTGAAAATATTTATTTGCATATAATTATTAGCCAAATTTCAGTCAAAAAAGTATCTCTTATAAGCATTGTAATTACTATCATATAAATTAATAATATTCTAAAGAATGCTTACCGATGCCTTAATTTTGATACAACGAATAATAGACAGTGATTATGATACCTAACTTATCAAAAATACTCTAATTAAATTCAAGAATGCAAACCAATTAGAAATTATGGCTTTAATGGAGATAATTCTTTAATAAATTTCATCTACGTTTAATTATCAGAAAGAAGCAGAGTATTTAGAATTGTTGAAAGAATTACAATATTTAGTATAGAATAAATTTACAACTCTTGGTGCCCCTAGTGCTAACACTAATAATTTTTTAGAATACAAAACTAAGTGTAATTCATAAAAGAAAGGAATTTTATTATTAAATTATCAAGGAAAAATTAGTATTACAATGTATTTATTTTAGTTCTATCTGATTAAATATCCAGAGACATTATAGAATTAAATTCAAAGTGTGATCTTAAATAGAAGACCTTCTTCTCTCTTATTAGCTAAGCTTCACAGTAGAAACTAGAAGAGATGGTTCAAAAACGTTGCTTGTTGTCGAACGGAAAAAGTATGGATTCTTTTAAAATTGCCATACGTTCTGACAGAAACAGAAAGAAAACTCTTAAATACTTAAATTAAATCGCCTCGAATAGTAAAAAAGTTAATAAGATTAAGGCTGAAAGTATAATCTAAATTGATAAATTAAAAGATTCTAAAGCCATGGAAAAAACATAAATGTTGATTGCAAAGTATTTAAAATCAATAGAAGTAACGATCTATTAAGCCGCTTTTTAATTTGATGAAGAATTTAAGACCTAATTTTCAAATTCAGATGATATTATTTTAAGTAACTTGGATAGTTTAGATAATAAAAATGCCAATTAATTAGCCATTTGTGAAGTGAAAGAAATAGATGAATAACTAAAATTTACAGAAGAAGAATTATTGTTAGATGATTAAATTAAAAAACATGAAGGTATATTGAGTATCATTATCTTAGATAAATGGAACAAAAGAGTTAAGAAACTTAAATGTTAAAAATCTAATTGAATTATTATATATTATTATTAAATAATTAATTATATCTCTTTATTCATTAAGGGAAGTGTATTTAAATTGAATATCATTATTATTACACTATATTAATTTAAAATAATAATGAAAAAAATGGGAACAATGGGGATCGAACCCATGACATTAAGATCTTCAGTCTTACGCTCTCCCAACTGAGCTATACTCCCAAAGTTAATATAAACCTGGTTGATTCGTTAATGAAATAGCTGATGAGATTATTGGCGAATGTACTTTGGGAAGACATTAATTTAAAAATGAGAAAATTCTCGCCAAATCAGTTTATTGACTAGCAGTCTGTATAATGGTTAATTCTTAAAAGGTTTATTTAAAATTCAATTTGTGACTTTGCGCAAAGCTAAAATCCTACAATTCACTTATATTATTATATTATTGTAAATCTCAAGTATTTTAATATTTTAAAAATGAATCAAAAAGTTTGGATTAGCATACCCAAAGGCATTAGTTCAATGCACAACAATGAACTAATGAAGTGTACTCTAAGTAAGAAGAATGGCAAATATAGAGTTTTATATTGTTACGATAAATATATATTGTATGGAAAGGTTTACATCAATATTTATTGATAGGTCGGAGTTATCGCTACAAAATGCCTCAAATTAGATTTCGATATCAAATTTGAAATACTTTATTAATAAATCAATAGAAATGGAGAGACAGATGATGGATTAGGTTAAATAATTGGTATATAATTTCATTTTGATTATGGAAACGGAATGATAAGTTCAAAATTGGGAGGAGAGGAAAATTAAATCAAGGAGTTGAGAAATTTCTTGCGATTAAGGATAAATTAATACAAATTTCATCAATATTTTAGAGTTTTTAAAAAAATTGGAAAAGGAAACTTTGCAACAGTATAAACGATTAATAAATAAAGGTGTATTTTACAGAAAGAATTGAAGATGGACAATAGTTCGCAGTAAAAGCGTTTTCAAAATAAGTAGCTTATAATGAAGAGAATGGAAAGGAGTCAATAATAAATGAAATTTAGATTATGAGGGAATTAAATAATTAACATTTAATGAAATTATATGAAGTATATGAAACTGAAAATTCCCTTTACTTGGTATTGGAACTGCTTTCTGGAGGTTCATTGCATGATTTGATAAAAGAAAAGAAGGGATTGAAATTGAAAGAAGTTCAACAATTACTATCTGGTATATTGTTAGGATTAGAAGAAATGCATTAGAAGGATATTATGCATAGAGACCTAAAACTAGAAAATATTCTATTCAAATAAAAGAAGTAAATTAAAAATTTGATTAAGTTAATTGCAATCTGTTGTGATAGCAGATTTTGGGTTGGCGACTCATGTTAATGAAGCTAAATATTTGTACTATCGATGTGGGACACCTGGATATGTAGCTCCAGAAATAATTAATTAGAAAGATTCAAAGCAAAAATACTCATCAGTATGTGACGTATATAGTTTGGGTTTAATTTTTTATATTTTATTATCTGGCAGACCTGCTTTTATGGCTAAAACATATAGAATGATAGTTAAATAAAATAGAGAAGCAACAATTGATTTTACAATAAAACAATTAAAAAATTTACCTGATGAGACTATGGACTTATTGAAAAAAATGTTAAATAAGGATCCCAAATCAAGAATCGATGTTGCAAACTGTTTGAAGCATAATTTCATTAATGATATGGCAAGACAGATCTAAGAGACAGAAATCAATGAGGATAGTGATAATGATTTAGGTTAGATTGATGAGGATGTCGATGTTGGAAAAAGGATAAATAAAATAAATTAACAGTTATATTTAAAAATTATTGTAGATACTTTGTATTTGAAGCTAGTAGACATTTGAATTCTCCAAATTCATCCTCAGATGACTCACCAGGAATCATCTTGAAAAAAACAACAAAAAAATAAAAGGAGATTGATTCTTCGATGATGTTATCTGGACAATCTCCTTTATTTAAAGGAAGAATTGATTCAATCGGAAGTGTTCAGTCTCTAGATATCTTATCGCCATAACTGACTTAACAATAATCACCTGCAATTAAATAATCAAAGTTTGCTTAGAATAAATAAAAAGGCAATTAATCGATTCTCAAATATATCACAAATAATTGAAATAATGTGTTAGTGAATTATATTTATTATTATACCATACTTGCGTTAGGATGATTATCTTCAAATCAACTGACGTCATTTCAAGGACTTTTTCTGCGTTTAATATGCCAATTCTTGGATTGAAATTCAGTGCCATTTGCAATAATCAAATAATTTAAAATGTAAAATCAAATCGTTCATGAAAGTATTTCTGAAATGAAGAAATACGCAAAGGCGTTATAAGGAAACAGAAATTATGTTGCTAAAAAGACTGCAGAAGACCCTGATTACTTTAGAAAACTTTCTCAAGGGTAAAATCCTAAATATTTATTGATTGGTTGCTCAGACTCTAGAGCTCCACCTAATGAGATTACAGAAACTGATCCTGGAGAAATTTTTATTCATCGTAATATTGCTAATGTAGTTGTTCCCACAGACTTGAATGTAATAATATTTAAGAATTCTTATAGATCAATTGTGTAATTCAGTATGCCATCGAGCATTTAAAAGTTCACAATATTGTAATTATGGGACACACCTTTTGTGGAGGTGTTAAGGCAGCCATGAAATAGGATTCTGTTGGAGGATTGTTAGATTTGTGGCTAAATAACTTGAAATTGGTTTATGAAAAACACCAAGAACTCATCAACTAATTGGAGGATGAAGACGATAGAGTTGCATGTCTAGCTCATATGAATGTGAGAGAATAAGTGCTTAACGTGTGGAAAAACCCAATTGTCTAAAAATCTTGGCAGGATGGACATCGTATAAATATTCATTTTATGCTTTTTTAGCTGTCATGGTTCATGGATGGTTATTTAGAGTAGAAACAGGTTTTATTGAAGAATTAGAAATCGAAGAAAGTATCCCAACTAATCTATCGAAGGTTTTTTAATTGAATTTCAAGCCTACTTAATCACAAAAGCCTAAACAATAAAAAGAAGATAATGAAGAAGAAAGATCAAGATCTCCTTCAATTAGAAAGAGATTCTAAAGAATGCAGAGTAGATTAGAAACTGAGATTAAAAGATTAACAATCATCACACTTTAAGATCCTAATTAAGATGTTGAAAAGGGTGTCATTGACTAAGTTTCAGAAGTATTGTAAAAGGATCCGGAATTTAAAACCGAAGATCATTGAGTTATGCAATAATATAGATCATACATTCTATTTATTTATTATTATTTACATTATTAATTTCAATTAATTAAACAAATAGTTGAACAATTTATTTAATGGATTTAAGCTTATAAAATCAACGAATGATATTATTTCAAAATACAACATTAACGGTGTTTTAGGAATAATCAATTCTTTTGATTCCCTCATTTAATTCAATTATTGATTATCACTAATTTAATTAGAATTGGATACATGTAATATTAATGTAATGTCTCAAAATTATATAATTATACTAATTTTGAATCTCCTATTCAAGAAGCTCTTCATTGATTAAAATAAATAGAAAAAAAATTTGAAATTTCATAGTTATCAGATATTTTATATTACACTGATACAAAAAGATTCATAAATCTAAACGTTTACCAATTTTTTCAAGAAGTTAAGCTTCTGTTAATGTTTACATCTCTTCGTAGAACTAATTAAAATCCATGTTTATGTCTTTGAATTCTAAATATGGATTTAAACAAATAACTAAAAACCATCCTAATTACAATAAATCCTTGTAAACAGGGTCGGTTTCTTTAGTTTGCTTAATAATAGATTTAATAATTTCTAAACATTCTTACACTACTTATTAATATAATTATTAAAAGGAAGCATTTTAATCAAAATTAACATCTAAAACTGACTTAATTTTTGATGCTCTTTTATTATCTGGTTATGCTAATTCTTTTTCAATAATTTATTTTTCTTTCTTGTAAATTTCTAAATAGAAGTCTTCTGTATGTTTAATATCATTTTTAGTAACAGTCAATATCTTTTTATATTCTTAACTGATTAAATATCTACCCCAAGTTTCTCTATCAAACTTTTCTGGGTTCTTGGACATTAATTAATCAGACATTCTTTTGAGATGTACATTTTGATTTTTGGAGATACAAAATATTGTTGTATAATAGAGTTCTTAATTCAATTTCAAGATTCCTAGATGTGACATCTTAATAATCTTTTGGATGACATAATTAAAGAAGAATGCAATGTTTCTTTCAAACAGAAAATATGTATTGTATTTCAACATAGCCTTGCGTCTTTTTTGCTCAGTGTCATATTGGTTAATAAGTTGTAATCCCTAATAACAAAAGATTGAATACTTTTTCATGATTGATATCATCAATAGATTGCTTTTCTTCATTGCTTTAAGTGGATTAAGGAGTTTAAGGTTCTTAGACGATCTAATCAGGTTAATCAAGATATCCCACAACTAAATTCATTTCCATATATAATTTGTTTAGACTTTCAGAGCGAGATAATTCATCTTTTTCTTTCATCAATTATTCTAAGTTATTTTTAATTTATGACTCTTAGATCTGAATTATTTCATGATGAAAGATTTATTCCCATGAGAATCTATCCTAAGAACAGTTTAAAGTCGATATACCTTTTCTTATACAACAAGCATATGTCTTAACAATTGCTTTATTTTATCACTTCTAACTGGAGCTTCTGGGATTACTAAGGGTGTTTTCTTAATGTTCTGCAATAGACTATATTAGTTATCTCCATCCCAAGGCGGTTTGCCATACAACATCTCAAACAACATAATCCCCATAGACCAAACATCACATTTAGATGAAAATGGCTGACCTTCAAGTATCTATGGGGCCATATAAAGAGGTGATCCAACTCTTGAAAAGTAAGCGGGATCTAATTTAATGGATATATGTATTACCGTTCATTCCAGTATCAATGACTCTTGCAAAGCCAAAATCGGTAATTTTAGCAACTCCTTTATGCAATAATATATTGGCTGGTTTGATATCTCTATGAATAATTTTCAGTTGGTAAAGTGTTCTAAATCCTTCAACTAGATGCTTCAAAAAAATTACTGCTTCAACCTAAACAATTAGAAAGAGAAATACTTCGCTGAGCCTTCTCCCATATTTGGTTGATAAATACTTTTTTAAGTCACCATCATGACAGTACTCCAAGAATAGATACAAATAATGGGGTGTTCGAGCAACATCATACAATTTAACAATGTGAGGATTATTGGCTTATTGTAAGATTGAAATTTCTCTTTTTATATGTTCCACCATCTTGGCAGAATCCTTAATACTCTAGATGATAATTTATTAATTATTACAGCTATTGAAATTGCTTTAACAGCAACTTACTTCGTTTCATCATTTTTCTTAAAACCTCTATAGACAGTACCAAAGGCACCGTTTCCTAGTTTTGTGTTGACTATGATGTATTTGTCAATTTATTTGGTAGACCATTCTTCGGACATTTCTTTGTATATTTATAATATTTCTCTGTTTGTAAAATTTATTCATTGTTATATAACAAGACTTATGGATTCTAATTTGAAACGTACAGAACACGATTAAAAAATTAATGTATTTATTATACTGTAATGACATTAATCTACTCAATCTTCAGATCATTCTTTTTGCAAGATCATTGATAAGATCCTCTCTATTTCCCCAATCTCCTTGATTGATAAATGATCTTCTTTTGGCTATAAATCCTCCTCTTGGTCCTCTTAATTTGAATGCCCTATTTCATTGATAATTATATTTCCTTACCACAAAAATCTGTTAGCTTCCTTGAAATGTGCTCCCACTGTAGTAATTTCATGAATAAGATCTTCAATTCCATGAATACCATATTTTCCAAGTTATTAATCAATTATTGTGTTTGAGGTCAATGGAATTCTTTAACCATTGACTTTGGCATATCCTCTCTTGTAAATCAAGTTCTTAATCACTGTTCTTGAGGGATATCCATAAGTGATGTATGGTTCTACTTTTCGGATCATTTCAATTGTTGCTTTGTTGATTCTGACAAAAGCTGCATTATGCAATTGTCTCAATTTCAAAAGCCTAAGAGTTTGTCTCACCTATGGATTCAACGTGTTGATACTAATTTAGTGCTAAATATACTTACCCTCTGATTCTAATGACAAGAATCAATTTAGCTTCAGCTGGGACATAGAATCCACCTTCACTCTTTGCCTTACGAATGTTATCAACTAAACTCTTTTCTGTTGCCTTATATTCTGCTTCATAAGCCTAAGCGCTCTTTTCTAATTATGCTCTTCTAACTTTATTCTACCCTAATCTTTCTGCTCTTCTTTTAACAACAAGGTCTCTTAATTTTGAATCTCTTTATGTTTTCTTAACAATACTTTCTGGTACTTTTTATCTAACATTATTATAATTGCATACTCCACTTATATTTAAGCCTTCTTTTACGACATTTTAAAGAATATTTAAAATCTTTAATTTTAAAATCAAAATCACCTTTAATTTGTGACAATTAATTTTTTATATATAGACTTCATTTCTCAATAAATAAATCAATATTAAGTGACGCCCTTTAATTTATCATCCTGGTATCTCCTGCCTCTATCAAGTTCTTAAGATATCACTTAATACCTATTCCTTATTATTCAAGTAATTATTTCTATTTATATTAAGGATTACTTGTTATGAAATAAAGGTTATTTATTATTTATTAGATTAAATAATTATGACACTTTTCTGCTATCAAGGGTAAATTGAGACTGAATTGTATTTTTTTTCGAATGATTTTTAATGTTATCAAATTAAAATAACCTGTCCTAATTCTTTTTAGAAGAATCTTTGAATTGGTTATGAGAGCTAATCTTTAGAAAAATTAATTTTGAGATTTAGGAATATCCCAAGTGGGAATTCAAATGATCTCAACAGTCTTTCTTCATTAAATCAAAATCTGGAAAAATTGTATTGTCAATATAGAAAAATTATTAGTAAAATTAACATAATTTATAATGATAATAGCTAAAAGAATAGATTCTATCAAAATTTTGAAAAACTTAAGATTAGATAGGCAATCAACATGAGATAACATTTGTATATTCAATCACTAAATTATTCTACAGGATCTTACCACAAATTACACCCAAAAGCTACCAAACTAATTTTTTTTAAATACATTAATTGAAAAATTAGAAAATTCTTTCCTAAATTCTATTATTTTAGAGTAATTATGAAAAAAAAATTAGATAGATATGAATGCCTAAATAATTGAACTTTGTTAATTGTTTCAATTAATAATCGAGCTTGTGTCTTTAGATTGTTATAACTGCTATATGCTAACTAAGAAGAATCTGATGATTTTAAGAAATACATAAATCAAACTAATGTATATATCAATTACATGATTTACACTGATTACTTATCGTAACACATAAACTATGAATTAAATAATTTTTATAGTAACATTATAAATTATCTTAATATTATTAATGAAATAGTAAACATTTTAAAGTAGTGTTATATAATTAGCAGCCTAAAGCTCTGAAAGAATAAAGAAATATATCAATTCAAATCATAGTTTAAGCTTTGTGAAAAGTATTAAATTGTAAAAAATTAGGTATTAGAAGTGGAAGCATTCCATTATTAAATCCTGAATTACATGAATTTGTCAATCGAACCCATGATCCCAATCCTCCAATTTATAATAAAAGATATAAGCCTGCTAAAATAAGAGCCTAGGAAGCTTAAGAAGAATTTAATAATAATCATCTTCAAGCTGGGCCATACAATAGCTTCCCTAAAAACATGAGAAATGAAATCTTGGCTGCTGAAAAGATGCCTATGAGATATGGTAAGAACCCAAGAACAGAGAATGAAAGGCTTTAAGAAAAACTAGAAAACACTTCAATTATTGATCATTCATTCAGAAATGTAACAATGATCTAGAAACCTAACTGGAAAGCTACTATGAAAGAGAAATGGATGAGTAAAGATACATTTAAGTCATAATCTGCAAATTTCAATTCTAAACAAGCTTGGAGTTAGATAGCTTATCGCAATCCAGAGGATAATTTTATTTATCTTGAATCAGAGAATTCTCAAATTGAATTTAAAAGGTTACGATAGGAAGAATTGGAAACATCAGGAAAGCTGCCTTTTAATCCTGTAATAAGGAAAAATCCTTACACTACCTATTCCACAAGCCTGCGTACATTTAAATAAGATGAAGCATTTGGCATATAAGAAAAAACTATGTTCTCACAAAACACTTAATTAAAACATTATAAAAGCGCTCTTGTTTTAACAAAATCAGTAGATCATCTAATGCCTTACAATCATAGTAATAATTTTCAAGCTTTAAAAAATATTTTTCCGAATGCTGAAAAATAATATACCAAATAAAAAGCTATAAATCAGAAACTCTAGGTTTAATCTAAAAATGAATTTCCTAAACTTCATTAAGATTAGCCATCTCCAATTCACGAATCATAACCAGAAGATATTTTAAAGACAAATTTCGAAAAAAACAGTGTTCCAATAAAAAAAGTATACAAACCATTTAAACCTTATTCTGAAGATGAAGCCAAATAAATAGTGGATAAATATTTTTGCAAATAAACTTTTTGATTGTTGGTTATGATTATAATATTATAAATTATGTATATAGGATTATGAAAATCTTCAGAAAAACTTAAGTTTGCACGCTTTAAAAATTTAATTCTTTGCAAAGACCTATAATTATAATCTAATAAATTAAGAGTCTAAGTATAAAATATAGAAATATGTATGCTCAATTTTTTTGAAATACTCTTACAATATGATAGAATTCCGATGACATGTCTTTTGTTTAGGACTTAGTTAAAGATCATTTTTTGATTCTAGATTATCACATTCTTTTAATGTGTTATATTATAATTAATATGTAAGATAACATAGTAAAATTTGAGATTTTAAATTATTTGTTTTAACTTAAATACAAGTTTCATTGTTGTTTTTGCTTATATCTAGATAAACCATTCCAAAAGAATAATTTAAACCAAAAGTAAGTTATTAGAAACAAAAAGACTTCTTAATCAAATTTTATTGAACCATTTCTAAATACTTAGAAAATAAACAATGATAAATTTATTTACATTAATTAACAGTTTTGCCCTCTAAAATGAATTCTCATCATCTAATAATTTTTAAGATTTTGATAACTTTGATGCAGATCAGTTCAAGTAAGTAAATTGAAAAATTCACTAAGTAAACTAATATGAAATTTCAAAAAATTTTAATAAATGGAGTTATAATTTGTAAATACTTATTTTTGGTATCTTCATATTAATTATCAGATCTTATTCTTCATGATTTATGTTTTGGCTTGTCTTTTGAGCTTTTAAAAAAACTTGATCAAATCCTCTATTAAGCAAAATTTTTGCAACAAAAAAAAACTAAGCTCCAATGTGAGTAGGAGTGATGAGTAAAATCATTTAAATGATAAATTAATTTTAATCATTACCTTTAACTCTGAAGTTTGAATAAATAATTTAATAATAACTTTTGGGTTTTTAAGATTAGATGCTTGAGTTTTTCTTAATTATCTAATAATATTACTAAGTTAAAAAAATAAAAATAAAAATTAAGTTTAGAATTAAGCTTAAATTAGTCTGATTTGTTTTTAAATTTAAATCACAATTAGTTTTCATGAACGAAATAAAACTTACAATTTATTCAAACATAAAAAACCTCAACTATACCAGATAATAATCAACATAAAAATTTAATGACTTCGACTTATTCGCGCACAAAAGCACGCAACAGAAACCTTAAACTAATTGCTTATGAAAATTAATTCTAAAAATATAAGCTGAAAGTTAGAAAGCAATAAGTAGGATACAAATATGTTAAAAATCATCAATATAGTTTACTATGTTCTTTTATATATTAAAAACATTATTCTAAGAAAAAATGAAAATTTTAGTTCAAGAGAATTCAAATCTTGAACTAAGTATAATTGTACTTCTGGTTGCAATTTAAAATTATTATATGAACTATTTAAGGTGTTTTTAGATTGAAAAATAGATATGAGTCTCAGCATGAAAAATCCTTATAGAATAACTTCTTTGTAGCAAGAGATTCTAATTCGTAGCTTTTCTGAGTTTTTGTGTTTGACAAATATCATTATCCACTTATTTTTCCTTTATATATGAAATTAATCAAATAATAATATAAATAACCAAATCTTATCACATCAATTTTATAGAATTAATCTATTGTTTAGGGACTTAACTAAGAATATATTTGCTTTTCAAATATAAATAGAAAAAGAAAATTGTTTTTAATTCAATTTTACCTAAATTTGATAATAAGCATATAATTCAATATGAGTAGGTTGTGAATTACATTTGCTAAAAAATATTATTAATTTAGAGATTGAATTATTTCGATTGGTCTCGTTTCATATTGAACAAGCGTTTACTCAACATACAAAATTTATTAAATTAAATTTGTTCTTCTATCACTTAGGAGTATTAATTTATAAAACATTTTTAATTGAAAACTCATAATAATACTTAAATTAATAGAAATGGGAAATACGTGCTCAAGTTGCCAAAACAATAAAAAGAGAATAAGGTAAAGAGAAAAATTCATAATTTGAATAGGCCTCATTAACACGATCAATAAGATTCAAAGAAATTGAATTACAATCAAATCCAAAAATATGAAACTTTCACTTATTTAGAATAAAGACATTACTTAAAATGGTTAGGAATTTACGGATAGAATAACTAGAAGGTTGGCAATTGGACAGCTGCATGGAATGGAGTGATATTAGACAATGTTGGCGGATAGTACTCTGAGGATGGGAAAAAAAAGGGTTAATGGAAAGAATTAGCAAAGATGTTTTGGAAGTATTTATGAATTTAGAAAAATATTATAAGAAATGGTTAAGTTTATATGTGCGGAGAATACTGTGATGATATAAAAANTATACCAGATAATAATCAACATAAAAATTTAATGACTTCGACTTATTCGCGCACAAAAGCACGCAACAGAAACCTTAAACTAATTGCTTATGAAAATTAATTCTAAAAATATAAGCTGAAAGTTAGAAAGCAATAAGTAGGATACAAATATGTTAAAAATCATCAATATAGTTTACTATGTTCTTTTATATATTAAAAACATTATTCTAAGAAAAAATGAAAATTTTAGTTCAAGAGAATTCAAATCTTGAACTAAGTATAATTGTACTTCTGGTTGCAATTTAAAATTATTATATGAACTATTTAAGGTGTTTTTAGATTGAAAAATAGATATGAGTCTCAGCATGAAAAATCCTTATAGAATAACTTCTTTGTAGCAAGAGATTCTAATTCGTAGCTTTTCTGAGTTTTTGTGTTTGACAAATATCATTATCCACTTATTTTTCCTTTATATATGAAATTAATCAAATAATAATATAAATAACCAAATCTTATCACATCAATTTTATAGAATTAATCTATTGTTTAGGGACTTAACTAAGAATATATTTGCTTTTCAAATATAAATAGAAAAAGAAAATTGTTTTTAATTCAATTTTACCTAAATTTGATAATAAGCATATAATTCAATATGAGTAGGTTGTGAATTACATTTGCTAAAAAATATTATTAATTTAGAGATTGAATTATTTCGATTGGTCTCGTTTCATATTGAACAAGCGTTTACTCAACATACAAAATTTATTAAATTAAATTTGTTCTTCTATCACTTAGGAGTATTAATTTATAAAACATTTTTAATTGAAAACTCATAATAATACTTAAATTAATAGAAATGGGAAATACGTGCTCAAGTTGCCAAAACAATAAAAAGAGAATAAGGTAAAGAGAAAAATTCATAATTTGAATAGGCCTCATTAACACGATCAATAAGATTCAAAGAAATTGAATTACAATCAAATCCAAAAATATGAAACTTTCACTTATTTAGAATAAAGACATTACTTAAAATGGTTAGGAATTTACGGATAGAATAACTAGAAGGTTGGCAATTGGACAGCTGCATGGAATGGAGTGATATTAGACAATGTTGGCGGATAGTACTCTGAGGATGGGAAAAAAAAGGGTTAATGGAAAGAATTAGCAAAGATGTTTTGGAAGTATTTATGAATTTAGAAAAATATTATAAGAAATGGTTAAGTTTATATGTGCGGAGAATACTGTGATGATATAAAAAATGGGAAATGGATATATATTTATGATGAAAATTAGATGTTTGATTATTGAAATATAAATTAGTGGAGGTGGATCTTATAATAAACAAGGACTAAAGAATGGCAGATGGATTGATTTAAGCGACAAGTTTTAGGGTGATTCACAAATTACTTACAATGGTGAATATAAAAATGGTAAAAAAATTGGTAATTGGGATTTATCATATAGAAGAAGTAATCAATTTGAAAAAATGTAAGCAATATTTGTAATACAATTTACTTTAGTGGTGGAGGATCATATAATGAAAGTGGAGAAGAGATTAAGTTTGGTAAATGGATTGAGTAAAGTGAAGTGTTTAGATTAGATTCTTAAGTTATTTATAATGGATAATATAAAAATGGTAAAAAAGTAGGCAGGTGGGAGGTGTTGTATAGAAAATAATATGAAAATGAATTTAAATAGATGTACAAAATATAATCTAAAAAATTTTTAGTGGTGGAGGATTGTATGATGAGGAAGGGTCAGAGATTAAATTAGGCTTTTGGATAGAAGTGGCCGATGGATTTGGCAAATATTCTGAATTTACGTATTAAGGAGAGTATCAAAAAGGGAAAAAAGTTGGTCGATGGGATATTTGGTATAAAAAGCCGCATTCTGCCGATAAGAGCGAGTGGATGTATTAATATTTTATTTAAAGCACATAAAATATTCAATAGTGGAGGGGGATCATATAATGAAGCAGATTAGGTTCAGTTTGGTAGTTGGATCGAAGTGTCTTCTGAATTTAATTATTATTCTTAAATTACCTATAATGGAGATTATTTGAACGGTACAAAAATTGGTCGATGGGATATTTTGTATCGAAAATAATATGAAAATTAATTTAAACAAATGTAAGTAACATGAAATATTTTAAGTGGTGGAGGATAATATAATAATAAAGATGGAAATAAGTTGGGGGATTGGGTTGAAGTATCTAATCAATTTTCTTTTGATTCCTAAGTAATTTATAGTGGAAAATATTTAAATGGTAAAAAAATAGGAATATGGGATATTATGTTTAGACGAAGTAATCAATTTGAAAAAATGTAAGCAATATTTTTAATAAAATTTACTTTAGTGGTGGAGGATAATATAATGAAAGTGGAGACGAGATTAAGTTTGGTAACTGGATTGAGTAAAGTGAAGGTTTTAAGTTAGATTCTTAAGTTATTTATAATGGATAATATAAAAATGGTAAAAAAGTAGGCAAATGGGAAGTGTTGTATAGAAAATAATATGAAAATGAATTTAAATAGATGTACAAATATAATATAGAAATTTATTTAGTGGTGGAGGATTATATGATGAGGATGGGTCCGAGATTAAATTGGGCCGTTGGATTGAGTTATTTGAAGAGTTTAAATGGGATTCTTAAATTATTTATACAGGTGAATATTAAAATGGTAATAAAGTTGGGTAATGGGATGTGATGTATAGAGGATAATAAGAAAAAGAATTTAAATAGATGTAAGACAAATTTAATAGTTATATTTCATTTAGTGGTGGCGGATCATATGATGAAGAAGGCACCCAAATTAAGTAGGGCCTATGGACTGAATTGTCTGATGATTTTCTACCTACAAATTGTGTAGTTAAAAATGGCGAGTATCAATGTGGAAAAAAAGTTGGTAAATGGACCGAAATTGATATTTAGAACAATCAAAAAGGCAATGAATTAAAAATATGAAATTTTAATAGATAATTTTATATTTTATATCAACTGCTTTCCTTTTATGCTTTTATTGTTTTTTTTCTAATGGCAAGCCATACTTGAAATTAGTGATGATCCTCTCATTCATTAAGCCTTTACAATAAATAATATAGCTGCAAATTACTAGATATTATAAGTTTAATTTTGAAATTGATTTATAAAGTAGCAATCTTTTACTGTTTTCTAAATTTGATCGATGATTTTCTTTTCCTTTTGTAATGTCGATTTCAATTAATTCTCAATATTTTATATCCTATACAAATTCATTTTTCTTAATAATTATCGTCGTGGTAATCATGTGATTAACCATAATCATAATTCACAAATATTTTTCCATCCCTAATTATTTTCTTCAAAGCCTTTAGCTTTCGAATTCCATTTGCTTTAGAGCTATAAAACAAATATATAATTTAGACAATAATAATGTTTGAATCTTAATTGTAATAGAAGAATTTATAAAAAAATTAAATCTAAAGGTTAACTCAAATAAATTCTGAATGCACCCAATTCAATTATCTAGTACCATAAAATCATTAATTCAAATTTATCCAAAATATATTATCCATTTTTCAAATATTTCTAATTCTATACTTACATCATTAATTAGATGAGAATTATCAGCAAAGAGGAAACCTATAAAGATTAAACAAATATCAAGAATCAATTATGGAATTTGACAAACCAAATAAATTAAATTCAAATTATGCTGATTACTATTCTATTGAAATTCTAGAATTTAAGTTTATTCATTCCAGAAGTTTTCGTTTTTTATTTTTTTCATTTGTGAAAATTATCAATATTTTTAATATATATAACTAAGAACTATTATTTTTATCACAAAAAGGTTAATTTTATCTTTTTAGTATGATAGATATAATAAACATTTTATACTTTTGACTTATGAAATAAAGGATTGTTTTATTGTATTTTTCTTCTTCTAATAACTTCAAACTCTGTTACACTTAGTTTTCGTTATTATCATCTTTAAGTTCCTTTTTTGGATACCTAGTATTTATGATATAATCTTAAAGATAGATTTACCTAGATCCTTATATATTTGTCGATCTCTCTCATGATGAATTTCTAACTTCAAAATTCAACTATTTCCTCATTCCTCAAAACTGCAAATTGAATTTATCAATTTTTACTTTAAAGTTGTAATAATCTCAACCATCCAATGAATTGCATCAGATAGGACTGTTTGTATGAGTTAGATCTTCAATAACTCTTCTCTTATCAAATCACTAGTATAAAATTATAAACTCTGTGGATTTAATTTTTTGTTTGATAATTAAGAATTAATTTTATAAATTAGTGTTTGTAATTTGAATCCCTTTCTTGAGATCATGAATTAAAAATAACTGAAACAAAAATTTTTAATACACTTATTAATACTGTACAAATTAAAGGAAATTTTAGTTTAAAGTAGTTTTTTTGTGAAATTTTTTGAGCGATTTGATAGGTGAACAAAAATAGTTAAAAAAAGAAAAATGCTTCATTCATCATATGAAATTCAAAAGCTTATGAAGATTCTAAATAGAACGCATTTGCCTATATTTTAATATTAAGCATTAAACCTTATCGCATCAGTCATTGAGTAGAAATTAGCCCTTCAATCATTCGTTTCTAAGTTATAGAAGTAGGACTAAACCAGTATATTAAAGGACTATGATGACTCATATTTGATTATATTTAGGAAACCTCAAAATGGGAATTTTTCTTAGCATCCTGTTACCTTAAAATTTTATCGTTCTTATCATGCGCTATCCAGATTTTTCAATTCATTCCTTATGCATTATGATTTTTCACTAAATATTCTGTCTGAAATTAGTAAATTACAGCAAATTTGAAAAATAGTTTCATAACCATTTAAACTTAAAAAACAGATGGAATTACCTCATAATAATTTGTATGTAAAATTTGAAAATCTATTTTGTTATCAATATGAAATAAATTAAGATTATAACATAAATATTTTGAATAATGCAATATTACATGGAATACAATTTACTATAAAAATTATGATCATAAAAATGTTTACATAGCTCATAATGGCTTTTCCACTTAATATTATCATTTTGAATTTTTCACATTACCACAGTTTATTAAATTTAATAGAAGGAAAATTTCAAAATAATTAATAAAGAATCAGAATATTTAATCTAATTAATAGCAGCAATCTTAAAATTAAGAAAATAAAATATAAAATTATAAAATAATCCTTCCAATATCTAGTTGAGATGTAGTACTATGTTGTGTACACAATACAATATAGTTATACTTCGTCCGAATAAATTCTGTGTATGTTAGAATTTGACTATTTGAAGTTCTGTCAGTAATTTTATAGGCCCATCATCTTCTTATCATTATTTAATCAGCCTTAAACATTCCAGAGAAAGAAAATAAATTAAATAATCAATACTAATTAATTAAAATTTTGGACATATATTTATAAGGCGAAGTTATGGAATATTATAAATTATAGAATATCTAGATTATCTAAAGTGCATTTCAAAGTTTATAATCGAATTTGAATAATTATTATTATTATTAATATTAAAATTTTAATTACAAACAAAATAATCTTTTAGTAAAGATGGATCTGTTGATCGAATATAACAATTGGTCAGCAAATTATGAATAAATAATAAATGATATGTTTAAAGAATTTGACTTAATCAATTAGAGATCTAGTTAAGAATAATTACAATTACTCTAATAAGTGTATTCCTAACTTGAGAATGAATAAGATTTGGATGTAGAATGTATAACTTTTACAAAGTCTTCGTAATTATTGTGTGAAGACTTATTATTCTTATGCTTAAAAGTAATGGAACACTTTTCATATTATCCAAGACCAGTCTAATTATTATCAGTATTAGAATTATATAATCATAATTCCAATAAAGGTCGCTTAGCTTAAATTTATACTGGAGAAGGGAAATCTCTAATCGTAGCCATGCTTGCAATTTTATTGAATAAAAAGAAAAATTCTAATGTTGATGTTGTAACTAGCTCTTCTGTTTTGGCAACTAGAGATGTTGAATAATTGGAATCATTTTATAAATCATTTTCAGTTTCAGTATCCCATAATATAAATGAAACATAGAAATGCTATAACGAAATGCTACCATGTTATAAATGCTCAGTAATTTATGGTGATCCCCATAGTTTTGAAGCAGATATTTTAAGACATGAATACTCAGAAAGAGGAACCATGGGTAGTAGAAAATAAGAATATATTATTGTGGATGAAGTTGATTCTATGCTGATAGATGGAAATAGCCATAAAACCATGCTAAGTGCCCCTATACCAGGAATGGTTGATTTAACTAAAGTTCTTAGATTAATCTGGGATGAAATTTGTAAGACAGAATCAAACTTATCAACAGAAAATAAAGTTATGATTGTGGATAAAGACAATTATTATAGCGTTGACTTGAAAGAATATATTGAATCTGCTATAAACCTCTAGCTAGAAGAAGTATTACACTAATTTATACCTAAATATAGATTGAAATATATCAATTTTATGAAGAAAACATGGATTGAAAATGCCATTCTTGCAAAATATAAACTCCATTAGTATTGCCATTATCAAATTGAAAATGATAAGGTTCGAATAATTGATTATTAGAACACAGGAGTGATACATGGGGATAATATGCATTTGGATAAAGGACTACATCAATTTGTATAATTAAAGCATAATATATCGATGACTCCACTGACAATTAACACAAACTATCTGTCCAATGTTTCCTTTTTCAAAAGATACAAAAATAAAATTTTAGGATTGACTGGCACTTTAGGTTCATAAGTTACATAGAATTTATTAGCTAAGGAGTATAATGTTGATTTTATTTTCATGCCACCCAATAAAAAAAGGCTCTTAAAGGAAGAGACAGGATATGCAGCCCCTAATGAAGAAGAGTGGAAAAATGCTATATTTTAGGCTGTTTAAGAATAGATGAATAAAAAGAGAGCAGTTCTTATTATTAATCGGACGATTTAGGATGTCCATAAAATTTAATAGTATTTCAAATAAAAAAATTATAATTCTATTGTATACTTTGACAACAATTAGAAAATAGATCATGAAGTTAGGTCTGGTACTCTAATCATTGCAACGAATTTGGCTGGAAGAGGAACAGATCTTATAACAAACTAAGATTTAGAAGATAATGGAGGACTCCATGTGATTATGTCATTTTTACCTAGAAATATAAGAATATAACAATAAGGCTTTGGTAGAACAGGAAGGCAAGGTAAAAAAGGAACTGCTTAACTTATTGTGAATGAAGAGGAAAATTGTTATTTGGGAAATTTACAAAAAGATGCTTTCAAGAATTTAAAAGTAAATAACAAAAATCCTACAAGTTTAGATATCCTTGTAATATTAAGAAATGTTAATGAATAATTTTATTCCGATGAAATTGAAAAAGAAATGAAAAGATTGGAAAATGAGGATAGATGCTTTGAAAAGTTCTGCAAAATTGCAAAAGCCATGGTCAATTTCAGGATGGAACCTAACGCTTTCCAAGAATTAGAAGAGAGGTGGGGGCTGTATTTGGAGGAAAATCAAGAAACAGGATTAAATGAAAATGATATTGAGAAAATTTTGAATTCAAATGATGCCTAAAATCCAAAATATTTGATTTCTCAAGGATTGTAAAAGGAAAATTTATACATACTGTAGTAGGCTGTTAGCATTTCAGAGGTTGATCCTTCTGCATAATATTATTCAGGATTATATTAAATAAAATAGAAGTAGTATGAGGATGGAATATAATCATTGTAGAAAGCAAAGTATTTATTTCAACAGAAAATTGATGATGAAAAAGGATTTTCAACTGCATTAAAATTAAATCGATCTTAAATTGACTAATTTTCTAACAATCTTGAAGAAATTGGATAATATAATATTCAAGAACAAATTAAAATGTTGCCATAACTTGAATTTGATCTAGATCCTATTCAATTTATTAAATAGCATTAGTAATCAAATTAAATTGACCCAACCTAAAATGACCAGAATTTTAAATAATATTAATAATAAGAAAATCTTGAAGTTGAAGTTGAAAATAATAAAATTTAAGAAAATAACATTAATTTAATTACAGTCGAAAAATATTAAAATAATAGCAAGATAATAGATAGGAATGATTAAAAATCCAAGAATCATATAAAGGTATATGAAGAATTTATTAAAAATATTAATGCTACCTTAAATACTCTTAATTAATTCAATACAGCCCAGGAAAATATTGAAGTAGGTTTTATCCCTTTTCAATGCAAAGAAAGTAATAAAAATGGTGATGAAAGAAACTCAATTAATGATTAAAAAGAAATTATTAATGATGGACCCTTACCTCTAGTTGGAAGAGTTATCAAAACAAAAAAAAAAAAAGAAAAAAAGAAAATGGTGGCAAAGACTAACATAGTTTGTATTAGGAATAGGTCAATTTCTAATTGGATGCGCTATTAGTGCATTAACTTGTGGTGCAGCTTTACCTATTGGAAAAACTTTTATAGCTGGAGGAATTTCTGATATGGTATAGTCTGTCACAAATGCCTGGTAAGGATTAGATATTGATTGGGGAGCTTGGGGAAAAAATAAATTGATTAATATTGCTTCTGCATTAGTTTTAGCAGGGCATTCTGGCATAAAGGAGGCTCTTCAATTAGGAAGTAAAGGATTTTAATCATTAAAATAAATTGGAATTACTGAATTTTTAGATTAAATCCCTGATATAACAGTTGATGGATTGAAAAAATCAGGTTTTTGGTTAAGTGAATTGACAAAATAGATATCAAAAATTAATACCAAACTTTGTAATAGATTTAAGAGACTGCTTTACAAACTTTAAATACTAATCAAATATTAAATTTGGCAACAGAAGTCTTAAGAGATTAAACAAAAAATGGAGCTATTTCTGAAGAAACTTCTAAAGAATTATACGATTTAATCAATACATGTTTTTAATAATCTAAAGGAACCGTTAATGGATTTCATAAAAAGTTTTTTGGATTAGCAAAAAAATATTTAAAATTATAGATAACTAAAAGAAAAACAAAAAAGTCAGAAAATGAATTAAAAGAAGAAGCTTAAGAAATTTGTTCAATCTAGGGTAACAAAAAATATCATGGGCTCTAAAACAGAATTGAAGATTATAAATAATATGAAAAAAGACTTAACAATGAAATTAAACAATTTAAAGGGAATTATTAAATTTGTTACAATGAAGATTGTGAACTTCAGAAAAATATTCTTTTATTAGATATTTTTTTTGAAAAATAATCACATCAAAATGAAATTAATCAATTTATCAATACCAATTTGATTTAAAACTATTTAAATGCCTCATTTAATATATATGACAAAGATATTTAACATGAATGTGATGAATTAAAAATACCGTATAAAGAATCAATGAATCATTTTTATTAGAAAGTAATAAGGCCATAATTCATGAAGATGTGTGAAGAGTTTAAAGAGCTCTGCAACCATACAGAACCAATAGCATTAATTTTTTAGTATTAGTATATAATTCATGCGAATGAACAAGTATAAAGGATAAATGATTAAGCCAAATAATTAGCCGACTAATAAGAGTACATTAAGAACTAAATAAACTAATTTAAAGGAAATACACATGCATTAAATTAATTAAATTAAGTAAGAATTTTATTTATAAGTAGTCTATTGACAATTTTAATCTTTAAGCTTAGTAATTTTAAGAGAAAAAAAATTAGTTGAACTAAATAATTTAAGTTGACGAAAATTTATTGGCTTAAAGTATAATTAATGAGTTGAAAAATAAATAACTGATTAACAACAATGGTATCACAATTTCAAATACATTTCTTACAGAGTTCTAACATTACTCTAATCAGCAAAACTATAATAATATGATGATTTAAATTTTATAATTAACTATGGAGAGTACTCTTTAAGAATTAGTAAGTTTGGAATAAAACTCCCTCAAAAAACCATTTTCGATAGTTTTATTTAAGGCTGCAGAAATAGAAATATTAGATGAAATAGAAAAATACATCTTTAAATCAAGAATATAGAAGTAAGATAGTGTAATCACAAGTCAATATGATTGAATAATCAATATCCAAAAAAATATTAAAATAATTATCTTCAAAATAGGGTATTTAGCTATTCAGTGACAATATCCAATTAATTATCAAATTATTTAATATAATAGATTCTATTTTTTATACAACTAGTAGAATTCAGTCTTCCTATATCACTAGCTCTATATTCATTAAGCGTAAATTTTTAATCAAAATATAGCCCTAATAATCAACTCAAAATAAAATTAAGAAGAAAATAATAATTTGGCAATATCAAGGACCCTGCGGACCAAGTCTTTTGAAGTACATTTATTTTGAGCTTGGTTCTCAAAAACCTTAACTTAGAAGCATCTAACCTAATTAGCATTAGGGTTAGGTTAATGAACTGATAGCTTAGGCCCTGTATCTCTATTTTATTTTACAGGCATATATGTACTCTCTTTTTAAAGATAGATATATAGAATAAAAAACTTGTTATTAAAAATTTATAATGATGTCATAAGTGAAGCATTAAGATGATTTTAAACCTAAGCGAGTTCGGGAATGGAGAGTAGATAGAGTGCAGTTATATCTAGAGGAACTGGGAGGTTAAAAGTGGGAAGGTCATTTATTCAATACTACTTGCGATACACCATCAATAAGCAGCTCGTTATAAGCATATACAAAGAGAGATTTCTAGAATCCCTCTTGTTATTAATTTTGCTCTATATATTAACACATTAGATGCATTTAAGTGGTAGCAAACTATTTTAATGATTAAAATAATAGAACCTCAAATTAATGTTCTAAACCATTAACGTACATTCATTGACTTTGATTCTGATATATGCAAATTTAATCTTGATAGATTTATCCTATTGTCATAATTTGCTTCACATTCAATGCAATAAGAAGGACATTCCTTTTATAATAATCAGCTGCTTGATCTACTAATCTATATTTGCTAAGTCAGCTTCACTACATTTAATAATTTTGTGGCTACTTCTGTCAAAATCAGCATTTGATCTTGCACCTTTCTTTTGTGGTATTTCCAACAATTTGAGGCAAAGGTCAAGCAATTGTCATCCTTAATATAATAAAAAATTGCTTGTCGTCAGATCCCAAAACTATCAGCTGAATTAAATTTTATGTGCATCAAAATATACTCCTATGCAAGCAGTTTAAAAATGAATATTAATCTTTTTGATTCTTTCTTCAAATATCTTTAGAAGTTCAATCTAATACAAAGAAATTATTTTTTGATAGGGCTTAAGGAGATTTCTATATTGCCACAGATATCTGAATCCAAAAAAAATAAAAATCTTTTGAAAGTTGAGGTTTATCTTTTGATAGATTCACAGATAAATTGAATTTTTTTCAGTTTTTCAGTCAGTCCTTATATTACCTTTTGATATATCCAATAGAAATAGGTATTCAGTTAAGTGATAACAAGATTAAATATCAGTATTCACAAACAGAATGAACTAAGATAGCTGTAAAATTATTCAAGATTCAAAACTAGAACTTTCTCACTACGAACGAACAAATCTAAAATAGTCAATAACAATTTCGCCATCGCCATTCTCAACAATAGAAGAGCAGCCATTACCAGCTTCTAATAGATAAACTGAAAAATTAGCCACTTTATACAAATGATAATTTATCTATAAATCTTTTAGAATATCATATTGACACTTTTGAACTTAACTTGAAGACTTGAGCTCCCAATGATACGATTTAATATTTTTTCATTTTCAATAATTCATATATTCCAAATTAGCATATCAAGAAAATTTATTGATTTGGATGCAATATCCTTTTTGAGCTCCACTATCTATTTTATAGGTATTTTCCTTTTCTAAGAAAAAAATATAAAGCTTCTATAAAAAATTTTACGTTAGACTGAAAATGGTCAATCGCTTTATTCAGCGCTAATTAAATTGAATATGCTAACAAATAGTGATGGTATTTTAATGGATTGCTCATTAATTTAATGAGTATTTACAATCACTTTGTCGTGAATATAAAAAAATAACTAAGAAGATTTAGCGCTAATTAACTTTTTCTATCCTGTGAGTGAGGCCAAGAAAGCATTAACAATGTAAAAACTTCACCCTGTACGTCACATTTGGAAAAATACAAAATAAATTCCTCAATTTTTTCTAAATGATTGAGTTGAATTATAACTCAATTTTTCACTACTGCGTCTCCATGTTAACTCAGATATCATTATGATACCAAAAATATTTGAAATCTATTTGCTAAGGCTACATCATTTCTCTACCTTATCCATTGAGTTTAGTCACACTCATCGCTTTATACTTTAGGAGAACTTGTCTAAGGTAAAGAAAATGAGTGCTTAAGAACATTATAAGCAATAGTTTGCCATGTTGATTCAGTTGATGCTCCAAATATGTATATCTATAAATATAGATAAATAAATACCCAATACCAGAAAACACAAAAAGCCTAGCTATCACAACTTAATTTAATGAATGCTTGGGATTTCATCCATCTGTAATTACAATCAGTGTGGATGATTCAGCTCCGCATAAATCCAATAATTTATTTTAACTTTACAAGATATCTAGGTTTAGGGTAAACGGTGCTGTCGATCACATCTACTTCAAAAGTAAGAGCTGTAATAAAAACTTTCTAAATGGAGCTTATTCTGGTAGTCCTTGTTTATCTGTTTTCAGATTATGATCAGATAAATGACCAGCCAGATTACATATCAAAGGCATTATAAAATTGGGCTTATCCAAAATAACCAAAGATTTTATGAAGTGTCAACTTCAAATTTATCATTGCTTTCATGCTCATATATCTCTTGTTTCTAAAATAGTTACTTCATGTGATTAATGTTGCCTTTATTGGCTAGTTATACTATCGTCTCTAATTCATAAAGTTTGTAATCCATATCTCCTTTAAATGCCTTTCCATTTGTTCAATTCAAAAATGCAGGTTGTGCAGAAGAGTATTTGACTGATGCAGGCTCTGTTTGTGAATGCGTATTATGAACCTCCTAAATTCTGTTACGTTTTAGCGAGTGCCTCTACATGTAATAATATCTTAGGTTGGTTTGCAATTTTCATATTTTTTAGAAAATTATAACCTAATTTTGCTGGAGATGATAATAAAAGTCATTGATATAATTAAAACCCACAAGCAATATCTAGTTGAAAACAGTCATAATAATTGATAATGCAACCTGAATAATTTGTCAAAATAACTGATTATTTTATAATGCCTCTTTTCTTGCTAAAAGTCTTAATAATGCAGCTTGTGCATTATATAGAGTTGAATTACCTTGATAAATCTCACTCTTTCATACTCTTGTCTTTGATATCCTCTATTAATCAAACACAGGTGAATTATGGAAGAATACTTACTTCATTTGTTTAACTGTTGTGCTCCAGACTTTTGATCATGGAACAGATAAATATCACTCCCACGTTTGATTTTAATAATCCTCTTACTATTTTGTCAAACAATTATTACATCGATAAGAAATTGAGATACCTCTTGGATACTATTTTATACTCTAACCTATAATAAGGGTGGCGAAACAATAAGTGTTTTTGGCTTTACTATATGCTATCCTCTCCTTGTGAAAACCCTTTTTAATTATGTGTTTTGAATAGATAAGGATGAATTCAAAGTAATGTGCTAATTCATGTAGAGTCAGATAGTCCCTTTAAAGCGTCTTTCAAAAAATTAAAATCTTTTGTAGTGAATATTACCAATTACGCTTTTTATGTGATACTAAGCTAAGAATGGATGGCGGAACCTTCTATTTATCCCTGAAATATGTTGCAAGACTACCTAAAACCCCACTGAGTACATCCTTAGATTCTGGAAAAAGCATTTATCTAATTTGCTCTGAATTAGCATTTTACATAATGGGTTTCTGTAAATGAAGTTAGTATATCCAATCTTAACTTTATTTAAGCATTAACCAGTTTTATTGGGGCCGAATATACCAATTTAAAATTGTAGTAACTTTTTCTTTTGTATTAGAGCTGCAATTTATAATGTTTGTTGTTATCATAATTGTACCTACACCAAAGAATAACTGGAATCAGTCTTAAATATTATAGTTAGGCTTTGCAGAATGCAGCCCTTGCATTAGTGGTTATAACCAGATGGAAATCTTCCTTCTACTTTGTTTCAATAAATGTCAAGAAAGTAGCCATTATAGACTCACAAGGTTATTATCTTAAAATAGTGTTCTGCATTAATTATTTAAATCTTTAATGCACAAAATTATGGCATCTCTCTAATGTTATATTAGTATTTCTACTAATTATATTATTCAAACAAATGTCAAAATTATTGCTTTCTCAAATTAATGTGTTATTGTCTTGCTTTTTTAATACAAAATATTTCTTTAGCATAACTCTTTTAATTAACATTTTCTTGTTTGTTATGCTTTGCCATAAAATCTTATACAAATACCTAACTGAATTGTCAAAATGAACTAGAAATTATGTAACTTGAAAGAACTGCAAAGAAAAAATAACTACATCTCATACTGGTTTTATTGATCATAAAAAAAATGTGGTATAGTTTCTAAGTAATTGCTAAGATTTTTGGAAAACTAAGGGATGGAATAATTAGATTTATTAGCTAGTGTTTTAACATCTTGTAGTTCTGTTTTAATTCTTGTATAATTATTTCATGTTCATTATTTTCACATTGTGAACCTTTTTATTTTATCAAAAAAATTGCAAAGATATTTAACTACATAAATAAGCTACCTATTTTTTCAACATGAACTATTCGTATTGCACATTGCTTTTAAATGATAAACACTCAATTTACTGCACAAGAACCAAGCCATCAGATACACCTTGTTCAAGCTTGGTCCATCTGCATGCATTATTTGTGAGGATTATAATAATATTTTTAAAAGTTGTGCAAATACAAAGCAAAATTCAAAATCCTGTCAACTAAACCTTAATGATGATGATGATATAATAAAATGCGGGGTTGTGATAGCGGATGTTTCCTAAATTCATGGTGGTGGTGACTTATGCTCGGTATGTCTACATTATTACTGCTACGCTAAATGCTATAACTCTGCTTATAGCTCAGACTTAGTATATGAATAAATATTATTGTACATAATAGGCTTTTACCTCTTGTTTTCATCAAACGGTTATACTTCTTTATTAGTGTTCAATTTTCAATCCATCATCCTAGTTTTGCAAGATTAAATAAAAATTTTTGAAAGCACAAATTGTTAAACATGACAGACAGCCAAAGAATTGGACTTGGTTGGAGTTCAAGTTGAGACTTTATCATAAATGCAAAGTTTGAATTCCATCCTTCGTCAACGAGTACGATATTTTCATATTCTCAAGTAATTTGATCAACAGTTACGACATATTACTACGCTGCCTCGAACTTCAAAATACCCACCAAAGAGACAATTTTGAAACTCCTGACTTGAGATGCTAGTTTTGTAAATTCTCTATTTCAGATTAAAGTGTAATTATTGCTTGTGTTAAATTTAGATTTTTTAATGTTAAACTTTTAGGAAAGAATTTATAATAACTGTGCTACCTGCTTACTGCGTTACTTATGAGTTTTTAATCCATTATCCCTAGAAGAGAGGATCAAAAAGTCTTTTACAAGTTGAGTTTTTCGACACCATCTAGTGTGGTTAATAAAACAATAGCTCATCTGCTTGCCTAATTATTTTGCTTATATTAGTGCATTATTCGAATTACTTGTTAAAGTTACTTATCAAATATAGTATTAATATTTATATTTGGATAATTTTCCTTTGAAATTAATTGTATTTGGAGTGTTTTTTTAATGCTGTTTCCCAAATCCTCTCAGATTTTATTTTTATTCATTTACTAAGATTTTAATCTGTTCAATATTGTTAAGCATCTATGAAATTATTTTAACACACTATCCATGTCACAATTTACTTTTGCTTACAATTTTTCATTTTTCAAATTTTCAAAAAAACAAAAATTTTCTATTTTTTCACTCTGCTCAATAGACCATGTCATTCTTATTCTGACGCTTCTCAATCGATATCAACATTCTATCGTTGAACCTTAAGCATTTTGTATAGTCCTTGCGTATCCTAAAACTTATTGGAATTTGATGGATCTATACTATTAATTAACTAGTATTTCATTTATTAGTTGTTTAAAGTTAAATAAAGTTTCGTTTAAATAATTCAATCCAAATTTTTTATTTATAATATAAATATAGAATATTTTTGTTATTCTTAAAGATTTTGAAAAACTGCTCCTATTATTAATTTTTCGGTTTCTTAAACAAAATTGAGTTTATTATATCTAATTATTCTATAGTATATTAAATTTCATACACTAATTCTTATTTCTTTATGTGCATTTGTGAAATATACTTTTTTTGATATAAAATAAGATGTTATAATCCAACATTCTCAACATTTAATTTGTATTTATTGTAATCGAGGCCTTATGCCATTAACTTTTCTTCTTATGATATATTCTTTCCATCAAAAAATTTATATTTTTGAGTTGTTTATCAATCACTTATTTTTTTTCTAATTTCTTCAAATATATTGTTTGAAAACGCGCATTNAATGCTATAACTCTGCTTATAGCTCAGACTTAGTATATGAATAAATATTATTGTACATAATAGGCTTTTACCTCTTGTTTTCATCAAACGGTTATACTTCTTTATTAGTGTTCAATTTTCAATCCATCATCCTAGTTTTGCAAGATTAAATAAAAATTTTTGAAAGCACAAATTGTTAAACATGACAGACAGCCAAAGAATTGGACTTGGTTGGAGTTCAAGTTGAGACTTTATCATAAATGCAAAGTTTGAATTCCATCCTTCGTCAACGAGTACGATATTTTCATATTCTCAAGTAATTTGATCAACAGTTACGACATATTACTACGCTGCCTCGAACTTCAAAATACCCACCAAAGAGACAATTTTGAAACTCCTGACTTGAGATGCTAGTTTTGTAAATTCTCTATTTCAGATTAAAGTGTAATTATTGCTTGTGTTAAATTTAGATTTTTTAATGTTAAACTTTTAGGAAAGAATTTATAATAACTGTGCTACCTGCTTACTGCGTTACTTATGAGTTTTTAATCCATTATCCCTAGAAGAGAGGATCAAAAAGTCTTTTACAAGTTGAGTTTTTCGACACCATCTAGTGTGGTTAATAAAACAATAGCTCATCTGCTTGCCTAATTATTTTGCTTATATTAGTGCATTATTCGAATTACTTGTTAAAGTTACTTATCAAATATAGTATTAATATTTATATTTGGATAATTTTCCTTTGAAATTAATTGTATTTGGAGTGTTTTTTTAATGCTGTTTCCCAAATCCTCTCAGATTTTATTTTTATTCATTTACTAAGATTTTAATCTGTTCAATATTGTTAAGCATCTATGAAATTATTTTAACACACTATCCATGTCACAATTTACTTTTGCTTACAATTTTTCATTTTTCAAATTTTCAAAAAAACAAAAATTTTCTATTTTTTCACTCTGCTCAATAGACCATGTCATTCTTATTCTGACGCTTCTCAATCGATATCAACATTCTATCGTTGAACCTTAAGCATTTTGTATAGTCCTTGCGTATCCTAAAACTTATTGGAATTTGATGGATCTATACTATTAATTAACTAGTATTTCATTTATTAGTTGTTTAAAGTTAAATAAAGTTTCGTTTAAATAATTCAATCCAAATTTTTTATTTATAATATAAATATAGAATATTTTTGTTATTCTTAAAGATTTTGAAAAACTGCTCCTATTATTAATTTTTCGGTTTCTTAAACAAAATTGAGTTTATTATATCTAATTATTCTATAGTATATTAAATTTCATACACTAATTCTTATTTCTTTATGTGCATTTGTGAAATATACTTTTTTTGATATAAAATAAGATGTTATAATCCAACATTCTCAACATTTAATTTGTATTTATTGTAATCGAGGCCTTATGCCATTAACTTTTCTTCTTATGATATATTCTTTCCATCAAAAAATTTATATTTTTGAGTTGTTTATCAATCACTTATTTTTTTTCTAATTTCTTCAAATATATTGTTTGAAAACGCGCATTCTTATTCCTTTACTTCTTAAATAATATTATATAAATTATTTTCCTTAATACTTTTAATTGATTGATAATCAATGTCAAAATCCATTTCAATAATTTTTGCAAATTACTCATTTAGTTTTTAATGCAAGTTATCAGTTTTCATTCCTAATTATTTTAATAAATAATTTCTTATTTCTATTGATAACATTAAATAGTAATTAATAAGTATATGATTACTATTAATTAAGGAAAATTTCTTTAAATTAATATTCTTCTCCTAAAATCAAAATTATTAATTCTTCAACAGTTTATTCTTTATTAAACTCAATTAAATACTCTCTCTTGTAGAGAATAAGGGGATTATTTTTTCTTATTTCCATATTTTTGATCCAATTATTATTTTATTTTTGGCTTAGGTCCTATCTAGTTAATTTAGATCACCCTTTTTTAAGTGTTAAATTTATACTTTGAATTTAATATTAAAAATCCCTTTTCTCAAAAGCAATAAAATAATATTGAAATATTCTAAATTTTCCTATTCTCGAATAGGTTGTGATTAAATCAATCGCCAAATACCAATACTAAAACATTAGATAATCTTCGACTAACTTAATATCCAATAAAGATAACTTACACCAAAGTACCTTCTTTATTTATTTTGTTCTTCACATTTGAAATAATCAATATTATACTTCTCGAGTAATATAATTGTCTCACTTATTTTAACACTGGGTTTGGGTTTGGTTTTTACTATCCTAACTGTACCCCTCTATATAGCGATACGTGAAGGCAACAAGTCCCGCGGACCTCCTAGAGGAAGACCTTCTGTACACATAAACCTTTTTTTGGCTTGCTAACTAGGAAATTATATATTAACTACCTTGAAGTGTGGTGGCCAAGTCACTCTGGGAGCATATTAACTACCTTGAAGTGTGGTGGCCAAGTCACTCTGGGAGTTAACTACCTTGAAGTGTGGTGGCCAAGTCACTCTGGGTATTAACTACCTTGAAGTGTGGTGGCCAAGTCACTCTGGGTATTAACTACCTTGAAGTGTGGTGGCCAAGTCACTCTGGGTATTAACTACCTTGAAGTGTGGTGGCCAAGTCACTCTGGGTATTAACTACCTTGAAGTGTGGTGGCCAAGTCACTCTGGGTATTAACTACCTTGAAGTGTGGTGGCCAAGTCACTCTGGGTATTAACTACCTTGAAGTGTGGTGGCCAAGTCACTCTGGGTATTAACTACCTTGAAGTGTGGTGGCCAAGTCACTCTGGGTATTAACTACCTTGAAGTGTGGTGGCCAAGTCACTCTGGGTATTAACTACCTTGAAGTGTGGTGGCCAAGTCACTCTGGGTATTAACTACCTTGAAGTGTGGTGGCCAAGTCACTCTGGGTATTAACTACCTTGAAGTGTGGTGGCCAAGTCACTCTGGGTATTAACTACCTTGAAGTGTGGTGGCCAAGTCACTCTGGGTATTAACTACCTTGAAGTGTGGTGGCCAAGTCACTCTGGGTATTAACTACCTTGAAGTGTGGTGGCCAAGTCACTCTGGGTATTAACTACCTTGAAGTGTGGTGGCCAAGTCACTCTGGGTATTAACTACCTTGAAGTGTGGTGGCCAAGTCACTCTGGGTATTAACTACCTTGAAGTGTGGTGGCCAAGTCACTCTGGGTATTAACTACCTTGAAGTGTGGTGGCCAAGTCACTCTGGGTATTAACTACCTTGAAGTGTGGTGGCCAAGTCACTCTGGGTATTAACTACCTTGAAGTGTGGTGGCCAAGTCACTCTGGGTATTAACTACCTTGAAGTGTGGTGGCCAAGTCACTCTGGGTATTAACTACCTTGAAGTGTGGTGGCCAAGTCACTCTGGGTATTAACTACCTTGAAGTGTGGTGGCCAAGTCACTCTGGGTATTAACTACCTTGAAGTGTGGTGGCCAAGTCACTCTGGGTATTAACTACCTTGAAGTGTGGTGGCCAAGTCACTCTGGGTATTAACTACCTTGAAGTGTGGTGGCCAAGTCACTCTGGGTATTAACTACCTTGAAGTGTGGTGGCCAAGTCACTCTGGGTATTAACTACCTTGAAGTGTGGTGGCCAAGTCACTCTGGGTATTAACTACCTTGAAGTGTGGTGGCCAAGTCACTCTGGGTATTAACTACCTTGAAGTGTGGTGGCCAAGTCACTCTGGGTATTAACTACCTTGAAGTGTGGTGGCCAAGTCACTCTGGGTATTAACTACCTTGAAGTGTGGTGGCCAAGTCACTCTGGGTATTAACTACCTTGAAGTGTGGTGGCCAAGTCACTCTGGGTATTAACTACCTTGAAGTGTGGTGGCCAAGTCACTCTGGGTATTAACTACCTTGAAGTGTGGTGGCCAAGTCACTCTGGGTATTAACTACCTTGAAGTGTGGTGGCCAAGTCACTCTGGGTATTAACTACCTTGAAGTGTGGTGGCCAAGTCACTCTGGGTATTAACTACCTTGAAGTGTGGTGGCCAAGTCACTCTGGGTATTAACTACCTTGAAGTGTGGTGGCCAAGTCACTCTGGGTATTAACTACCTTGAAGTGTGGTGGCCAAGTCACTCTGGGTATTAACTACCTTGAAGTGTGGTGGCCAAGTCACTCTGGGTATTAACTACCTTGAAGTGTGGTGGCCAAGTCACTCTGGGTATTAACTACCTTGAAGTGTGGTGGCCAAGTCACTCTGGGTATTAACTACCTTGAAGTGTGGTGGCCAAGTCACTCTGGGTATTAACTACCTTGAAGTGTGGTGGCCAAGTCACTCTGGGTATTAACTACCTTGAAGTGTGGTGGCCAAGTCACTCTGGGTATTAACTACCTTGAAGTGTGGTGGCCAAGTCACTCTGGGTATTAACTACCTTGAAGTGTGGTGGCCAAGTCACTCTGGGTATTAACTACCTTGAAGTGTGGTGGCCAAGTCACTCTGGGTATTAACTACCTTGAAGTGTGGTGGCCAAGTCACTCTGGGTATTAACTACCTTGAAGTGTGGTGGCCAAGTCACTCTGGGTATTAACTACCTTGAAGTGTGGTGGCCAAGTCACTCTGGGTATTAACTACCTTGAAGTGTGGTGGCCAAGTCACTCTGGGTATTAACTACCTTGAAGTGTGGTGGCCAAGTCACTCTGGGTATTANTCTTAACATCCCATAAAAGGATAGACTTATCATGATTACAAGATGCTAATTTAGTACTATCAGGAGAGTAACAAATTGAATAAACCCCATCTGTATGACCTTCTAATTTGGCTTTTTATTTTCCTGTCTTAACATCCCATAAACAGATAGACTTATCATGACTATCAGATACTTATGCATTTCCATCAGAAGAGTAACAAATTGAAAAAACTGCACTTGAATGACTATCTAATTTGGGCTTTTAATTTTCCTGTCTTAACATCCCATAAACAGATAGACTTTATCATAACTGCCAGATGCTAATGTATTTCCATTAGGAGAGTAACAAATTGAATAAACCATATCTGAATGGCTATCTAATTTGGCTTTTAATTTTCCTGTTTTAAGATTCTATAAAACAGATAGACCCATCATGACTGCCAGATGCTAATGTATTTCCATCAGGACAATTGATTTACTGCATATTAATGACCATCTAATTTGCCTTTTCATTATCCTGTCTCAACATCCCATAAAACAGATAGACCAATTATGACTACCAGAAGCTAATGTATTTCCATTAGGTGAGTAACAAATTGAAAAAACTGCACTTGAATGACCATCTAATTTGGCTTTTCATAATCCTGTCTTAACTTCCCATAAACGGATTGAGTTATCATGATTACAAGATGCTAATGTATTTCCATTATGAGAGTAACAAATTGAAATAACTTCAATTGAATGACCATCTAAGTTGGGCTTTTCATTTTCCTGTTTTAACTTCCCATAAACAGATAGACTTATCATGACTGCCAGATGCTAATGTATTTCAGTCAGGAGAGTAACAAATTGAAAATACTGCACTTGAATGACCATCTTCATTGGCTTTTCATTTTCCTATCTTAACATCCCATAAACAGATAGAGTTATCATGATTGCCAGATACTAATGTATTTCCATCAGGACAGTAACAAATTGAATAAACCATATCTGAATGACTATCTTGAATGGCTTGTAATTTTCCTGTCTTAACATCCCATAAATAGATAGACTTATTATGATTACAAGATGCTAATGTATTTGCATTAGGAGAGTAACAAATTGAGTTAACTGCACTTGAATGACCATCTTCATTGGCTTTTAATTTTCCTGTCTTAACATCCCATAAAACTAATAGACTTATCTTTACTACCAGTTACTAATGTATTTCCATCAGGAAAGTAACAAATTGAATTAACTGTTCCAGAATGACCATCTAATTTTGAGCTTTTTAAAATCCTGTCTTAACATCCCATAATTGGATAGATTGATCATGACTACCAGATGCTAATTTAGTACTATTAGGAGAGTAGCAAATTGAAGTAACACTATTTGAATGAACAATCTTATTTGGTTTTCATTATCCTGTCTTAACATCCCATAAACGGATACTAATGTATTTCGATTAGGAGAGTAGCAAATTGAATTTACCTGGGCTTGAATGACCATCTAATTGGGCTTTCTATAATCCTGTCTTAACATCCCCCATAAACGGACAGACTGATCATGACTACCATAAGCTAATATAGTACTATCAAGAGATTAACAAATTGAATTAACATTATTTGAATGACCAAATAATTTGGCTTTTTATAATCCTGTCTTAACCTCCGATAAACTAATAGACTTATCATAACTGCCAGATGCTAATGCATTTCCATCAAATTGAATTAACTTCATTTTAATGACCATCTAATTGGCTTTTCATTATCCTGTCTTAACATAGACTTATCATGATTACAAGTTGCTAATGTATTTCCATTAGGAGAGTAAAAAAACTGTACTTGAATGACCATCTAATTTGGCTTTTTAATATCCTGTCTTAACTTCCCCCCATAATTGGATAGACTTATCATGATTAAAAG